TATTTCCATGTTTATCATGCATTGTTCAGCTGATAATTGTTTAGTCAGAGATTACATGTTTGCCTGGGTGAAGACAACCTTTTAGCATTTGTAAACTTTGTAGCGTTTGAGACTGTGTACTAAATTTTATTGAAATACCCTAGAAAGAGATTGTGTAAACTGACTTGCTTCTGAAACTCTACTCACAAGATATTAATGAAAAACAGTAATGAACAAAAAAGTAATGATTATGATTATATTAGTCATATTTCCCATTAAAAAATAGTGCCATCTTTTTTTTCAAGAACTGCCTCGTTTTGTTACGATCAACATGTAAACCTTTCAGCCAGAACAGGATAACCATGGCATGCAAGAAAGAGACTATACCACATAGTACTGTTTTGAATACCTCTTTTGTCTTCAGGTAAAAAAATCTGTGCAGATGAACCTTTAAAAAAAAAGAGTTTATTTAGCAACCAGTATATTTCAGCATGCTAATGATATAAAATTTCTTATTCATTTTGTTTTGGAATGGTATTTTGAATATAGATTTATTTCTTTGTTGACTTAATCATACATGTAGTAGATGTATGTCAAGCATTTTGTATGTCACATGTGGCATTTATTTGCTTTGATTGCTGAATAAACATGATAACCAGGACATTATGAAGAATAAGTTAAAGACATTTTAGCATATTTAGTACTGTATAATGTGCTAAATAACCTTTGTATTCCGTGGCTGTATACCTGATGAGTCTTTTCCACAAATTTCTAAATGTACATTTCAAAATGCAATATAGTATTGATGATAATGTTTGGTATCAATTATTTAATATTTTTAATTTATTCTCCATTTGCCACTTGCTGTTCTGGTTCCAAATGTTTGAATTAAAACTACTCAGTCAAAATTCATTTTCTGTGTTTATATTGCAGAGTTGAGTAGTTAACTACAGATTATGGTCAATGATCAATACTGAATCTTTTTCCTTCATTCAAAAATATTTCTTAACATATTTGCTTTATTTCCTATATGAAAACATATATTTAGCTAGGCCCCTCCCTAAAATTTTAGAAATTCCTCATAGTAATAGAGTAGCAAAAGCCCTAATATCACCCGCATGATTTTCAACAAGAAATGGCAGAATTTGTGTGATATTAAGGGAGATGAAGGGGGTAAAGAGAGAGAGAGAGAGAGAGTGAGAGGGAGACTACTTGAACGTGTTCTTTAGTGCAATCTTTAGTTCCTACTACATACAATATACCTGATAATTAAACCTCAAAGAATATTAAATACATATCCATTTTTAGCTTAAGATTAAAGAGAATAGCTTATTAATCATTTTAAAAGCACTTTGTGCCAATATCCATCTGTGCTATTGATAGTTAATTTATTGTGAGCCGTAGCTTCGTGAACAAAAACTGACATCATACATCTAACATCATAATTATACAAAGAAGAAAAGGTGCTCTTATTTTATCCATACATCTATTAAACAAGTAATTTTACCGCATTTCAGTGTCTATCTCATGAAATTGCTTCACACAATAAAAATCCCATATGTTTTATACGCGCTCGGCTACGAGCCGTCACTTCGTGAAAACAAAATACAAGCGTTCTATGTGATTTGTGTTTTCACGAAATGACGGTTAAGTTAAAAGTTCATATAGAGACATTCGGTTTATTCTTATCAATAAAAAAAAAAAGCTACCAAACGAGGAAAATGTACTCTATCTCTCAGTTCGCATTATTTTATCACTACATCAATTAAACAAAACATAATGCTGTTTTTAGTGTCCATTTCGAGAATTCCATCCACAAGGGGAAAGTCCCATACGTTTTACGCGCGCGGCTACGTACCGTCACTTCGTGAAAACAAAATCAAAGCGTTCTATGCAATTTGTGTTTTCACGAAATGACGGATGTGTTAACAGTTCACACAGAGAAATGAAAAAGCAGCTACAGAAAGAGGAAAATGTACTCTTTCTCACAGTTCGAATTATTTTATCTGTACATCAATTAAACAAAACTTTTTGCCGTATTTAGTGTCCATTTCGAGAATTCCATCCACGAGAAAAAAATCCCATATGTTTTACGCGCGCGGCTACGTACCGTCACTTCGTGAAAACAAAATCACAGCGCGTCCTTGAATTTCGTGTTTTCACGAAGTGACGGTAATGTTTACAGCTCATTTCCTCAAAAAATATAAGAAATAATGAAAATATTTAAAGATAGAACTAAACATTGAGATATTTTCTATCCCAGGATATAAAATTTATTTGCCTTTGATAAATTAAAGAGGTTGAGATTATGGCTTGAACCTTTAAAAGCGATTTATGCAAAACTAACTTTCTTTTAGTTGCGCGCTCTACCGTCACTTCGTGAAAACAGGGACGAATTACTAGTTTCTTAAAATAGCAAATTAAGTCATTAAATGGCTATGATAATGAGCATGCTTGTTCTACTTAATGTGCCAGTGGCGTAGCCACGATAAGCTTAGTCGGGGGGCAGTGTGTTGGGGCAAGATTTCCCACGAGCGGGACAAATGACGATAGGATTATGTGTGTTTTCCTACTTGTTTTCACCGCTGTAGCGGGGGAAATATATTAGCTAGATTATGGGGATGTCTATAATTATCAAAGCTAAAAAGTAAAATAATTTTTAAAAATACATAATACAGGGGATGCAACCGTTCGCATAATGTCTTACGGTAAAAAAAAAATCGTATCTGATTCTGAATATCCAACTTCCTTACTTATATGGAAAATATGTCGTGCGACATTGTATATTTACGAAAAGCTTGAATATGGTATATAACTTAAGTCCCTACAACCCTCTCTCTGTCGCTCGAAGGCAACACTGATACAACCCCACGGCCCCCACCCTTAAACACACAGAGGCTACGCCATCTATGAACTACTTGGACGAGAATTGTCGCTAATATGTACATGTACCAAGGGAATACTGCCGGGAGGGTGGGCAGAATGGCGCAGCGGGGTCGGGCTTACTTGGGGGGGGGGGGGGGCTGGTGACCGGAATGTAAGACACGTTCATTATTGGGGCACGCCTTTTTTTCAGAAATGTGAGTTTTCAATAAATATTTTCTTCAAATGTTTGGGACCATGTGGCCTACCCCAACCCCGGCCTACGCCCCAGCCACTGCCTACGCTGTGGGGTGTCCTCTAACCAGCATGTCGCTTTCTTATTAACATTTAGTTTATTGCTTATGTCATGTTGACTTTTTCGGTATTATGAATAGAGACCCTCTCGTAGCATTATGAATAGCGCCCCTCTTCTCCTATGATGAATAGCGAACCTCATTTCGTATTATAAATAGCGACCATCTACTCCTATTATGAATAGCGACCCTCACTTCATATTATGAATAGCGATTCTCTACTTCTTTTATGAATTGCGACCCTCATTTCGTATTATGAATATCGACCTTCATTTCGTATTATGAATAGCAACCCTCTACTCCTTTTATGACTAGCGACCCTCATCTCGTATTATGAATAGCGACCCACATTTCTTATTATGAATAGCGACCCTCATTTCGTATTATGAATAGCAACCATCTACTCCTATTATGAATAGCGACCCTCATTTCTTTTTAGGAATATCGATCTTCATTTCGTATTATGGCAACCCTCTACTCCTATTATGAATAGCGACCCTCATTTCATATGATGAATAGCGACCCTCATTTCGTATTATGAATAGCGACCCTCTTCTCCTATTATGAATAGCGACTCTCTTCTCCTATTTTGAATAGCGACCCTCTTCTCCTATTATGAATAGAGACCCTCTTCTCCTTTTATATATAGCGACCCTCTTCTCCTATTATGAATAGACACCCTCATTTCGTATAATGAAAGCGACCCTCTTCTCCTTTTATGAAGAGCGAACCTCATTCCGTATTATGAATAGCGACCCTCTTCTCCTATTATGAATAGCGACCCTCTTCTCCTATTATGAATAGCGAACTTCATTTCGTATTATGAAGAGTGACCCTCTTCTCCTATTATGAATAGCGACCCTCATTTCTTTTTATGAATAGCGACCCTCTTCTCCTATTATGAATAGCGACCCTCTTCTCCTATTATGAACAGCGACCCTCTTATCCAATTATGAATAGCGAACCTCATTTCGTATTATGAATAGCGACCCTCTTCTCCTATTATGAATAGCGACCCTCTACTCCTATTATGAATAGCGACCCTCTTTTCCTATTATGAATAGCGACCCTCTTCTCCTATCATGAATAGCGAACCTCTTCTCCTATTATAAATAGCGACCCTCATTTCGTATTATGAATAGCGACCCATATTTCTTATTATGAATAGCGACCCTCATTTTGTATTATGAATAGCAACCCTCTTCTCCTGGACTCCTATGGAAGGGCAGGTAGATGTGCTTGCCAGAGGGCCACCTCACTTCACAACTGCTGCTCACTTACTGTGGAATAATTTAACCCACCGATATCTCTTCGTAACCGCCAATCTGTCAATACCTTCAAAAATTATCTCAAAACTCTCCTTTTCTGTTAGCAATATAACTGTTAAGCGCATTCGAACATTTATATGAAAAATGCGCTATATAAATACATTATTTATATTATTATTATTATTATTATTATTGTTATTATTATTATTATTATTATTATTATTATTATTATTATTATTGTTAGATTTATTAATATTATAATTATTATTATTATTCACGGTCAAAGGGGCCAGCTAGTTGATTATATACAATAATGGGAAACAGAAGGCTTCAGAAAGCTACAATTGGTCGCACATACATTCCTTGTTTTAACCTTTAGACAAAGTCCTTTCCATACAATCCCAAAATATTTCGAAGAAGCAACTCCTCAGCAGTTTCAATAGCATGTAGAAAATCATTGGATTACGTAATAACGTGGTGGACAAGGCTTTTGAAATTGCGTGTAATGTTTTGTTATGTTGTTGCTGTTCTTGTTAAAAGTCTTCCCAACATATTTTCCCTGTACACGGGTACTCACCTCCTGAAACCACAGCTGTAATAAATGACTGAAACTGTGAGATTCGAGTGAAGACGCCGGGCAAGAGTGATCCTGCGCATCCTCCTTCAAATATTGTTGTTCCGACCAGATGCCATCGACCATCATCACCCTCACAGGTCAAAGGACCGCCCCTGTCTCCCTGATGTTTGTAATGATAAACACGAGACAGTGAATTTAATTGGATGACTTTCAAACTAAATCAAGTATTCTACGTAGGACCACACACATGTGCAGTTTTCGAAAAGGTACATGTATTTGGAACTTAGAAGTTTGATATATAAAGGGGTAGTTAAAGTATGCCCAATTTCTGAAACAAAGACAAAAAAGTTAAAAAATTGAAAATTACTGAGTGAAAAAGAACACCCTTGCAGTCAGTGTCACAGTTATAAGGGAAACGGGAGTAAAGCCCAAATAATAGTTCTAATGAAAATAAAATATGATGGGAGAGCAGAAAAGCAACTTGGGTAAAAGGTAATGACTCAATCCTATGCCCTTATTTCCTTCCATGCCGTCGAGTAGAGAGGTTTGACCGCTATACTGGGAATTCGAAGGTCATGGGTTTGACTCCCGGTACAGTACTGATGTCCTTTGATAAGGCCTTAATCTACATTTGCCACTCCATACCCAGGATTGAATGTGGACACTGTAGAGCACGAAGCCTGTGTGATAGTTAATGTTTAATACCCTCACGGTGACCATGCGGTAGAAATACTCCCCAGAGACTGGAGATGCTGCACATTTTACGTATGAATGAATCCGGTGTCCGGGATAATAATATCTTTAAAGCGCTTAGAAACGGTATTTTGTCTTTAGCACTATACATGTATAAATCTAGATTTGTCATTATTATTAGTAATAGTATTAGAAGTATAAGAAGTAGCAGTAGTTGTAGTAGTAGAAGCAGTAGTACATGTAGTAGTAGTAGTAGTAGAAGTAGAAGTAGTAGTAGCATTCTCTTTAATTAAAACCTCATAACAGTTGCCTTTTGTGTCCGATAGCGCCGCCCCACGACACCTGTGCCCCCCCCCCCCCACATACCCATAGATAGCAGTTACCTGACAAGTATCAATTCCACCTGGTGCATATACAGCACATATCATTTCTTCTGCCAGAACCCCTTTGTAGGAAAGATTAGAATTGCACCAGTTCTGATCAGGAAGGTTCACCACTGCTTTTTTCATACTCAACGTCAACGCTGCGAAAGATTAAAGTAAATCATCGTTTACATCTTCTGTAAGAAAACGAATTTCAAGTAAAATTATCATCAAATTTTTGAAACCATTTAAAGAGTTATGGAAAGGTAGAGTGGTTTCAACACTGCTATTTAGCATGATTTTTCATTTTTTAACCATCCAATAAATACAGTATTTAATGATATTTGGGTAAATAGGGGTATCAAGTTAGGTGGATGAAATCATATTTGTTATGAATTTTGAGATCTACGTGAAGACGAACTACTGAAGGGCATCTTCAAAGCTTCCCTGTTTGAAAGAGGCCTTGTGGATATCACATTCCTTTCAATCAGATAACTTAGAGAATTTATTGGCTTACCCCTGTAGGAATTGAGCAACCTATATCAGCAACTAAATAGCGAAGCACAGTAGTGTTGTTGATTCAATTTCATTTCAATTCAATTGTTTCATTCATTGTAAGTATAAAATATATATATATATATATTCACAAATAAATACATAAAATACATCATGACTTAACCGGAGTAATGATATGAATAATACCTTAGTCTTAAACAGAATGAAAAGAAATGAATATGGGAAAACTTCCTAGGTCCTTGTATTAGGCAAGCCCTCCACGAGCATAATTTTCACAAGACTCGATAAATATGAAGGCAAAGAAGATCAAAATAATTAAACATATCAGAATCAACTTGCATACAGGAATCCAGTTTAAAACCAATAACATACACATCATGTTTGAAAAGACAGTCCGACAGTTTGAATTTCTTCCCGCTGCTCGTATTCTTAGACGAAGTATTTTATTTTCAGTCGCCTCTCTTGACCCAGGCGTGGTGAATGGGTACTGGTGTAATAGAGTAATATATACTCTGACTGACATGTACTGTAAGGTGATACCGGCACCCGTATAAAGCTGAAGAAATCGTATTGCATTTATGGACACACACACGCACACACGCACTTCCTTTCATTTGAAAGATTCGCTTTACAAAATGGGCAATGTTCTTTCCTTATCATTATTATAATCATTATCAAAGCCTCATCTGTTTCTGTCTTCAAAGTTTTTTTGAAGATGCACTTGTTTTCAGGATTAAAATGTTTATTCAATATTGTTTGTCTGTATAGTAGCACTGTTGGGAGTTTTGAATTCATTACAGAGCAGTAGAGTGGCTGCACTTTATAAATTAATCTAATTATTATCATCATTATCAAATATAAGTAAAACAGTACATACGTGGGCCTTGCAGTGTAGTTCCCCATCCAGCGACGAGGCAGCGACGATAGTCCTCGAGTTCATCCGGGGATTCCGACAGACACGCGGGTCTAACGTAGTCACTGAATGGCACCGGTTCAGCAAGTCGTATCAGAGCGATGTCGTTGATGTACAAATAGGTGTCGTACTCAGGATGTTCGAAAATATCAGCCACCTCAACCGCTACCTCGTTGTCGGAGTCATCCGTCAAATGTGCGTTCCCAAAAACTACACGATCGACGTAGTAAGGACTATAAATGATAGTAGATGTAAAATCAGTGATTTTCCAAGGGCGAAATATAATCATGTATATCAAAAGGACATCTCAATGGAGCTGCATTATTTGAGCATGATATATATTATATATTAACTGTAGTTTCATACATGTACATCAAGATTTCATTATATATAACAAACGTTGTATTTGCTTTGTCTCTCAGGGGTTTCATGAACTAACTAGCTCTAATACATCGTACGTTATACGGTCATGTAAATGTAATTCTCTAAATTAAACATAATTCTGTAAGGACATTAAAATGAAATCCCGTCATCTGACAGTTATTTATTATCCTCTCGCCGACGAAGTCGGAGGGGATACAGTAACGCTGCCGTCCGTCTTTCCATCCTTCCGTAACAAATCTAGTTTACGATCGATAACTTTAGTAACTTTTGACGTATTTTAATGTAATTTGATATGAAGGTACATGGTATCAAAATACAGCCTCAAATCGACTCGGAGTATGTAGGTCAAAGGTCATAGCTCATTAAAAATGCGAATCTGGTCTCCGTTCGATAACATTAGTAATGTTTGACGGATTTTAATCAAATTCGATATTCAATTAACTTAAATTCATTTATTTTTTCCTCTTTCCATTTTTCATATTTAAAATGATGTTACTTTTTACATATCGACATATTAATATACATCATATAGCTCCGTTTAGTCTGTTTTCACAACGCCCCCTATCGTCAGAGTCAGCAGCCTTAGATGTTAGACTATGGAATTTTACCCCCCAAAAATCGTTAACAATTTTTTTTTTTTTTTTTTTTAAACGAAAAGCACATCCACCCCGACGTGCGTTATCACTCGCTCTTTCATTGGACCCTTCATGTCCCATTGATTTTTGAAAGTTCACCCACCGTAATTTGATCAAAATAAGTTGCAAGCTCGTCATTGCCTATAATACACATGTGAAACAAGTCGAACTTTGGACTCAGTTTGCCAAGCGATTTTAAGATTATAGGTCAAGCACACGAATGATAGGAAGCATGAATTATCATAGATCACTTCTACTAGGTTCATTATGTCCATTTCATCCAACCCCCCACCGTCATTTTTTCCAATTTTATAAGTAAAAGCAAACATTTTGCCCAGTTAAGCAAAAACATGAATATTCATGAACGGTCAGACAATACAGCCTTTTAGTACGTAACGTATAGTGAATGGGAATGGGCGATGATCCGTCCAGGAGTTAGAGGTCAGTGGTTTGTGCTGGCAATGTTCCAGCGAGCAAAAATGAGACAACCGAAGCAATATGATACATTTAGATCAATTTGCACAATACAATACATTTATTTAAAAAAACATGAAATTTAAAGGGAAGGAGGGCCGACTAAAAAGCAGAGCTAGGCCTATATGAAGGTACGTGATATCAAAATACGGCCTGAGATCGTTTTTGGAGTATTCAGGTCAAAAGTGAAAGGTCATAACTCATTAAATATGCGAAAATGCCTAATTATATATGCGAAAATGTGGTTAACTTCCTTGCCCAGTAATATAATAATATAGTCTAATGGAGGTAACTTGTTCTGACGTATTAGGCCATTTATACCCTGCGAGGGGATATGCTACGCTTTGCGTTGACTTGTTCTACTTATTTCATACATACATACAATTCCTTCTCATATAGCGCAAAGTTCAATAAAATATTGCTTAATGCCTGTTACATGATATTGTAATTGGGTTGATCTGTTCAAAGGAACGGATATATAATTGGGTGTACAGATATATTGACTACTAGTGATACTTTATATGTATAATTTCATGACTATGATTATTTAGACGAAAACTCAGTGCATAATTTGTTTAGTTATAGTACATGCAATCTAGAGGTAAACACGTTCGCTTCTATATAAATTGTGAAGGTAAGTTGTCAATTTGCTTTCATTTCCACAGAGCAAACGAGTCTGATTTTATAGTGGCATCATACTTACACGCAGTGAGCGGCGGTAAGAACCCATAGAGAGTTGATCAGGGTAGACCCACACCAATGTCCTCCAAAATCCAATCCTTCGAGGCGGAGTGAACCAATCCAAGGGAATTCTCCTTGGCGTGCGTTGGTACCACCAAGAACCCTGTTTTGGTCTGATGCGTATGCAGGGCGTGTCCCGCATATGTTGGTACCGAAAATATCTGGGGGAGGGATAGAGTCGCAAGTCAGTGGCACGACGGGAAGGGAAGGGACATCCACCCAATTCGAATAGCACCCCTTTGCCTCCCCCAAAGCAAATGAAACAAAACAAAGCATAAATCAAAAAAATGATAGACCACCTTTGAATACGCTCGAATCCACCTCCTTTTTGGATGCTGATTTTCATTTTTCTCTAAAAACCCACTTGGCAGTAAGATCAGTGCCGCCATCCCCATCTCATTAGTTGCACGCCACTGCCACATGTGATGAATTCAATAGAACATGCTGACATCTTTTCTTCGGTTTTATGAACTATCATTTATAAACACTTAGTGCATCTTATTAAGTCCAGGCATATTCTTAACTCAATATCATCTACATGAATATGGCTGCATGGTCTTTACCTCCCGCAGGGCCAAAACAGCTCCCATCTTCCTCCTGTTCATCGGTAAACATGGAACAGTTGACGGGCCAAGGGCGGTCGAGGAGTTGCTCAAAGGATGCCTTGCAGGCATCAGTGACTGCTAAACAGTCGGAGTAGCACACCCGATGGGTGGGGCCGTTATGGGTGCATTCCGGATAGTATACGGTGCACATGAAAGGGAACAGGTGATCATGGCACGATGATATAGTATCTGCCTATGGTAGGTCATTAGAAAGTATAAACTTTGAGGATTTCACATCAGGATTTTAAAAGGAGGCAATTGCAACGTAGATGTGTATGGTACATCAACAACGTCAATATAGCCAGCAGCACTTGCAAGTGGTAGGGTGGGGGGGGGGTGGGACCACGTGCCGACAAATATAACATAAATAATGTATTTTCAGACAAACAATAAATATTACATCAAAACAGATCTCCAACATATTTTCAGTCGTTACGTCTCTGAAAAATACATCCTTCTGTGTGATTATCCTTACTACCATGCATATCCCCTCGCAAAGAATCACTTTTACAAAAAAGAATTATTGAATGCGTATAAACAAATACCAAATTCATTGGTTGATATACAGGTCAATAATCGTAGTAAGACAATGTTCTACTAAGGTTAACACTAATTAATTAATCGTTCCTGGCATTATCTATGAAAATCACCAACAATCTGGACAAACCGATCAGTAATAAAGAATCAACTCAACATTCCTTTATAAAGCAATTAAAAAGACATTCCGCTGCTTTACCATGTCTGTAAAGCCTCCCGCTGCAGCGTCTGCTGTCTCTGCGTTCCGATTCGGGAAAAAAGTCAAATTGTAGGCCAGGCTCTGTCTACATATATCTAAATGAACTTGTTCGCAGTACGCTGGGTAGTAGAAAAATCGATCAATGAAGGGTCAAAAACAGCGATAACATGTCAGAGAAATCAGGAAAGCAGACAACATAATATATGACACATTAACAGCAACAAAAAGGGCAATCAAAATAATTCAACCGCTGAAGGTCATGAAAGGCTTAATGTGTTTGGGGAACTGCTTAACAAAAACTCAGGGAAAAAAACTCTCTCTAAAGTAAAAATCCGGAAGTATAGAAACTCCCTCAATATACAGAAATAACATAGAAATTCATAGACAGGTGTGCAATACAATTTAAGGAAATGTAAATTTCATGTAACTACATGTATAACGATAGGAATTAATTGAGAAGCAAATGTAAACGTTAAATCAAAACTTACGACAGTATTCCTCATCTGAGAAATCGAGACAGTCGTTATTTCCGTCACACCTTGCCGATTCGCTGATACACAGTCCACTAGAACATTGCATTTGACCGCTGCTGCATTCTGTCATGAAGTATTTAAAGCATCGAATTATAGATAATCTCAATTCTAGTAAAACAATTTGTTATAATTTGTTATAATAACAATGTAAGAAGAATAATAGCTACATTTATATTGCACACACATTCATCCCAGAGGAAGCTCAAGGCGCCTACAAAGTAATATTATAACCCTGGCTTTAGCCTAGTTGCCCTATTCAAAGGCGTTCAAAGTATTCAAGGAATAAATTTCTACGGGGATGCCATTTACTATGTCTGGGAGGATATTAAAAAATGTATATTAACGTCTTGCCAAAGGACATTAGTGCCTTGCTGAGACTCGAAACGCAAACCCAGTGACGTATCCATAATACCACGACACCTCTTAAGAAGCAGAACCTATGGCTAATATTATCTTACCAGGGTTAAGTATAGCTGTGACACGAAGACTGAAGCCAAAATCATCCCTTGAGACATCCGTGGTAAATCTGGCCCACATAGAGTGACCGGGTGTAGCGGGTTCACTGGAATAGTTATACCCAGTCAGTTTCTGAAGCTCCCAAGAACCAGGTTCATTGGGACCAGGCCCAGAACCAATGTACAAGTAGTCGTAGTCCGTCTCTAGGGCCAGGTCCAGGATCTGAATCTGGAGGATGTGACCCACTGGAGCCGTGAGTACCCAAGTAAGGTCGAGGTTCGAGTCGTAGTAGAATGGATAGCCGGGTGAAGATATGACAGTGATTTCGTTCCTTTCAAGTTCTATTACAGTGATGCTGGTATCTGTGCAATGAATTCATAATAATAATAATAATAATAATGATAATGACAATAATAATAATAATAATAATAATAACTAGAAATTTAATTCGTCATTAGGTGGTCTGTCTTCAAGTCTAATGATCAAGCTCATCTTCAATTCAATTGTCCAATATAATGATGTCAATGTTAAATGATGTATTAAGATATGAATTGATGAATGAAGTACTGATGAAAGGATGAACTGATAGATTGAATTGATGTGAAATGAACTGAATTGATGAGCTAAACTGATTAACTGATGAACTGATAGATTGAACTGATGTGAAATGAACTGAATTGATGAGCTAAACTGATGAACAGATGAACTGATAGATTGAACTGTGACATGAACTGAAGTGATCACTTAACTGATGAACAAAATATCGAGAAATGATTATGATCATTGTGAAATTTAATGAAAAAAGAAATGATGTACATATGAAACAAAGCAATGGGAAATTAACTCCTTGATGATCATGATGATGAATGAATGATGATGATGATGATGTGATGATCATACTGATAATGATGATGATCATGATAATGTTGATGATAATGATGATCATGATGATGATGGTCATGATGATGATGATGGTGGTAATGATGATAACGATGATAATGACGATCATGATGATAATGATGATCATGAGCGTGATCCTGACATCTTAATGAAAACATGAGGGGTGATTTAGATAGCATATAGTCTCAGCTACAAGATACTCCAAAATCAACAAAATCCAAGCAGAAAGAACGGATATATTGCTCGCAAAAGATATGAATGTAGAATCCAGATTTGAGAAAAAGTCATCTCCCATAGGGATTACACGCAAAAAGTAATGGATCAAGTGGTAATAGGGTAATAATGAAGTAAATATGGTTGTTAATTCCATTATTTGCGATTCTACGTGTTTAAATATTCAAAGGAGATGGTACAGTGAAAGGTCAAAAGAAAAAAATGAAGAAAAAAATTGTTGGAGAAGCCCGGACTCGAACCAGGGGTGTCGAGGTCGGAAGTCAAGTGCGTTACCGATATACCAAAACATTTCCCATAGCGATTACATGTGAGCGGAAAATGGAATTATCAAATCACACATTGCAAGTAAAATATGAGCATGATCCCGGCATCTGAACGAAGAATTAAGGGCACACTTGTGATAGCTTTTTGTCTCAGCTACAAGATACCCGAAGCTCAGCGAAAACAAAGATAAAACGACGGAGATATTGCTCGTGAAAGACGGGAATGTAGAATCCAGTTTTGAGAAAAAGTCATGTCCCATAGAGAATACACGCAAAATGTGAAAAATTGACATGCCTCCTTTGAAAGAAATTTGATCAATATTTACAGAGATACAATCAATTTTCCAAAAATCTGCTGACGTCATAATATGCAAATTGAAATTTTGAGTTCGGAGGCCATTATGATGACGTCATGAGTTAATTGAGGGTCAAATGAGACATGAAATCATATATCCAACTCATGCTTTTTCCAACCATGATATAAAAGTTGGGAGTCAACACTATCTGAAGAGCTATTTTGATTTTTAAAATGGCATGTTTTTGATCAAATTTGCATTATATTTCTCATAGCAGCACGCGCGGATTTTGAACTTTGACGCGCGCTCACGGCCTTATGAAAGGTCAAGAGTGACTGAAATTAATGTAAATTGTCATTTACGGTAAAAGGAATCTAAATTATGTAAAAAATTTGAATTTTACATTTTCCGCGCGTTGTGAGCGCGCGCAACGCGCGCGGGGACACGTACGGACGGAAAATGTTGAAATGCTTAAAATGACCTGATTCGTACTCTTCATTAATAGTTAAGTGATTTTGAGCATTTTTAAATTTTGACGCACGTGTACGCGCGCGTCATGACCTTTATGTGACCTTTGATGACATGACCTGTTTACCCATGACCTGAACTATATGTAATATGAATATGAATGACTTTGCTGATGCAACATGAAGATATGATGGATAATGTGATTTCACAAAATGGCGCCTGCATGACGTCACGATGACCTGATGACCTTGAAAATGTTACTGGAACGTCTTATGGCAATGATCTATAACTTTGCTAAAATTGAACGAAATGGACCTAACTAATCTTGAGTTATCCTGTTAACAAAAAAGCGAATAAATAAATAAAAATAAAGAAAGAAAATTTGAACAAAAACAATAGGTGATCTTTCGATATCGACAGACCACGTAATAAAGAAAGAAAATTCTGACGAAAACAATAGGTGATCTGTCGAAAACGACAGACCACCTAATGAGAACTGACTTTTGGTCATGAAGATGTGAACATGAGTTTATTTTCAGAAAATTTCACAAAATGGCGCCTAGATGACGTCATCAGTCAAGGTCAAGGTTGAAAACCTAACCGTGCTTTGTCCATATGCCTATACATATGTGTGCCAAATTTCAATTTATTTGATTCAGCCATTTTTAAGTTATCTTGCTAACAAAAAAGTGGTAAGAATTAAGAAAAATAAACTAGATTTGTAATACTTGTTTGGAACAAGTATAGGTGGGCTGATCCAACAAAAATTTGAGACAAAATAAAGGGTACATTTGAGATAGCTTTTTGTCTCATCTACAACATACTCGAAGTTCAGCGTAAACGAAGCTAAAACGACAGAGATATTGCTCGCGAAAGACGGGAATGTAGAATCGAGTTTTGAGAAAAAGTCATGTCCAATAGAGAATACACGCAAAATGTAAAAAATTGACATGCCTCCTTTAACCGCAAAAATACGCCATGATGCCTTTGTCAAAATGAAGGATAGTTGCAACTGGATTTGTAGGAAATTGTCTCAGCTAGAACATATCAAAATTTGGAAGAAAATCGATTAATATTTACAGAGATACAATCAATTTTCCATAAATATGCTGACGTCATAATATGCAAATTGGAATTTTGTGTTCGGAGGCCATTATGATGACGTCATGAGTTAATTGAGGGTCCAATGAGACATGAAATAATATCTCCGAATCATACTCAATCAAAATATGAAAGAAAATTGGGGTCACCTTGCATCCTAAAGAGCTACAATGGATTTTGCATAGGCATGTTTTTGCCAATATATGCTATGTATTACAAGAGCTCGCGCGCACTGGAATTTTTGTTAAACGGTCGATCATTCCGTTATTAATATTCCATGTTGACCTACAGATACGAAAAAGGTTTCTGTAGCTCTGTAACTTAAGTGAAACGCCTAATATTCTGTTTGCAATCCCGCTATTTAGGCAAAATTATCTCATGCATAAAGAACAGGAATCTAAGGAATGACTAGATTCAATCGAATTCCTGCCCCCCCCCCCATGACAAACAACTGTAATAATATTTGTATTAAAGCCCTACTGCACTACTTGTAGCTACTTACTCCCTCTATATAGAAAAAAATGCCTAAGCGGTGCCCGTTGGTCCCCCACGATCCCCTTTTTTAAATGTTAATAGGCCGGTTTCGTAATATATTCACAGACCTTTAATTCGCATTACGTAATCGGAGGGTCGGACAAACAATGAACTCGCAGTGCGTAGCAGCCTACACTTTGTGTTCGTTCAATACATGACTGTGTTCGCTAGGTGTGATTGCATCGTTTATTTTCGCTATTTTGAGAGAGAGAGAGAAGAAAAAGGAGGCAGATTCAAACTTGAATAATAAATAGCTTTGAGATGTGAATTTGTTCTTCATACATTCGATCTTTAGAATCGCTGAATCTTAGGCAAGAATAATAGGAAAGCATTGCTGTTACAGAACTAGCGATTCCCATCTTGTTCGGTCAAGTCCCCGGTACAGGCAGCACACGACACCCCCTCAAAAAGAAGAAAAATGAGGTCGATGATACATGCGATATTGGCTCGAAAGCCAGTGATGAAACAGAGAGCAAGGAACCAAAATATCAGTTAGCCGATATCGGTAATTTCCATTCAATTTTGCATTTACCTTAGCTTGAAACTGAGCAAGGGTGTCGATTTGTATCCGTGGTTGGGGGGGGTGATAGGTGCCAAAATAAGTTCGGCAATGAATCAAAGCAACACACAGGTATAAGACCCCCTCCCCAAGCACGTAGCTAGCATTTCATTTTAGGGGGGGCGGTAGTGAGAACGCAAAACGTGCGAATCACTTACAGAGCGCGCAAAGCGCGCTCCCTAGGGGGTTGGGTGCAGGGAGGGGGGGGGGAGTTTCATTAAATTATTAGAAAAAGGAGACGATTCGTGGCTCGACTCTTAATCCTTGTTTGAATCAAGTTTCCCTTCCTCCATATGGAAACGTTTGCTTCTGTTTGTCTCATAAAAGAATTTGACCACAAACTGACTCCCACACGGTGTTGAGTGCTCAGGGGTCACAGGCCACTGGCTTCATCGGGCAGGTAGTTCCATTATGTGAATGGGTAAATTAACTATTACAAAATGAGGGGACACATCACATTGTACAATAGGGACACACATTGTTTTTATTGTGCAGAACATGCTCTTTTATTGACTTACTTATTGCATGAAACTATAAAACCAAAATGCATTTTGTATTCTAACAATTGGAGTACAAAGAATAATAACAGGTGAATGAAATGCATTACACATCACAAACACCTGGGGAGGAAGCATTCATAAATTTGAATACATAATTATAGTTGATAAACGACTCCGATGAAACTATAAAACCAAAATGAAATTTGCGTTCTGGCAATTGGAGTACAAAGAATGATAGCAGGTGAATAAAATGCTTCAACAGCAACACAAACACCTGGGAAGCTAGGAAGCATCCATAAATTTGAATAATTTAGTTGATAAACGACTCCGCATGCATGTGATTCATGTGAACGTTTGTTGGAGCAGAAAGCAGTGGATTCTTAACATCACGAACCCATTTAACAGAAGGTCGGAACGTAAATTAAATTTGGCGCGGTTGGAAATGCATCTTTCTACCCTGCGACTTTAATGGTACGATCCAGTAAATCAAAACAGTAAAATGGCTCTTATTTTAAAATTACTCATTAAATAAAACCCAAAACTTCAGTGATATCTGAAAAAATATGTTATATCTTACTAATAATTAAAAAAGATGTATAAACATTGTGAAAGTGTCGCATTTTACGATAAAAGACACCGATTTAGCGAAGATGACCTCATTAGTGCGCTTGCATCAGGGAATTCAAGGTCAAAAGGTCAATTCAGACGCTGATAAGTTATTGGTCGAGCCTTTTTGTTTCCTTTATTCCAACATAATTATACAATCAATCAAAACAAGTTTAATACCAGAAGAAAGCTAACGATTAGTATTTTCATTAACCGCTTGCCCCAAAGTCGCTTGACCACAGTGTAATGAGTGAGAGCTTGCGAGAGCGGCCAAAGTGTGATTGAAACTCGCTATTCGTTATTCTCCAACGCAAAAAGAGACGATATTGTGCTGGATAAATGTATTTTTTCCGACGAAAGTACAGAAAATTTGCATATGGTCTTTTTATATTATACTTTATGAAATGTTACCCGAGTGACTTCCGGGCGCCCCAATGCTGGAAAGAAACGCACATTTTAGAAAACTTCACTTTTTCATGGAAAAATGCTTATTTGTTCTATGCACGCAAGTCAGATTGAGCGGATGATACAACGTTTCCATATGGCGCGTAGCGCGGAAGCTCTGAGGTTTCATTAGATTATTAAAGAAAGAAAACGATTCGTTGTACCATTCTCGATTCTTAATCCTTGTCCGAATTCTGTTTTCCCCCCCTCCCGCGCGAAGCGCGGATGCTTTGACGTTTCATTACATTATTAGAGAAAGAAGACAGTCTGTTGTACCGTTCTCGACTCTAAATCCTTGTCTGAATTCAGTTTCCCCGCTCCCGCGCGAAGTGCGGAAGCTTTGACGTTTCATTAGATTATTAAAGAAAGAAAACGATTCGTTGTACCATTCTCGACTCTTAATCCTTGTCTAAATTCTGTTTCCCCCCCCCCCCTCCCGCGCAAAGCGCGGAAGCTTTGAAGTTTCATTAAATTATTAGAGAAAGAAGACGATCTGTTGTACCGTTCTCGACTCTAAATCCTTGTCTGAATTCAGTTTCCCCGCTCCCGCGCGAAGCGCGGAAGCTTTGACGTTTCATTTAATTATTAGATAAAGAAGACGATTCGTTGTACCGTTCTCGACTCTTAATCCTTTTTCTTCCTACGTCCTCTTTCTTTATTATTTCTCTTTTTTCTTCTTTTTGCCGGCGTTTTTTTTTGGGGGGGGGCGACCGCCCCCACCGCCCTACCTGGCTATGCGCCTGCCCCTCCCTTCCAAGTTATCAACTTTTTCAAGTCGCCCTCAATAAAGATAACATTTCAGAGAATATAAGAGTGAGAAAAAAATTAATAACATGCTAAATGTTAGTCCTGACTCTTGCCTGCGGTGTAGGCCTACCAGACTGATATTATCTATTTTTAAACGAAATGTAGACATAACCACACAAAAAATCCAATGGTGATGGATATCAAGTTCTGAAAGTATTATGGTACCAGTGGGCAAATGCATCAATAAGTAACCGGGAAAGGTTCATGTAGACAAAAAATTCTTTATTTCCTGGTGATAGAAACATACATTTTATGAATATTGAATAGACTCATCAATTCCTGATGAAGCCGTATTAGCGAGAATTCAATTTATTCTTGTCTCATATACGGTTGTCTCATATACGGTTGTCTCATTTACTTCGTTTTCTATTTATATATGTATGTATTATGAAAATGAGATAGCAAAATGTGTATATTGATGGTCATCTTGCGATAAATAACCATTAACTACTCTCATCATTAATCTCTTAATTTTTTCATTTTTTGGATGGTGAATTATTGGGGGGGGGGGGGGGTGATTGTACAGGCCCCCCCCCCCCCCCCCCCGACCTGAAATATTTCCCCCCCCCCCCCCCCATCCCCCCGGGATCGATACCCATGAAACTGAGTAAAAATTTGGACGTAGAAATGAAAGAAGTGATGAACTATTTTCCACTCGTTCGCACACACAATCACCTATGCTCGCGGAAGAACGTGCGTGCGCGCGTACCACGTGTTCATGTTCGTGTAGGCGCGATTCACATTTTCATAATGAAAACAAATTTACGGATTAAAAAATGTTTGTGAAACGCCTCGATACGAATTATAATAATAAAAGTAATTATAAAAAAAACACTTATGATGGCAAGGAAGAATCAGGATGATGAATAATTTTATTGTTTAAAATAAGATTAGGAATTAAGTTTGATTATCATTAAAAAATTAATAGTATTATAATTATGCCGGACCTTATTCAAGAAGCAATTATTATTATTTTAAAGAAACGTTTTAAAAATAAATTTGTTATTACATTTCTATTACTTTTTGTTTGTTTAATATTTATATTTTTTTTCTTTTTGTTCAAGTTGGTATGTTCTGTCTTTTTTCCGGGCTTGGTTACAGTAACCGCGCATTACGTAACCGCCGAAACTGGCCTGAGAGCTTATTAGTTGATGAGATAACCACCTGTCAGTGACCAAGTGGGAGCTATAATCCTTCCTGTCCAAACTAGTGCAGGTGCGATTTAAATGCCGTTTCATATCCTCATCCATGTACAAAACAATCAGAAATTGAAAAGTCTACCGAAATAAAGGACGGGGTATAAATAATTTTTTCTTCCTGAATAACTTTCAATTGTTTTGTTTTAACTGAATGCTTAGAAAGTATGTGTATGCTTGTAAGTAGGGAACCAGGGAAACGCCGACTTTAAATCCTCTCCGAGGGACTTGCTAATGAGGATTAATACAGTTTTCCTTGGTCAGTTGAATTGGAATAATACTAGTATAAGAATTATCTTACCTGTTTTTTCTGCAGATGTATACGGCAGAACAGAGACAGCCAATAACCCAAACACGATGAACATTATCCCCATTTCTCTTCGTGAAACTTCTCCACCTATGAAAATTTAAAAAGAATGTTTGATTATCGTGTAAATTTTCTATTGATTCATAGTACAGTGCGTCTCAGAAAAAACAAAACCGAGCATTATCGATGATTTATCAGAACTAAGTCACATTTATAATTGATAAATGACACATATTTGGAAAGCTTAGATACTCCTCTTCAATTTGATGCAACTCATATGATGCATATTTCACGCATGAGTGATTAAAATCAATTTGAAGAGAGGAAACCAAACAATCATTTGGCGGACGGTATCTGAATTTCAAAGAGAAAATGACATTTCTAGAAAGTTGAGTTTCTGTCCTTTCAAATGACACCTCAATCAGGAAAAATGAGCAAATAATGACAAATTATGTTTGTTTAGAGTAGTGCGAAGTAGTGTAGTGTATCAAACGAATTCGTTTTCACTGGCTGCCTGCCGTAGCAACAAGCAAAATGTACAAAAGACTTAACTACGTTTCGTTGACAATCAGCCATGCATGCATTCTTTCGTCTACGGCTGATCCGTTTGTTGATACGGCAGGCAGCCAGTGAAAACGAATTCGTTTAATAAACTTATGGAAATGCAAGCACTACTTTAAACAAACAGAACTTTGTTATTACTAGCTTATTTTTCCTGATTGAGGTGTCATATGAAAGGGCAGAAACCCAACTCTCTAGAAATGTGATTTTCTCTTCAAAATTCAGATATAGTCCACAAAATGGCTTCTTTTTTTATATCACTCATGCGTGAAATGTGCATTATATGAGCTGCATTAAATGAAAGAGGAGGATCTCAGATTTGAAAATATAAGTCATTTATCAACTATAAATGTGATTAAGTTATGATAAATCATCGATAGAGCAAGGGCAGGCTGTAAAATGTTTATCGTATCAATGGAGAAGGTACTAATAATGTCATTAAATAAGTTGCCATAGAGGATAGTTCAGGAAAATCCAACTTTCGATTCACGTTCTCCACGATTGGAAAAGTGCCCTTCTTGGAGTTGCCCCCCAAATGGAGACCAACAAAAACTGACGACAACGAAAAAAAATATAAAAGATAACGCTGCTTACCGCTTAATTACATACTAACTTTATTATATAAGAAAGGGGATAAACAGAGTTGGAACAACTGGAGACTAATATTATTACTGAACATTGACTAAAAGATCTTAGCGAAGGTGTTGTGTAAAAGACGCTTTCTGCGTTACTATTCGTCCTTGTTGTTGAAGTAATGGCCTTAAAAATTATGCAAAATAATGAAATACATGGTATCACGGTCGTCTCTGCTAGGTTTGGACAATTTGCCGGGCCAAGCTTAAATGTTATGAAAACAAATTGAAATTATAATGATTATACCGATTAAAAAGATACCGTCCGCCAAATGACTTTTTGGTTTTTGCATCAAATGGAAGAGGGGGATCCAAGATTTACAAATACGTGTCATTTATCAATTATATTTGTGATTAAGTTATGATAAATCGTCGATAATTCTCGGTTTCGTTTTTTCTGGGACGCACTGTCTCCAGTTGTCCACATTCAATAACAAAGACACCTCAAATAGCATTTATAAAAGAATTATGAAGGAATTATAATCCACTCAGGTATTTAGGTATATACCTAACTAGAAATTAAAAAAAGAATTTGATCGATTGAACTGGTCAGTGAAACTCGAAAAGGTTAAATCGATCCCAAATATCCGGAAGATAAGAAATGTAACCATTTATGGTAAAGTTGTTATAATTGAATCACTTATAATTTCACAATTTGTGTATGTTGCTTCAGTATTACCCATTTTCTCAAAAAATAATTGTTGACTTGAACAAATTGATTTATAATTTCCTTTGGAATTCAAAAAGAGACAAGATAAAGAGATCAGTCTTAATAAATACAACTGAAAATGCAGGCCTAGGTATGAAAGACTTGGGTTCCAAGTTCCAATCCCTGCATTTAGCATTGTTATCAATGTTCTTTGAAAATAACCAAGATACACCGTGGAAATTTATGTTTAAATTCTGGATTGAAAAGATATGTCCGTTGTCATTGATTTTAAAATCAAACTGTTCTCGCAAAGATATTTTGATTTTATGTTCAAAACACAATCTACCTGAGTTTTATGTTAATTGTCTCGTATACTGGAGTGAACTTAAATATATTGACATTTTGTATGTCGAAGATGTTAGAAATGAAATAAAAATGAAGATAATAAACGAAAAATACCTGATTGATGGTGCAGATTCTAATTGTTCAAACACTAAAGATATAAACGTAATTATTACATAAGCACAATATAAAATGTACTACTTTCAGAAAAAAACTTACAACAGTCTTGCAATATGGCATTTTTTTAAAAATAAACTGTGTTTGGATAATATTTCAGATGTTATATCAAATTCCCTTCAACATTATACTCCTTGATTTTATCTGATTGTAAAGATTTCAAGATTTGAGGTGTAAAGTAAATGTATATCTTTGTTTTAATTATTTGTTGTTAAATATATTTTATACCCGAATAAATGCCTCTGAAGAGGATTTTTTTTTCTTTTTAAAGTATTAGAAGAAAGGTTTTTTAGATAAATCAACTGATTTGTTTATATTCACTTGTAAGTCAAAGACCAAGTTAAGTTAAGGAACCCACAAGAAAAAGCAAAGCTTGTTGGTTCACATGGCTTGAGGCTCCAAGGGCCCTTTCCAAATTTCAAATGTACATTAAACGGGTTTATTACTCATAATACAAAAATTAAAAAAGTGGTAAAAAAAAAAAAGATTTTTTTTTTTGTTTTTGTTTTTTGTTTTGTTTTGTTTTGTTTTGTTTTTTGTTTTTTTACATCCTTTCAAATTTTTAGTAAAAAAAATGTGCCAAAGTTGGTGATTTTAGAAAAAAGTGCGATTTTCCAACTTAACCGCCAAACTATACAAGCTTTAGCTTAAAGAAACCCAACTGTATGTCCAACCATGGCTTATTCACTTACCCATAACCAGAAAGGGGTCAGTACAGTCGAGCAAGAGCCTGCAAATACACGAATCTCGATGGGTGCACCAGCAACCGAGGTGGACATCCAACATGTAGAAGGAGAAACAGATCGAGTAAATCCGTTCTGCATAGCCACGACTGACTTCACACGGCTGGGTAAACACGATTGGAAAGGACACACACACACACACGCGCGCGTGCGCTCACACACGCACACACGCACACCACTCTAGTCTGCAAGCACAAACCCTGGTCAGTCGTAAAAGAGAGTCTGCACTATAAGACTACCATAGGCCATGTACTATAGCTGCTCCTGACACAACCAGTAGGTAGCTGGGCTAGGCTTCTCTCAAGGCACAACGATTTTTGATAAAGTGTCAAATTAGGGTCTGTGCTTGCAGACTAATACCACTCCCCCGCCCCCCTCACACAAACGCACACTCTCTCTCTCTCACTAAGATTTGTTTCCCTCATGGGAATGAACTACATCAGAGGCGGACCTAGCTGTAGTAGAGTCTATAATTACGGAATTTTCCACGAAGCGCGCTGAACAAGGAGCTGAGGTGTGCACTGGTTTCAGTGCTGCATGTCAATTCTTCAAGGGGAGGGGGTGGCGGGGGGTTAATTAGGAGCGCGAGCATGCATTTTGAGGGGGTAGGAAATATGAATTATACTCACTAGACGAAGAAGAATAAAAAATAAAACGATAATAGTAATAACAGTAATAATAGTAATAATATTAATAGTAATGATAACAATAATTATAATAATAATAATATTAACAATAATGATGATAATAACAATGATAATAATGAGAAGAATAAGAATTAAGAATTCCATGAGGAGAAGAAGAAGAAAATATAGGTATGCCATTTCGACGGGGGGGGGGGGGGGCTAATTGCCCCTAGCTGATGCATTGCCCTGAACAGTTTGAGGCTTGCGGGGGGGGGGGGGGGGGCAATCGCCTATAGTTGGTAGGCCTTTATTGCATGGCGCCGTATACGTTTTATCCATAATAAGGGTGGCTTAATATGAGTAGGTGGTCGCTTTTCATAATGCGAAATGACGGTCGCTATCATAATACGAAATGAGGGTCGCTATTATAATACGAAATGAGGGTCGCTATTCAAAATAGGAGTATGAGTAGGTGGTCGCTTTTCATAACACGAAATGAGGGTCGCTATTATAATACGAAATGAGGGTTGCTATTCAAAATAGGAGTATGAGTAGAGAGTCTCTATTCATAATACGAGAAGAGGTACGCTGTTCATAATACGATATGAGGGTCGTTATTCATAATAAGAAATGAGGGTCGCTATTCATAATAGGAGTAGGGGTCGCTATTCATAATACGGAATGAGGGTCGCTATTCATAATATGAAATGAGGGCCACTATTCATGATACGAAATTAGGGTTGCTATTCATAAAATAGAGTTAGGGTCACTATTCATAACACGGAATGAGGTTCGCTATTCATAATACAGGATAAGGGTTGCTATTTATAAAAAATGAATATGAAATAAGCAATAAACAAAATGTTAATAAGAAAGCGAAAATGGACAGGAGACACCCCCACGGCTGTGGCGTAGGCGGGAGGGGGGGCTACATTGCCCCGAATATTTGTAGAAAACATTTATTGAAAAAATATTGCAAACATTTCGGAACCAAAAAAAGAGAAAGGCGTGCCCACCCCCATCAGTCCGACCATTTGGCCTACCCTTCCTGCAGTATTTCCGTGGTACAAGTACATATTACCGACAATTCACGTCCAAGTAGTTCATAGATGGCGTTTCCTGTGTGTGTTTCTCGGGGGGTGCGGTTGGGGTGTAGCAGTGCCATCAAGGGGTTGATATAATTATCATGTCCCTTACCTTCAGCAAAGGAAGGAAGCGACAAAAGGGGGCTGTAGGGACTTAAGTTATATACAAAATTCAAGTTTTTGGTAAATATACAATATTGCACGATTTTGTTTTCTCCATATAAGTAAAGGAAGTAAGATTTTCAAGATTTTAAGTCAAATAAGATACGATTTTGCGACCATACGGCATTATGCAAACGGTGGCGTTTTTAAAAGTAGGCCTATATTTTCTTTTAGCTTTGATAATTATATAAATACATCCCCATAATCTAGTTAATATATTCCCCCCGCTCCAGTGGTGACCAAAAAAAGGAAAACATAACACACACATAAGCCTATCGTAATTTGTCCCTCTTTTAGGAAATCTTGCCACCCTCAACTTGGGGGGGGGGGGGCTGGAGGATGTAATGATTCAAAATGTATTGATTTAAATTCTCAATTTTGTTTATGTGCCTTTTTCTCCTTTTCCGTAGCAACAAGCTGAATCGACAAAAGACTTAACTCCGTTCCGTTGACAATCAGCTATGCATGAAGTCTTTCGTCTACGGCTGATTGTCAATGAAACGGAGTTAACTCTAAGAAGGCCGGGGGGAGGGCATTATGTTCCCCCCCCCCCCCTCCGCGATTTTTCCGATTGTTCGGGAACGCATATGGATGGCGCCCCGCCGCTCGCTGACTTTTTTTTTCGAGTCTTGCGCAACTTTTAAAAGAATTTATTTGAAAATCGGACCTGCGGTTACAAGGTCACGTGACCTTTTGTCTTTGCATGTTAGCCCGAAAATCGCTCCCTTTCGTGATTTGTGTACAAAACATATGGAAAAGTCATTTTTCCTAAAAACAGATCAAACATGGGTTATTGGGTCTTGTTTAAAGTTTAGGTGGTTGTTTTGGGAGTCAAAAAAGTTGAATTGTAGTAAGAAATGAAATAAAACAACATAAACAATTAAATACATAAGTTAAACAAACAATGAAATAGGCCTACATGAGAAATTATCGAAACAAGGGATAACATTAAGAATAAGCTGGCTCTTCCAAAAAATTTTGTCGTATTATTATTCAGAATGGTCTAATAAATATGCAAATGAGTGAATTTTTCAAAAAATTGAAATTATCATATTATTCTATACACTTCACTTGACATGCGTGCAAATTTTCGCGGCGATCGGCCGCTTTGCGGCCGAGATCTTAAAGGGCCATAATGCCCCCCCCCCGGCCGTACTAATACCTCAAATAGTCCCACCTTTTTAGGGTTAAGTCTTTTGTTAATTATGTTTGTTGCTACGGTAGGTAGCCAGTGAAAACGAATTCGTTTAATAACTTTTTGGAAATGCAAGCACTACTTCAAACCAACAGAACTTTGTCATTCCTTGCTCATTCTTCCTGACTGAGGTGTCATATGAAAGGGCAGAAACTCAACTTTCTAGAAATGTGATTTTCTCTTTGAAATTCAGATACCGTCCGCCAAATGACTTTTTGGTTACTTCTCTTCAACTTCATTGTAATCACTCATGCGTGAAACATACACTATACGAGTTGCATCAAATGAAAGAAGAGGATCTAAGCTTTCCAAATATGTGTCATTTATCAATTATAATTGTGATCAAGTTATGATAAAACATCGATAATTCTCGGTTTCGTTTCTTCTGGGACGCACTGTATAATTTGTAGGTCCAAAAGTCCTACTAAAAGCAGCTACTTTCTACAAAAACATATTATGAACAGCGACCCTCATTTCGTATTATGAATAGCGAACCTCTACTCATATTATGAATAGCAATCCTCATTTCTTATTACGAATAGCGAACCCCTACCCCTATTATGAATAGCGACACTCTACTCCTATTACGAATAGCGACCCTCATTTCGTGTTATGAATAGTGACCCTATTATGAATAGTGACCCTCTATTCCTACTATGAATAGTGACCCTCATTTCCTATTATGAATAGCGACCCTCTACTCCCATTATCAATAGCGACCCTTACTCTATATTATGAATAGCGACCCTCATTTCGTATAATAATAATAATAATAATAATAATAACCTTTTAGTCCACTCCAAATTTTATTAAACCGAAAATGGAAATTCTTTTTACCCAATTGATCGTGAGCCCGGCAGCCACTGAGTACAAGAAGCGACACTCATTTAGTATTATGAATAGCGGTCCTTATGAGTAGTGACCCCTAATGTAAATTATGAATAGCGACCCTCTACTCGTATTATAAATAGCGACCCCAATTTCGTATTATGAATAGCGGTCCTTATGACACTCAATATGAATTATGAATAGCGACCCTCATCTCACGTTATGAATAGCGGTCCTTATGATTAACGGTCCTTACGAATAACGAATAGCAAATAGACCCCGGTGAGATGGGGGTAACTGTCTCTCTGGCAGATTTCATGTTGGTAATGGTTTTTTGCAAGGAGGTATATTTGTCTCCATACTTATTTAATTTGTATTTGGATGATTTATCTGTAAAATTGAATAACTGTGGTACTGGCTGTTCTGTTGGTAGTACCAAAGTTAATCATTTTGATGATCTTGTTATTTTTAATCCATCATCTGCATGTTTAGAGAGCTCGCTAAATGTTTGTTCTCAGTTTGGTATAGAAAATTATGTTAAATGTAGTGCGAAAAGAATCACGTTATGATTGTGAATTGTAAAGAACATTGTAAGTTGATATTTCAAGATTTTTATTTGTGTGGGGCTAAACTTAATTGTAAAGAGGCTAAGTACGTAGGTCATTATTCAACTGAGGATCTTTGTGATGATAGAGATATTTATAGACAGTTTCGTAAACATTATGCACAGGGTAACACATCGTGCAGAGAGTTTCATATGTGCTATCGTAAAGTCAAGGTTGAATTAGTTCGAGCTTATTGTACACCGTTATATACTACACATCTTTTGAGTACTAGGTATAAAGCTGGTATAAAAAAAGCAGTAGGCCTATAAAGAAGCTCACGGTAGACTATAATGATGCTATGAGGATGCTCTTACGAATACATAATATGTGAATATACCTGTATGTCAAGCTGTTGTAAGAAATTTAATTTTCAAGTTTATTCAGAGAATTGACTGACACTTCAGAAATTATGATTGTTAAAATGTTGCTAATTAACCCATTGCAAAGCAGTACAAGGTTCACCTCAGATTTGTGGAAGTTCAGGGCCCTGTTTCATAAAACTTGATATCAATAACAAGTTACAAGCTACTGTTATAAGCTACTGAAATCATGACCGCATCTGATTGGCTGAGACCAAATTTGTCTTAGAAATTTAGCATTTGTTATAGATCCCAAGTTTTATGAAACGGGCCCCTGCAGTGGTTCAGTAGCTTGTTGCCCAGGGGTCTCAGTCAAATATAAATACTGTAAGCATGCGTGATAAAGAAAATGCGTATTAAGAGGTGTTTATATGATTGTTAATTGGTTAAAAAACGTCAATTTTCAAGAAAAAGGGTAGTTTTCAAAATACTGCTGTACGCGTTTAGGGGTATTTTTCTAGAGCCCGACTCCGAATTTAAAGCTGCATGGTCTGGAAGCTGGTTATCTACAACCTACGGTAACGTAAGCTTGCCAAGGTAAAGAAACCACTATAATTTCCGTACCAGCATGTGAATGGCTTGTTTACGACCGGGGTTTTACGACGACCCCGAAATGTAATCATTTTTTTTTCGAAGCCAAGGACATTATGGTGGCTGTGCATTAAATCGAATGCCATGGAAGTTGAAGGTAGATGATATTGCTTCTAAACTGGAATAGATATTTACATTGTGAATTTTACATCTGAAGCGAAATTTGATTTTTGTATATTTTATACATTGTCTACAACTAAAATGGTAATCCCTATCGCGCACTTCAAAATGCTCAAGGCCGGGGTTACACTTTTACAATACTTGTTTAGGAGTACACTTTTGTGAAATACCCGTTTAGGGTGTAAGTTCGGGGGGGGGGGGACGAGAAATCCTCTTTTAGGGTGTATTTTGGCTTCTGAGGTATAGAGGGTGTTGAAAACATATTTCTATATGACTGAGATCCCTGGGGCTTGTTGTCACAGTCGGCAGAGGTTGTTTAAAGTAGTTTAGTTTAGTTTCTCTTGTATCTATGTATGTGTTCCCCTCTTATTTTTGTTCATTGTTTATATCCACACATAGCTGCATTACTATCCTGGCTGTGTATTAATTATTGTGCTATTGATTCTCAACATTTCAAACACCACTGTACAAAACTCAACTGATTTCACTCAAAATCGGTACTTTAGTGACATTGATGACACCTAAATAGCAGTAAAATACAAAAAAAAAAATAAACTTACCGATGTTAGAAAGAATAATTAAAAAATTTAAATTGTAAGTCTACTGTCAAACTTGCCTATCAACCACATCGGCATGACTGTGTGCATTTGTGTATTTAAGTTTATTGACTATTCATGTGTGCAAATGCTGACTATAACACGTAGCGCAGCGCTATAAGCATTGACTCTCTATGCTTTGCTGGATTGGTTTATTCTACAAGTAAATTTGTCAGTTTTGTTATGTTCCCCCCTTATTCTTTTTCATTGTTAATATCTACATGTAAAATATATTGGCCTCTGCTCTTGCAGCTGAGTCTGGAATAAAGTCTTGAAATTAATTGATAATCATGAAACATGCATGCGCATGAAGTGCTAATAAATGCGCATACATTTCGTTATCTAGATCAAAAGGCAAAAGTGATAACTTTATTTATCTGGACACACAACCCCCATCATAATGCCCTTAACTTGTACATCTTTGTCTTTGTTTGTCTTTCTGCTGTTCAATAAACCAATTAATTAATCTCCCAGGACACTTAAGGACAGGGACAAGCTACCTCAGAACATCGTCGAACTGTCTTCTTTGGATCAGTTCAAGTTGGCTCTTGGATACCTTGAATACCAAAGCTTCTGGAAGAAATTAGCCGTCTCCAGCTGCCAAGCTCCAGGTCTAACTTCAAAGGGGCGGGGGTGGGGATTGTCCCAGCTTCTGGGTCTTGCACCATAGAGTGGTGAAGTGTGACGTCATCAAAAAATCTATTTTTAGAATTTCTCAATTTTTTCTTCATATTCCGAAAGAACATAAAAAATAATGTCCAAATGTCGAATACCAATAGAATATGTTAAGTATTGGCTGAGATATGACCATCTGAATGAATATATAGGAACTCAGTGTTATATGCTCTGGCTCCTTACCATTAGGAGCCAGAGCAAATAACACTGAGCTCCTGTGGGGAGTATATTTATTCAGGTTGCAGATATATACTACCAACTCAGGGAGGGAGTTCCAGTCGTTGAGGACCCTCCCAGGTCGAAATTCCAATAGGATCCGATCCTATTGGACTTCATTGGTTTTCTATTGGTCCTATCGGCTATTGGTTTCTATTGGTCTTATTGGTCCTATTGGTTTCTATGTCCTATCGGTACTATTGGTCCTATTGGTTTCTATTGGTCTTATTGGTTTCTATTGGTCCTATACTATAAGATAAGATAAGATAAGATAAGATTTTATTCGTCTTTCTTTCAAATGACATACAGAGCATAACATTGGATCATAACACATTTACAAAGCAAAATAACAAATTATGATAATGATAAAAAACATAGCTAACTAAAAGAAAGACGAGGAGACCCTGGTAAAAGCAGAGCTTGTAATTATTAGGGTCCCCTCTGAGCCGGATAAAACATGATGAATAGATATTTGTGACTACCTAAGAATACAATAGGGAAAAGGGGGTATAACAAAACAAGAAGTGTACACACACACAACAACAACAACAAAAAGAGAGACTAGACTAGACAAGACGGGAGAAAAGAGAAAATATGAGAAATAATAGAAGAATACAGCACATCGACAATAGGCACAGCACACAACGGGCACAAGACAACAGGGGGAGGGAATAAGAGGTTGACAATCTGAAAATATTCAGTTAGACACATATTAATATCAAGAAGAAAATTTACATTTATAGTAATACATAATATATCTTGGCACCATAATAACTACAAAAATGAACTACTCTATGAGTCACAGTATTTATCGAGAAGATAAACCTTAAGTTTACACTTAAATAAAGAGAGACTAAGAGATTGCTTAACGCTAGAGCCTAGAGAGTTCCAAAATTTAGGTCCAGTAAAAACCAAAGTATTAAAAGTTGGTATTGGTTTCTATTTCTATTGGTTTCTATGGGTGCTATTGGTTTCTATTGGTTTCTGGTGGTTTGAATGGTCTCTATTGGATTCAATTCTATGGGTCCAACAGAAACCAATAGACTCCAACAGAAACCATTAGAGACCAATAGAATTTTTCTAATGGTCTCTATTGGTCTCTATGGGATTTTCGACCTGGGCTTGAATCAATTTAGTTCCCTTTTCAGGAACTGTACCGCATAGAATAGAGCTGTATATGACAACTCTATATGCTTTACCCTCATGTGGATGCAGGCGTACGTTGATGATTACCATAGAAGTAGAAGTAAACAGATGCATACTCGAGGTTTTATTTAGCGATATCGTCATGACGTCTCCCAAATTTACAGTTAGGCAAACAAATATGCAAGAAGCCTTCATGTCAGGGCCTGCAAAACGGTAGGGCTCGAGCCCCCCCCCCCCCCCTCACTTTTTTGCAAAAGTATGTTAAAGAGAAAAAGAAAGAAAGAGAGAAAGAAAGAATGAGTGACCAGCCAGTGTCACAAATGAGGTATAAAAATATGCTCTTCTGACCGTAATTTAATACCTAAAACCCCTGAGCTTCCGGGGTCTCCGCACCCTGGACCTCACCAAGGGCCCTAAGACGGGTCCCTGAATGATCATCTGACCATAATTAAATGCCTTAAAAGCTGAGTTTCATGGGACACAGCCCCCTCGACCCTACTTCAATTAGTGACCTGCCAGGTTTTGAGGTTTGATTTAGCGATATCGTCATGACGTCATCATAGTGTGTAAACCCTGGATCGACATCGCCATCGAGCTCACTTCGCCGAGGTGGAAGAAGAACTTTTAAGAACGCTGATGCCTGTCCATATTGAGTTTAATTATGCTATGGTGATATTCAATGAAGGAATTGCGACGACGTGATGGCTTCCATAGGGAATCATGATCAAGATAAGGGAAATGGTGGTGACGTCGAGCAAGTGGTAAGTGCGTGTAAAATAGTACTAGTAGTCCCATGCATGGAAAAGCACGTTGCACTTGGAGGTTACTTTAGTGTTTGTGCAAAAATAGTGCAAGTTCAAGTTGCAATAACACATAGCTGCATTACTATCCTGGCCATGTATTAAAAGCTGTTCTATTGATTCTCAACATTTCTGTACAAAACTCAACTGATTTCACTCGAAATCGGTACTTCAATGACAATTGATGACACCTTAATAGGGAGGCCAATGCCCAAATTTAACTTTTTAATTACTAGAGTAAAGGAGCCGGTAATCGGCCAGCTCCAGTTTTCGGCCGATTGGTTGGATGCAAGGTAAAATCCCTCTAAAATACATCGCATAATAGCATAACACATATCCCACACATACCATACCATGCCAGTGTCACTGAAGAACCACATTTGCAATGAAAAATATATCCTAAAATATCACATTTTAGCGATGTATTCGGCGGTCCCGCTACCCGAATCTGAAAAATTGAGTATCTTACGCGTGTCTGTAAGAAATATGGGTACCATAAAATGAGCTTTATTTCAAGTATTTTTCAGATTTAGAGCCCGATTTTGTGCTAGTCGCAAGCTCAAAAGTATCTCATCGCATGTATTAAATCAATGCAGCCGCACACCGCAACGCACACACGATATCTCTGTCTAATTCAGATTCCAATATCTGATCACCGCAGTACTAGTTTTTGGCCTGGCAAGCTCCGGGGAGCTCCGGCGTGGGATATCTGCTCCGCCCGCTAGTGCTATAGATCAGCGCGGAAACGCACGGCGCGTGCGCACGCTTCCTATTGACTTTGTACATGCGGCCGAAAACTGGTACGCTATGCCGAAAATTGACTCCGAAACAGTGAAAATTGAAATGAATATTGTCATGGCAATTCGTGATTTTTTTCTAGGATTCTTGTTTTGTTTAAATAATAATAATATTTGCTTCATGATTTGAAAAAAATGATAATAAATAGGAAGTAAAGGGTCCAAAATATAGGATTTTGTCTTAAGTGGCCGAAAACCGGCTCCTTTACTCTAATTTGTTTATAATAAAACAAAGATTAAAAGAAAGTATTTTCTTTCACTAAGAAAATTCACCTACCTGCCGACTCCAGTTCCATCAAATAGTAGATATCCAGCTCTTTTTATCCAGCTTCCTTCTATGCCTATCCGTACGTAAGAGCCTTGAAACAATTATATTTCATGTCGCAAAATTACGTTCATAATTAGACAGGCCCGAGGGGATTGGGCGTGTCATTGCCCGGACAACAAGTTTAAAACTTCGCGCGAAATTCCATTCATCATCAGCGGCTAGCCTTGAATCAGTCACACACACCGACACAGCTAGGTAATTGCATGGCAAGCCGCAGTCCTGAAATCGAGCCATGGAGGGACAAAACATGAACTGACAGAAAAAATAATTTTAGAAAAGAATTAAAATTAATAAGTAGGCCTACCTTAAGGTGATATTCCAAATCCAATAGTATTTCCTCATGAGTAAAGATCAATCTGATACTGCATTATCAACGATCGAGAAGTTACGAGGTCCAATTAACATCCATCTTGCAGCGAACACAATACGGAGTACAATAGGACAGCAGCATGCATAGCGCATATCCATGCAACGTACGTGTACTAATATTTCTCTCTCTCTCTCCATTTCGCTATACGTAACATGCTTTCATTTCAATTCTCAATTGGAGTATAGACTGCTCACGTAGACTTTTTTTTACTGAAATATCTTTTTTTAACACTTCTCATACATTAATGCACGACACTCGTATCTAGTGCTGTGAGAATAAGGTAATAGGGTCTATAAATAAGACTACGCTTTGCGCACGATCTGACCGGAGCTCAGACATATGTCGCAATACCCTTTATTTTTGGCGCGAACAATGACGTCACTGTTCACAGTTTTCCTTCTCATGTTGAGATGGATATAGCTATAGGGCTCAATCCAACGCAAGATTGACAGAAACATCGTACTCTATCTACTTTTGAATGTTCAGTTTGTAAAAATCTGTATTTAAAAAGATATAATCTTTTTTCTTTATATTTTCTAGTTGTTAGAAGTGGCAATTGTGAACATCTGAAATGTTGATCTCTATCAAAAGTTCTTTACTCAAAACGGATCCCATATTTTTAGGGTCTACCTTCTGCCAATGAGAAGGTTTTTAGTGAGCAAACCTCTACGCCCTCTAGGATTTTCTTAGTCGGTTGTGCGCGCCCGTCAATGTCTTCTGCTAGAACAATTATTGGATTAAAATACGTCAAAATCTGCTAGATCGTCAATAAATGGTGAAAGACTGTTACAGATTCTTGATTATAGATATGTTGTGAAATGTATAATTGTATTTTCTTTTCTTATTTTCATCAATTTTTATTTTTACATAATTTATTTCCCTCTGCTAATTTTTTGAAGTGGGCGACGAGCGCACAAATCGTAGGTGTAGAAGCCTTACGCCCGGGCATTGGCCTCCCTAACCTAAATAGATCTAGATCTAGCAGTAGAGTAAGACCACTCCAGCAAAGCATAGAGAGTCAATGCTAATTCGTATTGAGTAAGACCGCCAAACTTCTGACACAGTGACACTTAACCCTTACTGTACTGGGCTATTTTGAGCACCCGCTGACTGGGGGGGGGCCTGGGAGGCCCCCCCCTATGATCTCGGCCGTCGATTGTCCGATGAACATGAAAATTTGCATGTTTGTAGATATTTACGTAAGGAACAAGATAGTATAATTAGTTTTTTCCGAATATGCAAATTTTTGTCGTTAGCCTAATTAATTATGCAAAAATGCTAATTTTATGCATTTTACAGAAAACGTGTCAAACTCCACTTTTTGGATGTTGAAACTCATTATTCATATGAAACTTCTTTTCTAAGACAAAAAAGTTAATTTAATGTAATTAATAATGATAATTTATGCAAATTTTGATGCAATTTTTTTTTTTTTTTTTTTTTTGATGACATGCGCATACTAATTGTTATGTAACGCCTTACAGGTATATCCGATTTCGACGAAAATGGTATCAAAATGTGCGTAAGACTTGAGGGAAAAAAGTCATGAAACGACAATTCAAAATTCCAAGCGGTTGCGGCGCAAACTCCGAAAATGTCGAGGGGGGGGCCTCCCAGGCCCCCCCCCAGTACAGTAAGGGTTAAGACAAAATGGGGGAAAACATTAAATTCTTTTTTTAATTACTGAAAGATCAAATATACTATTATTGTGTCATGTAAAGAAAATTAGTAAAAGGAAATGGAAAACTAGAGTTATTTACTTACCCGCCGAACCTGTTTTCATGCCAAGCTTCGGATGCATTTGCCAAGCTTTGGACGTTCATGTGTAACGCACGAATAGCGCACATATATAGCACGTATAGCGCACGTAAGTGTGCATTCATCGGAGGTTTGGAAACAGGATCAAAATCGTACGACGGGGGTAAGTTTGACTGCGTTGATGTCATGAAAAAAGTATTATTTTCTTGTTTGGGGTAGATTTAAGTTAGGTAGAACTATCAGAAAGGTGTTTTTCACAACACTCATACAATATTTTGGTGCTAAAATCTTACGAAAGCGCCATTTTTTCGTAGTCAAAATGACACTCAATGTTGCCTGTCCGAAGCTTGGAAGAGCGCCATCTTCTGGTAGGGGAATCTATCTAGTACCCCTAGGTCCATGGTAACGGCCGCCATTAGAAAATTTTCGCGATAGAGTGGAAAAGTATCTCCTAAGCTCCCATAATTTTGGCAGAAACCACCTGAAATATGCCAAGGATTTGTTTATAATCGATATATTGGAGGCTCTACACCTTAACTCCCCTGTTAAGGGACTGTAGAAATCTAGGTAACCTGAAATGTGTCTCTGAATTCGATGTTTTTTGTGAGTTTTGCAGACGGCAACCTGCCCTAACTTTCTGTACTAACAATATAGGTTAGTAGTAGTATCAAATGCATGCAAGTTAACCGCCTGAGCTAGGCTCATATTTTGCGTTGGAGCCGTTAAAGTAATTTTTGTCCGAAGCTTGGCAACGTCCGAAGTTTGGCGGTCTTGCTCTAAAATACAATTTTTTCAACTTATTGACATTATTGTTAGAAAGAATAATTTAAAAATTCAAATTGTAAACTAATTCTAATGTCAAACTTGCCGATCAGCCACATCGGCATGATTGTTTGCATTTGTGTATTATAAGTCGGCATGATTGTTTGCATTTGTGTATTATAAGTGTATTGACTATTCATGTGTGCAAATGCTGACTATAACACGTAGCGCAGCGCTATAAGCATTGACTCTCTATGCTTTGCTGGAGTGGTTTATTCTACAAGTAAATTTGTAAGTTTTTTATGTTCATGAAGAAATCATGCATAGTCAACCAATGGTCCATACAAAATTGTCTTCCTGTATGTAGGAACTTATGCAAATTGGCAACCCCCGCCCACCCCCCCCCCCCCCCCACAACAACAAAAAATAAAAAATACACAGTTTCGCAGTGAGAAAGTACTTTAATTAAATTCACGATCAATGAGTTATCCCCCAAAAATTTATGAAAATAAATGCTTATATGGTTTTCTTGTTTTCATTTTCTTTTATGTGTGACAGGTGCTCGATGCAGCACAAGTGTACCTTCTCATGAAGGAAGAGTATCGCATCTCAAGGAATATCAGAGCATCATGGTTTCTCAAGAACATCAACAATATCATTTCAGTCAAGGAAGAACAGGAATTGGTAAAGTTTCATGAGTGTTCGTACTTCACAATCAGTCTCCTAATATCTCTGATGCAACCTCTTACAAGCGTAGAGTAGTTTGCAGGCACAAACCCTTGCAAGTTGTATTGCATAACAGAGGGTCTGCACTAGAAGACTATGCAGAGACCACACTCAAAGGCCCGAATTCACAAAGCAAGGTTTGAGCTCAGACCAAGGTTTGAGCTCAAACCTCCCTTTGTTTCGCCAAACCTCCTTTTGTTCTTTACAAACCAGGTTTGTAAAAAACGCGTAAAATGCGTCATATGACGTACGAAAACCAAGGTTTGTCGACAAACTTCCTTTGTGAATTCGGGCCAATAAGTCCAAGCTAAAGTCGATCTTAGTCTTTGTGAAACACTCCCCTGTACTGTAGGTGCAATGACACAGCCAGAGACTTAGAGTCTGTGCCTGCAGACTAAGAGTGGAGCATGCTAGGCTTCATGTTTCAGTAATCCCCATAATCAACATCTGGACACAGTTGACAAGGATAACTGTGTTTGCAATTATATATATATGTACTTGTAGCGGAAGGCGACGATAGAGATTGTGTGGTAGTACCAATTTCTAAAAAAGAAAGAAATGTGATAAAAAAACATGATTTGACGAAGAGGTTCAACATTATGTTGATTTTTAGCTTTGTTTCATGCAGGAGACTGACATCTGTTGACCTTTAGTTACAATTGGTTTTCACATAGTCCTCAGAAATGGCAACAACCTATCATTTTACAATTCTTTGAAGCTCCCCCCCCCCCCCAATTTGACTATACATGTATGTTAACAACATTTGCTTGTGTGACTTTCTTTACTAACTTTCAAGCGATGCTCTCAAGGGGAATTAGAAATCCTGTTTGTCATACCCTAAGATCAAACATTGAGTCAGAAGATGACAGGGAAACAGAGAGTACTGAAGTTTGAACTACTGATAATAATAGCCCTCAGAAATTGCAACAAGTAATTTTAAAACTCTTTGAAGCTCTCCCACAATTTTTACAATTTATAGCTCTTATTTTGGTGGAAAGCGCTTTATAAGCACCTATCATTTTACCATTCTTTGAAGCTCCCCCTCCCCCCCCCCCTACAATTTTTATTATTCATGTAAGCTTACAACATTTGTTTGTGACTGTCTTTACTAATTTTCCAGCGATGTTCCCAAGAGGAACTAGAAATCCTGTCCATCATACCAAAAGATCCGCCATCGAGTCAGAAGACAACGGAAAAACAGACCCAGTACCGTCTCTTGCCGACGTGCCATGTGACCTTCTTTGCCCGTCGCTACAGGCTGGTTGTTGTGCTAGATCTCAGCCCTTCCATGACAGCTGTGGTTTGTATTAAATCAGGGCCCTGTTTCATAAAGCTTGATATCAAGAACACGTTACAAGCTACTGTTATAAGCTACTGAAATTATAGCATCTGATTGGCTGAGAGCAAATTTGTCATAGAAATTTAGCATTTGTTATAGATATCAAGTTTTAGAAAACGGGCCCCAGTTTGATAGATCCATCTGCCCGACCATGTCGTGAAACATCAAGTGTCAAGTTAGGAGATGACCACCCTTTCCTTCACCATGCTTTTCCCCCATGGATTTTATTCTGAATTATTGGGTATAGTATTCAACAGATGTAAACTGAACAGCAACCTCTTACCCCTGGTTTCAAATAGTTATATAGTTGACATAAATTAAATGAAATTTTTCATCAGGCAGATGATCCGATTTGAATAAAACTAGTTTCTAGCTTGATACAAAATACACAGATTGTTATACAGTCAAACCTGCTTTAGTGACCACCTGTCTACAAAGGCCACATTTGTTGTTTCCCTTAATTGAAAATGGTTTCTCATTGAATCATGTACTAAAGGAACCGGTTTACAAAGACCACCTGTCTACAAAGGCCACTTTTTGTGTTTCCCTTGGGTGATCGCTATAGACAGGTTTGACTGTAGTTCAGACTGCAAAGTTAAGATTTAATTTAATATGAAAACTGATCATATTAGCATTTGATTTGACTATGTTAAAGATGAAGTTGAGTTCTGGTCATGCAATTGCATTGTGAAAGAAATGGTGTAGAATCGACCAGAAAAGGTTGATCATCTAGCATATAAGAATTTGTGTGTATTGCAAGGTTCTGGAATCATCAAAATGATAAGAAATTTGGCCAAGTCTTGGTAAAGTTTCAAACACTGTACACAGAGAGATGTATATGGGACTACATGAACACGTGGCGTAAAAATTCTACCCCCCAAGTTTTACGATGTTACATGACATATTTAGAATATAAAGGCATTTGAAGAGCCATGCTTTTTAGGGAACATGTCTTATCCGATGTTCTTCCACACTTGCATAATAAGAATGATAACGCTCACAAATTATTTTTCACCTCTTCCCAGAAATCAACCTTCTCTTTAATGATCCTAATGCCACTGTAAACGCTCTTTCAGATATGCCGCGTGTACATGAAGGGCAACAATGCTCAACAGAAGTCCTATGCTTATTTACTATGCTCCGTGTTATAAGATATTGAATTGTGAAGCGTATTATGCATTTGGCTTTCTCTTTTACACTTGAAATGCAGGATATTCAGTCAGGGAGCATCCACATTGCAGAGATTCACACTGCGTTGACAAACTTTCTGAAGGGCATCACAAAGCCTGTGAGTATATGCACGTTTGACTTATTCATGTGCTCCATCAAGAAACCTACTGGTAGTCGTTTTTTTCACACTCATCGCCGGGTTTGATTTGTGGTGCGGGAGGCATTACGTGTTTGGGTTGTCAGTCGGTATACCGCTTTTCGTGGCCGCGATAACTTGAGAACCATCAAAAGGGTCTTTGCCAGACTTTGATAGAGTATGTATGATCATACAAGAATGAACTCATTCGATTTGGGGTGAAAGAGGTCTATAAAGGTCACACGGTCTTAAAAGTGTTTAATAATATTAGAAAATATCTAAAAATCAGGCAATGTCTCTGAACACAATATATTTACAGGTAGCGATTTTACTGAAAACATTGGAAAGAAAAGCGGTGATAATGAGCCTCTAAACATGTTGCCAACTTAAAGATGTCAGACTTATTTTTCTGTTTAAAATTGCTGGCGTTAAACGCAATGCGATAATGGAACAAAAAAGAACACAATATGTGCAGAAATCTTTGCACTTTCTCTTGATGCATCGATCTGGTATAGTTCTTAGGGCTCTGAAACATTAGTGACCGAGCCAGACCACAAACAAATTGAGGAATGCTTGTACCGAAAGCGTTTTTAATAATACTGTATGACTTTTCTGTTTCAGTTCTGTGTTCCAGGAAGTAGCATCTTGCTTGCCCCCAGTTTGTATGTGACAGTCATTGCCTACACACCACTAGCTCACCTCACAACACAGCAGGTAAGAATGAGCAGACAGTGAGAATTGCACTTTCAAGGTATTCAAAATAAGTTGGGGTGGATTGGTTTGTGATAGATAGACAAGAAAATACAATATGTTTTCAGGGATTTATTTTTTGCTCTCGATTCATTTCAGTCTTCGAAGAGGACTTAAAACCGCCGGTCCCCTGGTTGCTTACTTACAAGCATACACATGCTTTCTTAGCAGTCAGGTAAAACAAACAAACAAACAAGATGCTTGCTGCTAAGACAATGCCAACAGTGGAAGTGAAGAGAGGTGCACAATCTAAATCACTTTTGTACAGGTTTTAACTTGCAAATTTGGTTTGTTACATTGCCCGCTTATACATGTATAACAAAAACATGTGGAATAACAGGATATGTGAAAGTCTCCACATATGCACACACTATCAGTGCATGTATCTTCATCACCTTGAAGCAGCACTTACACTGGAAAAAGAAGAAGAACAACAAATTGTTGAGTGTCACGTGACACCCTTTTATCCAATGGGATACTCGCTAACAAATATCGTGATTTCTTCTTTTGCTGTTGTGTATACAGGTGCTGGTTCAGGGGTGCTTGCTGACCCCAGAGAATTTGGATGTTTTCTTGCAGAGCATTCTTACACAACTTGAAGACTTTGAAAACAAGATATATAACAGTAAGTAAATGAAACCTGTATATAAAGACCGCTCAATCAACATGAAAAGTGGTCTTTATATACTTGTTCCTTCACTACAGGTTTAAATGACAAACCATATTCAAGGGAAATCAAAATTGTAGTTTTTCTATACAGGTAGATGCTAAAGCAAGTTCGACTGTAATAGTCAAGTGTACCTACCAATCACCTACAAAAATCATTTGTGTACCGCAGCTAGAAATGTATAAAGTCAACCTCAAACCATTTCACCCTTTACTCTATGGACTCAGGAGTATGAACAAATTATAGAACAACATAACATAGCTTGCACCGAATCCAAGTTTGACTTGCGTTCTGTGTGTTCCCTTTTTTATGCGAGCCTGTATGGGTGCTTTAAGAAGTCTACTCGCAAGTGGGTTTTATGTTAATTGAGAGTGTTTTTCAACTTGGAAATTCTCTTCACGACAAATATGAAACTTAAAGCTCACATTTTCTATATAGTATTACAACGTGGAACTACTACGCACCAAACAAAATATTTGTAGGTGATTGGTACACTTTTAAGTAGCAGAACTGATATGAATACCATTATCAGCAATGCTTATCTGAAGATGTTCATACGGCATAATGAAACATGTACATGTATTCAAAAGATAAAGTAGGATACCTATCATGTGATCACATTGTTAAAGGAACTGTCTGGAAGCAATTTTGAATGGTTGATTATGTAGCATATAAGAATTAATGTCTACTGTGATATTTTGGAGTGATCAAAATGGAAAAAAAGGAAGATTTTATATTGGTGAAAGTCACATGCACTGCACATAAATATGTGTATATGGGACCACACCCACACATGGCATAACAATTTGTCCAAAAATTTAAGTTTTGGGTTGTTTTTTTTTTGGGGGGGGGAGGGGGGAGGGGTCATATTTCAAATATGAGGGTTATTGAAGAGCAATTATTTAAGGAACAATTCTCATTCAGATATTCTTCCAAACTGACATAAAAAGGATGCGAGAGCTCGCGAATGATTTTTTCCTTTTCACCGGAACTCTCAACCTTCTTTTTTAAAACTTGTCCAGGTACCATGCGCTCTCGGAACCCATCGGCCTCGGGTCTCGACGGCGTGGACGGCTGGTTGACCAACGGCCTGGATATTGTGGTCGGGGGTGACTGGAGGGACAGCCAGGGGGGCCCTACCAGCCCCACCACCAACAGCTACCATCAGCCCCCTACCAAGGTAGAGATGGCCAACCCTGAGGCAACATTTGTCAACATGCTGTGGTGTGGAGTACTTGCCCTGCAGCTGCTACCGGAGAATACAAGTGCAGGTATGTAAAAAGAATCATGTAGAGGTGTCGTAGTCGAGTGGTTTAAGCGCTTGGCTTGAAATCCAACGGTCGCGGGTTTGATCCCCGTCATTGCAAGGTATTTATCTACATTGCCACTCCATACCCAGGAGAGAAATGGGACCTGGGGGGTGTTTCACAAAGATCCTAAGTTGAACTTATCTCTAAGTTGGACTTAACAATTATGGAAAGCCTTTAGCATCTATGAAAATATTTTGTAAAAGTTATTTAAAAAGGCATGAAATGTGGATTTAAATCATTCATATTTTCTATTATCATCTTTATCAAGGAGATTTCATGTTCTTGATGTGGAATTTATATAAAAAAAGTCCAAAATACCTGAATTTTCACTTTTGAATATATTTTATTTCAAGGCTACAAATGGCTCTCCATAACTTTTAAGTTCAACTTAGAGTTAAGTTCGACTTAGAATCTTTGTGAAACACCCCCCTGGTAATATGACAAAAGCCTTTGTGTTAGTAATTGCCATACTATCATTCTTCCCATAAGCAAGGTGAAGGAGATGATGTGAGTTGGTTCAGTAGTCAGCCCTCTGTCTATAAACTGACTCTGACTCTGAAGGGCCCTGGTTCAACACCAAGTCAAGTATTTTGTATGGCAAGATTTACTATGGGCCGTTCCTCGGACATAATAATCGTAAACCATAATAGTTAATTTGGATTCCAGATATTTTTAACATCTGCTGTTGACTACTGCACCAACTTCAGCTGCAGAAGAAGATGTAATTGAGAGTATCTATGAAGATGTACAGCAGACCATAGACAATATTCCTAGACAAGATATTTTGATATTATCAGGAGACGTCAATGCCAAAGTCTGTAACCCAAGCACAAACAAACAGGTAATAGAATTCTGCCAAGACAATGAATGTGTGATTTTCAACACCTTGTTTAAACAACATCCAAGACATCTGTACACCTGGATTAGGGGGGCGTTTCACAAAACTTTTTATCAGTGACAAATGATCAGTTTATGTTATAAGCTACTGAAAACCTTGCTTCTGGATGGTGAAACGGGCCCCTGGATGGAGAGGTCTCATCACATGGGTCACAACGGGTCAGCCATAACCTATAGGTCAACAACGACAACGTTTCATAACAAAGATTGAGGAAGGTATTCCTCAATTTATGCAGGCTAGCTAGTTGACTAATGAGTGTTGACTATAGGGGATAATCAAACCTTGCCACATTTGCTTCAGGGTTAGGTCTGATAATAAGTAGTGGATTGGTAATGTTATACCAAAAAAAAATCAATCTTAGTGGTACTGGTTAATGTGGAATTTGTCTCGAAAATAAGTTAGCATTTTTATGGTTCGTTTTTCCAGTTTTATAGAAGGCATTATGGATTATTAATTTTGTGGAGGTTTGGCAGCATCATGATATCAAATATGCTAGTTAAAGAACATCGGCTAAAATGTGCTAAAAAAAACACCTAGTCATCATCCAAGTTGAATTCTGTCCATCAAAGGCACTTTGGTTGTGGGAGATTAGAATCCAGGTGGCATATTCATGAAACCGTCATAAGTACAAGATTGCAGACATTTCATTGAAACCCTTGTATTAAATTTAACACACGTTCAATGGGATGTCGGTTTTATTGAAACGATGCCCTGATTGTTTTCCTAAAACATTGTGTCTGGTTTGGACTACTCTTGCAGGCATCGTAGTGATCAGTGATGGAGTTGGTGCAGTCCCAGATGCCCTGACCCTAAGTAACCTCCTAGGGAACCTACGAACCAGCACCACGGCCTGCTCCTTCATCCAGCTGGGCAAAGGGTTCTATCCCCACGCAGGCTTTGGTTACGTCCCCCACACAGAAATCATGCAGTTCATCGCTACGGCAACCTTTGGGGCCTTCCTCTCCAGATGCCCCAGTTTGGTAATTAACCTTTTTAATTCATTGTTTCTGCTGGTTATCAAGATTTAAATTGACATGAAAGTATCAGTGTTTCCTAATTGACAGAAGTGTATAGTGTTTCCTTTTTTTCCTTTTTTCCCCAACTTATTTTTATCATGATTTTTTTTTCTTTAAAAAATGGACAGTCCCTGAGATTGATGTAAATCCGGTTAAAAATGGGGGGGGGGGGGCATGAGGGGTGAGGTCTCGTTTTTTCATGACTTGCTTGAACGCCTTACGCAAGCACGGGTTTATAAAACTTTTTTTTAAAACTCAACTTTCACTAAAACCTTTTTTTTTTTTTTGCGCTATAAGAGAGTTAAGAACACATTCCGGTGTTCTTAACAGAGGAGAGGAGCTAATAGGTGACGCAGTTAGCTTTAGAAAAACTCTCATAACCCTATGACGAGAACATGACAAGGCAGGTTGGGTCGCCTTCAAATAAACCTCGTCCTGCACCGGGCAGCAGTGATGCAGTACCTGTAGTTGGCGGAGGATCCAAATCTTGGACAACGGTGGCTATGGGGAGCAGAGGGAAGTTTGGCAGCAATGCTTCTGGCTTCTGTACTGCGATGGAAAGATCTGGCCGCCCACCATTATTAATTGGTCACGTTTGTCATCATGAGAGTACAAAATTAACAAATCAAGTGGGTAGCGGAAGGTGGAACCTGCAGGCCGGAAGATACATGTACGTCAAGAGCTACTGCGGAAGAGAGAGGTACTGCTCGTAGTACGCTTGCGGGTGATGACGGATCAGGATCAAAGCCTCTTGTAGGAAGTTCTGTTCATGAAGGTCCCATGATGGAAAGGAACAGCACCCCTCTAAGGAAACCAATCAATGTAGCCACGTGGAACGTGCGTGGTATGTCAGATGGGAGAAGCAAGTGCTGCAAGGAGCAGTCGAAGGAAAACGGGGTAGATGTCGTCCACCAATATCTTGGACTGATGATATCAAGAAAGTGTCTGGACAAGGAATGAAGGGTGCAACACAAATGGCAGGTGAAAGAGTTGCATGGCATACTCTCGTGAAGGCCACAGCAGCGCTTTACAGTTGCCACCTGAAGTTGATGATGATGATGAAGAGAGTTGACATCAAATTAAATTCACAATTCTTATTTTTTTTATTTATTATTTATTAATTTATTTATTTCGTTTTATTTCAACAGGGTAGCCCCATCAGTAGTTAAAATACTGTTATACTTGGGGGCCCTGCATAACATAAAATACATATAAAGACATACATATACGTGAAAACATCATTACATGGTCAAATGTAAATTTAAACTCAGCAAGTAAACAAAAAATCCCCCAAATCAAGTCCTCAAGAAAATCATACATAAACAAATTTTGAAGAAGAAAAAATATTATATTGTAGTGACAGTGTGTCTAAACATAATTATTTGTAATTAAAGAATTACAGTGATCTGCATTTGGTAATTACTAAATATTCAAGTTTGTGATAGAGGCTACATATTTGCGTGTACTATGTTTTGGGTTATATTTACATATTTCTCAAATAACTTATGCAAAAGGACTGCTTGGTTTAGGCATTTCGTACCTCACTTGGGAGGTTGTTCCAGATCATTGCACCTTCAAAAGAAAAGGCCCTTCTACCATTTTCAGTTTTAACTTTGGGGATGACTAATCCATGAGTATCAGCGATTCTAGTGCTATAACGATGTGTTGCTGCAGACTGAGTAAACATATCTTGAAGATATGAGGGGGAAATACCTTTTACAATATCAAACATAAGTTTACATATCTGGAATTGCCAACGTTTTTCCTTGTTCATCCACTTGAGTCTTGAGAACATTTCTGAACTCGGTGTAAGTACATTAATTTGGAGAACAATCCTAGCCATCTGTTTATGCAACTTAATCAGTGTATCCCGAGGACCTTGATTACAATTTGACCATGAGGTGCAACAATAATAAAAAAATATGGTAATACCAGTGCATTTGATAATAACTTGGCACTGTCTATCGTTAGAAATTTTCTGACACGTCTCAACAGTGCCAACCTTGAAGCAATTTTGCTGGAAGTATGCTTCATGTGTTCATTCCAGTTAAGGTGCTGGTCCAACCACACCCCAAGATATTTCACATTTTCTACATGTCTAATTTGCAGACCATCTATCTTTATGTCCATTGGTGCCTCGATATGTCGTAGTTTTTTGGGCGTCCCTACAAATAAGAAGTTGATCTTGTCCGTATTAAAGGATAGTTTATTATGGTAAAGCCATGATTTAACCCTGTCTAGATTACTATTCAATGTACTCTCTATGTCCTTTGGGTTTAAGGCACTGAACATAATCGCTGTATCATCGGCATACAATATCACCTTACTATGTTCAACGCTATTGGGCAGATCATTTAATAAAGAGGGTGAACAGCAGGGGTCCGAGTATAGAACCTTGAGGTACTCCTGACTGGAGAACCTGTAAATCAGATCTTGCCCTTTGCACCAGTGTACACTGATAGCGACCTTTAAGTACAATGACTGTTCAATATTTGTACCTCCTGTAGAAATATATTGAAGATATTAAGGTATTGAACTCATAAGTTTTAACATGACTTCAATATTTGTTTAATTTCGTAGGAATCTCATGAAGACCATCTGATGAATCAGTACCATAGAGCTTTCCTGTCATGGAGCTTCCAGAAAGGATTGGATGGCATCAAGATTGACCTTATCAAAGGTAAATTGAGGACTACATTTTTATCTTACTGAATTGCTATCTCCATATAAACCAAATAGAATGCTAGGTTCCAGTTCCAAGTCTCTGCTTTGTCTTCCACAAACCCTGACAAAGTCTTACAGGAAAGGTGTTTTTCATATGCAGCCGCTTTTTTGTGGAACAAGTTGCCTGAAGAAATGAAAAGCATAGGATCCTATAAAACCTTATCAATTTTCTGAAGACATATCTCTTCACCAGTTCATAAATAATCAGAATCATGAACCCAGTGCAATGTTTTTTCTTTTTCTTAAATTGATTAAATTGAGACATGCAATTTGCCTTTGTGTTATGCGCTATATTAAAAAGTTTAATTATTATTATTATTATTACATATCCTGCATAGCTCCCAACTATTCCTATTTTGGACGAATGATTCCTTATTTTCTACCTTCAAACTCGTGTTAGGAACCTGACCTTCCTCTTTGTTTTATGAAAACATCAGGGGGGGGGGTGTTTCACAAAGATTCTAAGTTGAACTTATCTTTAAGTTGTACTTAACAATTATGGAAAGCTGTTAGCATCTATGAAATTATTTTTTTTAAAGTTATTTTAAAAGGCATAACATTTTGTTTGAAATCATTCATATTTTCTATTATCAAGGAGATTTCATGTTCTTGATGTGGCAATTATAAAAAGTCTAAACTACCTCAATGTTCGCTTTTGAATATATTTTTTTATAGGCTACAAATGGCTCTCCATAATGTTTAAGTCCAACTTAGAGTTAAGTTTGACTTAGGATCTTTGTGAAACGCCCCCCTGTATAAAAGCACGTCAAATACACTGTTTTCCTACTTTGGGCTCAGGATATTCCTCTTTTTTTTTGCTGTGGATGTTGGCAGGTATACATGGGATCTGGGAAATCGCTAATGATTAAAAGCTGACATCCATAGAAGCAAGTGAAACTTAAATGTGCAACGAAACAAGTTATCAGAAAGATTTTTGGTAATAAAGTTGATGAAAATTGTGCTAGTTCCTCCAAAAATATGCAGTGTGTGCGCACAATATAAATTTATGTATTCAGTGAATGCGATTTCAATTAAGTTGTCGTTATCTATCAATGTTTTTTAATCTATTTAACCTATGTACTACATGAAAGGATATTCAGAATTATTCTTTTCCTGTTTCTCTCAAAATGGAATTCCTTTTTTGTCAAAGAAGCCTCATAGATATATCAAAATTATCTAAATAGTATGTCAATGAAAAGGTGTAGTTGTAATTATAATTGCCCCTCTTGTACATGTAGTTGCCTGTACATGTTCCCTATTTTTACTTTATTGTACAGTAAAACATGCATATAAAGACCACTCAAGGGAGACCAGAAAACTTGTATTTCTAGGCAGTTGGTCTCTTTGTCTCTGTTGTGAATATATCACTGAGAGATATATTCCAGGGGAACGGAAAAAGCTGTCTCTATAGACAGGTGGTTGCTTAAGGATTTTCTACAGTCACACCTGCTTTAGCAACCACCTGTATAGAAAAAAAAATCACCTGTCTATAAAGACCACTTTTCATGTTTCCCTTGAGCAGTCTTTATTTAAAGGTTTCACTGTACATGTATATCTCTCTCTTGTCGCTATCAGGTCGTCAGCATCAAGTCATCTCATCAGAATCAGGATGGCCTGAAAGGTACATATAACAATATTTTTTAAAACCACAATCGATAATATTGTGTCGAGAAACTTTTAAAATGGATGCTATTTTAATATTGTCTAGTGGATCATTTATATTCACATGTACATGTAGTTATTTTATTTTTTTCATGTTTTTTCATCGTACTTTTATCTCACTAAAATGCCTATTGATAAACAACAGTATCCACCGATTGCAGTTTATTTTCAACCCTTCCTGCCATCATTTCCTCTAATCAGGAAAAGCCATACAGCTACACACTACACATAGAGTGTGGCAGATGAGGCTTCTGAAACGTGTAATGTTACCCTGTCTCACCCCTTCCCTATAGCATCCTGCCATCATTTGCAGTCAACAAGCAGGGTTGTGCACCCTTCCCCTTATCAGGAAAAACCATACAAACTACAGACTACACACAGTGCATGGCAATGCGTTTTATGTCTCTCTAATTTTTTTAATTTGAATGTTATCCTTTCTCAACTTTTCTCACAGCATCTTGCCATCATTTGCAGTCAACAAGCAGGGATTATGCACCATTCCTCTGATCAGGAAGAAGCATACTAACTACAGACTTCACACAGAGCTTGGCAATGTGCTTTCTATTCGTCTCAGGGAAGGATACACCATCAAGGATGCCTGCATAACCAAGAGTAAGTCTTGTTCTTATGTCTTTCTTTATAATTTTTTTTTTTTTTTTTTTTTTTTTTGGGGGGGGGGGGGTGTCAACACTCTTCTTGCACATAACATTGTGTACCTTCATGTTTGCTCACGAGCGAATAAAGCTCTACATGCATTCTGTTTTGAATTGTTCAAAAGGCGATTATCACTCTTGTCATCACATTCATCAACCCTTATGTGCACACTGAGTAACAGGAATGATACCAGCATTAATCCCACTTGCATCCTACATGTATGTCAGAGAAAGAAATCTAAGTGCAAAATATCTCCTAAATGGCTTGTAAAGAATGCCCATTTTGCTGTCTAGAACATTCTCATACATTCAGCAATCTCAATTTTCACCCATTTTTCTTTAACTATCCTTTTATATCAAATTGTCTAAATTGCCCTTTTGAAATTACATGTAGTCTTTGTCACACAATGCAGATGAATTCAGCTCAATAAAATCCTTTTGTTTCAGTGTACAGTCAAACCTATCTAAAGCAACTGCCCAAGGGAAACACAAAAAGTGGCCTTTGTAGACAGGTGGTCTTTGTAGACAGGTTCCTTTAGTACATGCTTCAATGGGAAACCTATTTCAAGGAAAACCACAAATGTGGTCTTTGCAGACAGGTGGTTACTAAAGCAGGTTGACTGTATTATCAATCGATATGATTACCTATAGATGGTTCCTGTATTGAGGTGCGTCTAGCGCTGCCCTGGAAGTACAATGCGAGGATAGAGTATATAGCTACAGCTCCATGGCCCCTTGAGTCCAGCAGGTATGTACCAGTTTGTTAGTTTTAGAGCCTAAGGAAATTCCATTGTTAAAACAATGATTTATGTAGGCATGCTTACAATTGTGAGGTTTATAGGGTACAATTTATCTCTGTATACCATGTATTTTCCATCAATCCTGTAAAAAAATATAGTGATCTCGGTTATGGATGATGCATTAAAGTACCTTAAAATGTTTCCAAAGGTTACTATAATGTGGCAATGCTTATTAATGAACATAAGTGTCAAAACATGGATTAAAAACCTGTACCAGCTGATTGGTAATGTATCTGGCTATCTGCCCCCTTTCCACTGCCCCTCCCCCCCCCCCCTCCCCTCCCACTATGACTCCTGACTAATACCCCTGAACTGCCACCCTACAGACAACTACCCCCTTGGACAATTACCCCACCTCAGACATGTATCATATGGTAGACTAGTAGACATTGGGTTTATCTCTTTAGGGGATATATTTCTGAAGTGATGTAGTTGTCTGGGGGTGGCGTGGGTGGGGGGCTGTTTTTGTAGAAGACTGCAACGCCATTTTGGATATCGCTTTTCTATTTGGTTATTTTTCCTATTCTGGTCTTATCAATCAACCTAGTCTTATTAATCAATTTTAATATTTATAGGTATTCAATTTATTGATAATAATTGTATATAACTTTTCCAGATTTCTAACAATGCATTTTATCTTCATAATTTTATTGATGATTGTACTAAAAAAACAAAATTATCAATTGTACAAATTGCTTTGTTGTTTAAACTTTAATGTTAATTTTCATTTTGTATATACTGTATACATGTGCAATTCAGCTTATTGCTGCGAACCGTGTTGTTTATTTAATAAACCATTTTTTAATTGAAATTAAATTGAATTCCAGACATGTGACAGACATAGAGATCATCATGGAGGGTAGCTACGAGTTCCTCCATGACATCACATGCCCCATGAAGAAGGGACCTCAGAACCATTACAGGACAAAGGTGGTCAAGAACTTCTGGCAAACATTGCAGAGGTGAGTGTTAAATGGAGGATGGGAAAGGGGTTTATCGCCCTTTGGTTTACAATCGATCGTCTATTACCCAATCGATCTATTCCCTTTATGGCCTACACCCAGCCTGTCTGCTATTCACATGGTCTAATAATAATTATCTATGATTGAATAATTATTAGACGATGTGTATAGTAGACAAACTGAGATTTAGACTAAGTAACAGACCTGATAAAAACCTGATTAAAGGTAATACAAAGTTTTGGTATGGGGTCATGAATTTGGTTCAAATGGACATATTGGAAGCATATGCGATCCTACAATATTCAGTGATCGTTGTCGCGGTTGAAATAGAGTCTAAAGTTATGAAATTGTAAAAAATAAGCTCTTTATGTTGTATAGCTCCCTCTCAAGGTCAAGATATTAATTAAGCTATAAACAATGTTTCTTGACTAAAATCGACCGATTAGCTATTCGCGTTGGGAAATTATATATCACAACTACATATTCTGAAATTTTCATGGTCACAGCTACTATTGTATGGCCGGAGGCGCTATTTGAAATTTATCAAAATTTACCGGGAGCACCGGTAAATTCTTATATTCAATTTTTCTCAAAAGCAGAAGTGTTGTAGAGGCTACATTTTCTAGTGCTTATAACACATCCACAGGGGCATCCAAATATATCAAAAATGTAAAGAATCACTATCCACTCAATTTTCAAAATTTCCCAAAACTTTGTATTACCTTTAAATCGGTTTCCCGATTTTTTTTTTTTCCTGATTTTTTTTTTTTTTTTACCAGATTCTTTTCTTCTTTTCCCTCGATTTTCCCCTGGATGCCATTTTCCCCCTGAATGCTCTTTTCTTTTTTTTTTACTCAAGGGGGGCGTGGTAGGGGGGAAAAAAAACCTATTTTTTTTTAGTGCTCACTATCACCCCTGAAGTAAGCAATAGACCAAATGGTTTATAGACTAATTGTTTTTTAGACCATATGGAAATTAGACCAAATGACTATTATTAGCTAAAATGGTCATTAGACCAAATGAAAAGTAGACAAAGTTATTATTATACCAGGTGGATAGTAGATGGGCTTGTAATGTTTGTGGATTCCACAGTGCCATCAGAATTTCACCGTGGAGCCATGCAAGAAAACGCTAGCGGTTTTAATCATGTCATCATCGTTATTACGATGGACCGGCAATGAATGTACATCTCTCTCTCTAAGTACCATATTGTTTGACTTTGGGGATCATGCTGTTCCACAACCCTCGGCTCCTAGCCTTCTGTATTAATACCACTCCCAGTTCTTTCACTCCTCTCTCTTCTAACAATTTATGCAGACTCTCAATCCAAAGTATTGTAACGGACCAGCCCGGTACAGGTAGTTATCTTGCAGAAAACGTAGAGGGCAGTAAGATTTTGGGGCGTAAGGGCTCAGAGCGCGATTACGGACGCACCATGCGTAAAGCAGCTCTCAGAGCGTCTCAGATGCTATAAATTGCAGTAACCAGCTTATATTCTGTCACTTCGACGCTGGCTCTCGTCTTGGTCAGATAGCGAACTCTCCGCTTTGCTCCAGCTGAGCTAAAGTAAGGAAAAGGACTGGAAGCGAGAAATAGAGTTCCTACAAAAGGCAATCCCTGCCTTTACTACTTGTTGAGATTAATACAGGTAATTGGTGTCGGTGTTAACTATGATAACGTGTTGGAGAAGTTGACTTATGTTTGTATTAATAAAGTATACAGTTAAACAATCCATCGTTTCATAACGTGTAATAAGTTGAGTCTCCATAGACTGATGTAATATAATCCTCTCATAGAGAATACACGTCCAGCTATCCAAAACACCTCTCATCTCCACACTCATATACTTTGGGAAAACGGAGCCACGTCAGGGCCTCTAAACTACAAGCCAAATAGAAACCGCTCGCATTATTCAGGATGGCAAATTCTTCGTCAGATGACGGTGATAGAGGCAAGGGACAGGCCAGCCCTCCAGCATCCAGGACCCGTTCTAGGATGGAGGGCCGTAACAGTATCCTCCTTCTTCCCCTACTCCTTCCCACAATGAATGTATAAATAAGTGAGTTGATTTGACGTCTTCTTTTCCCCCCATTGTACACCTCTAGTTTGAGAGAGACTGACCTGCTGCTAGTACACCTGCAGTCCTTTGCAGCTAACCCCATCTACTACACACTGCCTGAAGGTACGAAGGGAGGGATGCCCCTCTTCTACATGCCCCCCAACTCCACCTCGCCTGTCCTCGCTCAACAGTCGCATCTAAAGTGAGTCATTATTTCAATAAAATTAATTATTTCAACAGTCTCACCCAAATAAGTTATTATTTTAATAATTTTTAAATTGAAAATCATTATTACAACAGTCTCATCTAAAGCGAGTCATAATTTCAGCAATTTTTTAAAGTAAAAAATTTATTATCACAATAGTTGCTTCCAAAGTAAGTCATTATTTCAACATTTTTTAACTACAACATCAGATAATAATTGCATCTTTATACAATTTACTATATAAAAACATAATGAGAAAAGTCACTCAAAAGATTGGCAGCAAACTATAATCAGAAATAGAGAAATATGTATCAGTACTTTCATTGTTTCAATACTAGTACTTTATCCTACATACACTGGAAAATACGTTAGTTCCACGCTGGGATGCGAACGCTCATTCCTTTGATTGAGAATGAACCACTACCAGGGCAGCTCCACTTTAGATATCTTTTGTATTTGATTTCTTCTGCAGGCATTCAGGATTGGACCAGTTTGCTGATTTCTGGAAACGTATTGCTCTCATGGACTCCAAGAGATGGTAGGGATTTTAAACCAAGTCCAATGTCCTTGACCATGTACCCTATATTGTGATATCTCTCTGTTACTATTTGTACCAATGTCTATTTTGACATAAATGCTGCTATTATTAATATCTTCCATAAGTTTGTATAATAGTGATTATTAGTACAGTTGCATTGAAAGAAAAGTATGATTTTGTAAGGGCCAGCATTAAAGGTTGGTTTGAGTGTGCAAGCCAGGGGGACATGATAGTTTGATGGCAATATGTTTTGATTGTTTTCATTCTACAGGCAGAGATGGCTCCACACCCATCGCATTGCATTGCTCCTGCTACCAGACTTGTGAGTATATTGAAAGAAATCTTGTATTTTTATTCCTATGGAGTTGACATTGTTATGTTACGATTATTAAATGTTTTCGAATTGGTTATACCTGTAAATACAACAATATACTGTACATGTACCTATAAGAAATGAATTTCTCATCCCCTCTTTCAACCTCTTTTTCGTTCATTTGCTCCCTCTTTCTTTCCTACCTCTTCCTCCTCCCCTCATGATAACAAAACCTTTTCACTTCATCTTTAGTTCTTGGATACCTGTTCCATCACCTCTGCCGGTAAGGCTAAAGCATATGCAGTAATAATAATAGTATTATTGAATATCTTCATAATGCACATATCCACCACACCTGGTGCGCAAGGCTAGGCTACCGATTTTGGTGCTCACAGCATTCAAGGCATTCCTTCCAACCGGTCCCCATTTTACTCCTGGGTGAAGAATGGCAAATGTAGATTATAGGCTTGCTTACTGACATTAGTGCCACGGGGGGGGGGGGGGGGACTCTAACCGCAAACTATGTGATCCCTAGTCTGGTGACGTATCTACTAGACCACGTTGACACCTCTACAGTATATTCATAGGATTCTTTTCTTATATTTTACGTATCTTTCTCTTAGGCCGCTACCGAAGCATCTGCACCTACCCAACTCGAGCGGGCGCTACGCCACCATCCAGTATCGGGTTGCCCTCAAAGAGGTCAACAACCTTCTTAAGAAGAGGAGTACATTCATCATGTTAGACAACCATAGCTACATCAATCTCAACTTCACGTGAGTTATTGAATTTAGTTTGAATTTAATTCAGACTTTCATGTTAGACAACCATAGCTACACCAATCTCAACTTCACATGAGTTATTGAATTTAGTTTGAATTTAATTCAGACTTTCATGTTAGACAACCACAGCTACATCAATCTCAACTTCACGTGAGTTATTGAATTTATTTTGAATGAATTGAGACTGTTCTGTTTTTTTTTAACTGCACATAGATTAGATCTTCCACAGCACTGTACACATATCTGCACAACTTTAAAAGTATGAAGATACACCAACAAAATGGTGGCCTGTACTTCAAGCGAAGAAGAAGAAGAAGAAGGAGGAGATTTTACTATTTGTCTAGAATCCACTTGCATGGTATTATATCAAATTGTTTCTAGTGAAATTAGTTTACCAGTTTAGTTTAGATCATTTATGACCCTTTAGATTGACTGCTGAGATTTGAGATATTTTGTTGTTTCTTTTTTCTATTTATAACAGCATTTAGGATAATTTATTTCCAATTTAAAAATACCGAAAGAACAACTACAACAAACAAACAAACGAAAGCATACAAAGGCGTATCACATTATAATGACATTTAACATCTTATAACGCATAGAAAGAAAATACAGTGCTGTGCCACATGAATAAAGTAAGATACGTGTTATAGTGAGCTACAAGAGATGCTGCTAACAGAAGTGGTTATTACAGGTCCATTTTGTGAAGTATACCGTCTGAACTGTGTCTGTATTCCATAGTATGGCATGTGTTTGAGAAGTCACGTTGTGTGCCTTTAAATATGTCTAAAAAGATGCATTTACAGACTAGAGTGTTTTCTATCTATCTACATGTATCTATCTATCAGGCTATAATAAAAATAATAATAATACATTATATTTCTATAGCGCTAATTACAATGTTTCTAAGCGCCTTACAAAGTTGGCAATACTTAGATAATAATACATTCAATATCATATTTACAAACTATAATTAATATATACTAATCAACCTACAATTAATTCAAAATACATAAGCACAGATACATCTAGTCAATACATATAAATACAATAGAATACATTTAATTTTAGGGCAAAACATTACAAATTCAAATTAAGGCAATTACATTACATCTACCATGAATAACACATTAAAGCTACAGACTAACAGAGGATTAACAGGGAGAATTAAAAAGGAATGTCTTTAGGGAGGATTTTAAAGAATCTAACGGAGGAGCATCCCGAATCTCAAGAGGAAGTCTGTTCCAAAGCCTCGGAGCAGCTACGCTGAAGGCACGGTCTCCATATAGTTCATCCAGACGTTGGACAAAGCCCTCCTCATAACATTTCCATTCTCTTCTGTCTCTAGCTATCCTAGTCCAAGCGGCCGTTCCCATGTATGATGTTAGGTCATCTCTCCATCTTCTCTTCTGGCTTCCTCTTCTTCTCTTTCCCATCCTTGGTTGCCATTCTGTTAAACGATTTGTCCATCTATTGTCCTGAAGTCTTGCTACATGCCCAGCCCATCTCCACTTTGATTCTCTGACTTTCTAGAGTGTTTTATTCTTATTCAAATATGTTTGCTATCTTACAGTGAGTCCGGAGGGCCACCTACGTCGTTCTACGTCATCAGGGTTTCCCTCAAGACACCCATCGTCCTCAGACTGGCATTCCTTGGAGGGACACCGGGCCATGAGAGGAACAAGGTCAGTAATTCTCAATAATGTTTGTTTAGAAAGAGAGAGAGAGAAATGGGTACATAAGTAGTGTACCAGATTGGTAGAGAGAGAGAGACACACACACACAAATGGATACATTTGTATGTTTCTGTGAGTCCAGAGGGCCATCCACCTCGGTCATCAAGGTTCCCACCAAGGCACCCATAATACTTCCATGGTTATTGTTTGTTTAGAGAGAGAAATAGGTACATGAGTAGTGTATCAGTTTGGTAGTTGTAGAGAGAGAGAGAGAGAGAGAAATAGATGTTTCTGTGAGTCCAGAGGGCCATCCACCCTGTGCTATGTCATCAAGGTATCCACCAAGACACCCATAATCCAGAGCTGCCAACCAGTACGATTTTATCGTATTTTGTACGTTTTTTAGAAGTAAATACGACACTGTGTTTTTTCTCAATGAAATATGATTTTTTTTTTTTAATAATAAATTTTAAAAAAATGCAATTTGGGGATGTTCCTAAAAATAACAAAGCATGTTCACAGTGAGAAAGTGTACTTATCGATAAGAAATGGGATTTTTATTTTTAAAATAGGATTTGTTTTGGGGGAAAAGAATAGGATTTTGTTCAGTTGAGAAATACTTCAAGAGAAAACCACTCAGAAACATGTGTGTTAATAATCCTTGCAGGTTGTGAGAGGGTTAAAGAATGACCTGCTAGCCTTGAGGATGCCCAGGAAGAAGACTGCCCAGTATGGCTATGACAAGGAGCACGGCACCAAGGCCATGGCTCCCCTCAAGGACACTGACTCAGACGGGCCTCCTGGACATGGCGATGATTCCTGCGTCGTTCTGCTCTCTAGACCCATCGAGATGATCCTCATGAGGTAAAGCTCTATTGCGTGTGTGTGTGTGTGTTTGGGTTTTTACAGACGTGTATCAATCAGATATGATTATTTACGTCTGGGGACCGACATTTAACGTCGCCATCCGAAAGACGTGACTCGGTTTCGAAACCTGCGTCCTCGGTTAAATCAGTTTGTAACTTCCACTGTTAGCTGGATTACAGGCGCACGCCACAATGCCTAGGTAAAGCTCTGTTGACAAGACTGATCGTCTTGTTTGGAGGTAGAAAGGTTGTGACTTTGTGTGAAACCTCAACCCATGACATATCTTTTATAAATAAGTTGCTCTGAGAGAGATTGATTGTATTCTTGCCCTTTAATCTACAAGAGGGCAATTCCACGGTAACGGAAGGACACTCAGACAAGATTTTTGAACTTCAGGTTCATACTAAAAGAAATGTTTTATTAGTATGTATTAAACTATGGGGAACAAAATGTGTTTCAGTCAAGTGGAAAGCTTCATCAACTTCACAAAGTTTGGATAAACACTAATTAACTGGAAAAACCATGTCCATTTTTATGTCCTTCCGTTACCGAGATAATTAATATGCACATTCTTAAACTACTTAACTATAATGACAATTTTTTGGGGGAGAATTAAAGGCACTTATATAGGTATTATATCTGTACTGTTTCACATCTTATACTAATAAAACAGTTCTTTTAGTATGAACCTGAAGTTCAAAAATCTTGTCTGAGTGTCCTTCCGTTACCGTGGAATTGCCCAAGATTAAGAGAGGTATATTGCAAGATTTTCTAAGCATAATGTACAGTCTCTTAGCACAATATTGGCATCTCCATTTCTCGATAACATGACATACTATGCAAATTCGTTTATCAATTAAATTTGTTCAAATTAAAAGTCAAATCTTTAAACATTCCCACACTAATTCTTTGAGCTGAGGTTTCCTTTAACGACCTATATGTAAGTACTGCTAGTACAGGTTTGTAGAGGTTATAATGTTTACCAAGCTTCATATTCGCACCATCACTCTTTATCCCAGATATGAGAAAATGCCATCGGACTTCACTGACCTGAAGACATCCATCGAGGTGACGTCCACGTCTGTGCCTGTCTACATGAACAGCAAAGCTCCCTGTAGCAACCTGAACCGACTTGCATGCTATCTCCACCATCGACGCTGGATCTGGGAAGCTCAGAGTGACAGTGGGATCCAGATCGCTACCAAGGCTGTGGCCAACATCCTGGACGTCCTTACCAAGTGAGTGAAGGTCTTGTAGTGTTTGAGAGTCCTGGATGATTCTAAGGTTTTGAAGAGTCCAGAGACTCTTGGGTGGTTGTAAGGTTTGATGCTGGACCTGGGAAGCTCAGAGTGACAGTGGGATCCAGATCGCTACCAAGGCTGTGGCCAACATCCTGGACGTCCTTACCAAGTGAGTGAAGGTCTTGTAAAGTTTGAGAGTCCTTAAAGTCCTGGATGATTCTAAGGTTTTGGAGAGTCCAGAGATTCTTGGATGGTTGTAACAACTGTTCCGTATTTGCCGTATATGTTTTGTTTTTTGCTTTGAATACGGCAGTACGTTTTTTGAATGTTTAGTTACCTTTAACAACAAAAAAAATTATTGATGTTTTTCTTAATTACCCATTATGGGCTTTGTGTCGTATGTGCATTATGCACCTATTTCCTCAAACGATGCACGCAGAACAGTGATACGGGGCCCCAAACTTTGCAAGTTGCTAACAACCCACGTGTACTGAATGCACGTTGTACCGCTGCCGCCTATTTCTTTGAAGCTGCTCGATTGGGTGATTTTTTCCAAAAATACCGTTTTTTCCTTTTAAGAATATTTGTTGTTGTTGATGAAGGTTGGCATCTCTGTTGTAAGGTTTGTAGTCATTGAGAGTCTAGGGACTCATGAATAATTGTATTATCATTTACCAATACCTTTAGTATGTGCTACATGATCAACCTTTCCGATGGCTTCCGCACACTTTCTTTTACGATGCAATCGCCCAACCAGAACTCCAATTTATCTCTGAATATCTCAATTCAAAAGACATCTACAATGTCTCCTTTGTTCATCCTTGGCAGATTGCGGTTGCAGCAGGGATTCCATGTGGCTTACTCAACCAGTGGAATACTCAGCTTTATCATGGAGCTCAAGATGAAGGTAAGGCTGCTTTGACCAGCCATCTTTAGTTGATTATTAAACTGAAAATATGCTCATCATCATCATTCACTCGTTGACTCAGATTTCATGTAGGTGTGATAAGATATTAAAGGGAAAGTCCACCCCAAAAATAAGTTTGTTTCGATAGAGGCAGAATAATAAGAAAATCAGGTGAGTGAAAGTTTGAGCAAATTCTGAATGAAAATAAGAAAGTTATGAATTATTGAAGTTGTGATCAATCAAATACAAATTGGCAACTCTGTGACTTATCATACGAGCTCTCCTTCATTTGCTTTGTGCATAATATTCCATAAAATCATGTTTTCTTCGTTATTGATGACGGAATATATCTTTGTTCCTTGCAGGGGGAGTATAGAAACATATTTGCAATTATTATATTTAGGGTGCATGTATGGTTGAAATTTTTCTTGATGGAAAATGAAAATTTTAGATTTTTTTAGTACTGAGCAAATGGAAGTTGAGCTCGCATGATACGTCACAGAGTTGCCAATTTGTATTTGATTGATCACAACTTCAATAATTCATAACTTTCTTATTTTCATTCAGAATTTGCTCAAACTTTCACTCACCTGATTTTCTTATTATTCTGCCTCTATCGAAACAAACTTATTTTTGGGGTGGACTTTCCCTTTAACCTTTCAATGATAATAATATTAACGGTGCTTATAAAGCGCTTACCACCTAAGTCTCTAAGTGCTATAACAAACAAAATACAAGGATAAATAATTACATATTAAACAAAACAAAAAGAAAATGCAAATAAACCTACAAATTACAATACATATGAAATATACATGTACATCAATAAGAACAGAGTAAGTTAATCATCAAAAGCAGTTTTGAATAAATGTGTCTTAAGACAAGTCTCAAATCGTTTAACAGTCTGACAGTTTCGGACATTTAAAGGTAGTTTGTTCCAAAGTTAAGCAGGAGCTTGCAGAAAGAGCAATGACCGTAAGAAAAAGTTACACCCGAAGGAGACACGAGGTTTAATTGTGAAGATGACTGTAAATTGATAATGATGGAACAATTCTTTTACTGATAAACTGTATATGCATGATGTTGATGATCCAGGTATGCATCCAGGGTACATCATGGATTTAGGTTAAATCTAGGATGAGGAATGCAAGTCGTTGGGTCAAAGGTCAGAGGAAGGTATTTAACCAGTGTTCAATGAAAATCGTCTATGGAGCAATTGTTGACTTTAAAGGGACTTGGTATCATTGTTTAGATGAGAGATAGTGGTGCTAAGGTAGTGACTTCAATACTAGATGTACAATGAAAGATAATCTGAAAATTTGAGTGAAAACGGACCATTATTCATCGTACAAATTGGGAAAAAATGATCTGATCGATTTCTTAATTCTCCCAACTATATTATTGCAATTTAATTACATTTTAAGTGAATGGAAATCTCACAAAGCAATAAAATGGCTCTACATTCCATTCCAGACTTTTAAGTGTTGACAGAATTTTTCTTTTTTTCATGGAAAAAACGGTTGGGAAAATTCGAAAATGGTTGGGAGAATTTACTGTTAATCACTGTTAGAGGGTGTCGTACATCGACGCCTTCAAAGAAAACCATAGATATCTTTGTGGTTTGAGAATTTTTTCAGGATTTTTTGCATGTCAGAGGGTTAGTACAGTACAAGGAATATAGTAAGTAATTTTTTTCATCAACCTTCAACAATGTTACCAAGTCACTTTAAAGACCATATCATCATCAGCGTTTAAAGTCCATTTGTCCCATTTTGTGGGGTTGGACATTTCATTTCCTTAATGGCTGCTTTCCAAGCTTTCCTGTCGGGGGGATACATATGACTGATAAATGAAATAATTTGTATTTATTATTAAACATCTCATATTTTGACTGTTTTTTTTTCTTCACTACGGTATTCAGAATCCTCTGGGCAGCATCGTGGAGACAATGGGGCCTTCCAAACCCTCGGACCAAGAAGGCACGGATGAAGCCACTGAGAGCGACCAGGGCACGGAGCAGAAGTTATCCTCCAACGGTCAAGAGGTCTTCCCATGTCTGCTCCAGTACATCGTCTTCCCTCCGCACTCGGCCACAGCCAAGAGGGATCGGACTACATCGTGAGTACCGTCTGTTGTGAACTTTATACCATATGATAATGATGGTTATTTTCTCAAGTCAAAGAAGCAATCAGGATCAAATCTTCATGCCTGATAATTCAATCATCAAACAGCAGATTCTGGTGCAGTTTTCTCAAGTAAAAAAAAATGCACAAGGCTGCATAAAAACAGCAGTCACATATAAAGTGACAAAATCAAAGTTGGGAATTTTGTCAATATTAGAGACTTGTAATCTCTGCAGTCAGGTACAGGTGTATTTCTTATGTAAACCCTCTACATACCCCCAAATTGTTTTTGTGTTTTTTATCCCTCCCCCTCTCATTTCAAATATATCACAACTTGGCAATTAGGAATGTTGTTATTATGATATTAATGTTTGTATTATTATTACAATTGAGTAGGTCATTCACATTGTGTAGCCAGATAATTCCTTTTTACCTAGTCATCCAATTTCAGCAAAACCTTGATTTGAATTATGAATTGGTGTGCAGAAATTCTTTTGATATACAAAATTGCTTTTGATGATTAAAGGTAAAGACCAGTTATGGTCATGCGATTGCATTGTGAAAGAAACGTTGTGGAATCGATCAGAAAAAGTTGATCATCTAGCATCTAGCATCTGCAAGGTTCTGGAATCATCAAAATGATAAGAAATTTGGCCCATTCTTCGTAAAGTTACAAGCACTATACACAGAAAGATGTATATGGGACTACCCTATATCTCTCACAGACCGTGAGAGAAACAAATTTACCAAATATATGAATTAGTAGGCGGTTTCCCGGCAAATTTGTTATCATCATGTATTAGTCAAAACATATTCTTTCACATGATTGGTAATGAGAGCTTCTATTTCATTTTTCGAAATTGGGGCGTTTCCAATACTGGTCTTTACCTTTAACTTACTCTGTTCACGTTGATGTGAATTTCATATGTATTGTAATTTGTAGGTTTATTTTTTGTTTTGTTTAATATGCAATTGTTTATCAGTCTATTTTGTTTATTATAGCGCTTAGAGACTTTGGTGGTAAGCGCTTTATAAGCAACGTTTTTATTATTATTATTTTTATTTTAATGCAGAGTTGGAGACGAGGAGGATGGTGACGATCAGGACACATCTGAAGCTGATGGAAGACTGCAGCTTGTGACTGAGTGCTGGATAGAGCCTCAGAGTGGTACCATCATCGATCCTCCAAAGCAGTGTCAATTCTTGGACGGCCTCACCTACCAAACTATCCCAAGAGTGGTATGACTATGCAATTCAGTTTAATTCAATTCCATCAAGGTTGATTATAACATAACTTGCAGTCACAGACTGAATTACCGCATTTTTTACAGTGCAAGTATGTACCTGCCAACCCTCCCGATTAATCCGGAATATCCTGTTTTTCTGGATTTTTAGGACCCCAAAATCCGGAATCTCCCGGATTTTCACAATTTCGATTTTTTTTTTTTTTTTTTTTTTTTTTTTTTTTTTTTTTTTTTGGGGGGGGGGGGGGGGGGGGTGGTGCTTAAGCCAAATTAAGCTTGTTTTATCATATGCTGCGATGTGAGAGTTCACATATTGCGTGCGTTGAAGGGCTGCCTGATTGAGCAGCGAATTTGTATTCGCTTTTTTGCACAGATTTACCACGTATTGCCAGTTACACTGCCGCTGCAATGCGCGAACGCCTGTTAAGGGTACAGATTTCTTATTTTTGAAGACATACTGTGCTAAAAATTCTTAATTCTCATTTTCAAATGTCGGCAGGTATGCAAGTAAAATTATATATACAAATTGCAACAAGAAGAAAACATGTAGAACTGAATGTTTAAGATACATAAATTAGATTAAAATGCTTAGAAGTTTAACAAATGTAGATAAATGTTCCAGGAGAATAGAAGGGCCAATAGATGAATACAGTCAAACCTGTCTTAGTGGGCCACCTCTCCTTAAAGGCCACATGTCTATAGTGGCCATGCATTTTGATTCCCTCAAGAGAGAAATGTGTTTTGTAGAAACCTGTCTAAGATGGCCACATGTGTACAATGGCCTTAATAGACAGGTTTGACTACAACTATTAATAGATTAACGCTTTTTATGGACCCCCATGTAGATGTTTCCGATGGACCAGCGGATCATCTCCGTCCTCCTCAACTTTGAGCACCTGCACGTCATGTGCTCTTCCGCCATCGACGGAGACATGGCCACCATGTCCAAGGAGGAGCTTTCCTTTGAAGGGGTTGCGCTCGGCGAGACCATTCAGCGGTTGCCCTATGCGCTGGACGTGATGACGCTCCTACCCATGTGTCAGCAGGCTCATGTACTGTGCTCAACCTTCATCACAGGTGAGCTTAAAGGCAGTGGTTCGACGGTCAGTTTCCATGTGCAGAAGGTCATAATTTGCTGACACCAGACTTGGGGAATACCATTAAAGGGTGTACAAGACTGTACACAGCAAACCTATAGCCCATTCAACCATGTAAAAATGTAAATGATCAAAGTTCTGAATAGTCGTACATGTATCATTGATAAATTCAAAATTTGGGGATGGCAAGCTTCCTTGTCGGAGGAAGAAAAGTCGGAGGAAAAGCTTAAAACAACTCCAAATCACAGTGAGTCGGACCAGTCTTGCGATTGTCTACGATTCTGCCTTTTTATTCCGAATGAAAGGCTTGAAATGCAATAAAATGTTGATTACTAGTATTCTAATCAATATTCATAACCCCAGTCCAGAAGATTACGTCTGATGGAGTTTCAACATTTCAATGCAACTGCAATTTTTTTCGAAAATCGTATCGGAGTGTGCTTTGGCTTTTAAGTTCTTGAGTCCTGGTGACGATCAAAAAAAGAATATATTCTAAAGAAATGCAGTACAATAATCAAAAAATATTTAGGTGTGTCTGCTAAGGCAAGGCGTTAAAAATAAATATACCAGCCAGCGGCAGCTAACTGCAGTTGTGCGTCCTGGCTGCATTTTTTAAATTAGCTCAGCCGGCTACCGCTGGCGGTAGGAAATGGCATTCAAAAGCATGCGCCGGCTACCGCCTTTCGAATGGAAACCGAGCCTCAGATCCCAGCCTGGCGCAAGCCGGCTGGGCTAATAAAAGAAAAATAATTGCCCCAGCCAGGCTTCGGCCGTAATTGCAGCCTCGATGCGCCAATACGTGAGGCGGCAGCCTGCTGGTATCAATATTTTTGACGCCTCGCCCAAATCGTTCTGAAAAAAAATGTGTGATTGCTGAGGAATAAGTAAAATGCAGGAAGAGTACAACTATTGGAAACAACATGTGATACAGTAAGACATGAAAGATGGCAGAAAAAACAGTTTTGTCTGGTGCATCTCATTTAGATAATATATTTATTCCAAGGATTCTTCATCTCAACGGATATGTTTTCTTATGTGCACATCATTTGTCTCATAGAATAAATGTCAATTGTATCTAAAAATTTACTGTGCAGTATGAATGTAAAAAAGTCTCTATAACTTGCAGGTGAGGTACAAGAATGGGTAATTGCTGAAAGAAATTCCTAGCATGTAACAGTACCTTAACCAGGCAGCAAGGCTTTAAAGTCTAGAAGCACAAAGAGAAAATATTGCGAATGTGGTATTTGCTGTACAAGAATGGAGTGTTATCATGTTACAGTCAAACCTGCTCTAGTGACCACCTGTATAGAAAAACCACCTGTCTGAATAGACCACATTTTTTGCTTCCCTTGAATATGGTTTCTCATCGAAACCTGTCCTAAAGGAAACTGTACATAAAGACCACCTGCCTTTTCATGTAACCCTTGAGTGTTCATTATATTAAGGCTTCACCATACAAATATCTACTGTTTGATGTTTTAGGTGCAGATGGGACAGAGAACACCAGGTCCAGGCCCCGCCTCGGGTACCCCAAACCCAATGACACCCTCTTCACCCTCCTCACTGACTCTATGAAATCCATGACGGACTTCAAGCTGGACCTCTCTGACAAGGAGAGTCTGCTCTTTGCCCAGTCTGTCCTTGATCGAAGCAAAGACGACGATGCGCCCCGTCCCTTCGGACTCGCCTCCTCGGACATCTCCAGTCTCCTGTCAGAACTCGCAGACAGCGCTGCGGAAGGCTTAGAGAAGACGCCTGTTCCGCAGAACAGGACGAGTACTCCGTTGATGGAGGAGAACCGGGAGAAGAAGGTGCCGCAGTGGACGCTGTACGTGAAAAGTGTTGGGAAGGATCATCTGATCTTGGTATTCATGCCAGCTTCCTATCAGGACTTAGAGCTGCTCAGTGCAACAAAGGATGGTGAGTGCTCTTGATACTTGGCCACTGATTCATACATGTATCGTATCTGGTGAATAAGATTGTCTTGGGGGAGGGGGGGGGGAATGGTTCAGGGTAGAATTGTCCACTATTTATATTTGGGTATCCTCAGATTTGATTGGCATTGATATTCTAATGTTTTTTTCTTGCTGGCACTTTTCTACATGCAAATACTGACTCCTGTACATTTCACTTTAACTTTGGCTCTGTGATTCATTTCTTTTGATCAAATTGACTTGTTTTGGCTCTCGTTGTATTCTTGTGGTTTTATTAATTATGAAGGGCATTTTCTTTAAATATTCAATTAATTTGTAATGTACACATATTTTGTTTGACAAAGGTGTAGTTGTACATGTAGGTTGAATATACTAGTAAATGTTTCACATTTCAAGAACAGATAACTAAAGTGCCCTCCAAGTTTATAATGCAACCCCAAATTTTCATCTAGATCCTGAAGCGGATTTATCCATGGCACCTGAATCGGATCAAGCGAAACCATCCCGTGAGTCCCGTCGCAGCAAGAATCTGGATGAGACAGACAGCGAGGATGAGTGTCCGGCTAGAAAAACAGTGCCACCTGGAGTTGAGAAGAAAACAAATACGAGCCTCCCCCTTCCCATCTTCGTCTACGATTGTTCCCTGGCGGCCCTGACCAATTTTGTGCTGGGTCGCCTGGATGAGAGTTCAGTGACGAATGTCTTCAAGGATCTGACCTTTGTGTCAATGGATGCGGGTACCCAGGTCCCAACCACGCCAAGGAACATCCCTAGACACAGGACAAGAGGATTCAGTGAGCAGAATGGTGAGAGATTAGGCATATAATCGATTATTATAATTAACTGTAGAAAGGAGAGAAAGTTAACACTCCCCTTGATGAAGACGGAATTCACCTTCGGGTGACAACACACAATTGGTTATGGCATTGCCACTTACTTTGTGGCATCTAACCACGTTTTTATCCCAATAAAGTAAGATATTGATCTTTCTTTCCAAAAAATAAAAAATAAAAAATTTGATGGAAAATGAAAAAAATTTACCCAAGGCACAGCACCTAGCATAGCAATGAATAATTGAATCATGAATTATGAAATGTCATCATCAAAGAAATGAAAAGAGGCCTGGGAAAATGCAATATACAACCACCATTGCAAAATTCTCTGTATGGACCCTTTGAGCACAGCTTCTGTTACATCATACAGGTGTGCACGTACATGTACATGCTCCTGTGTGCAGGATGTGATGTCCCTAATCTTTCTTCAAACATATTTTATTTTATCTCTGAAGACTCGTTCTCTCCGCCCTCTGCTGATCGGAGAGGGAGCAAGGCCATGGAGTGGTTCTGCGGTAGTCTTGCCAACAAGGTCCACCAGGCCTTTGTCATCGGCCTCTTCAAGAGCCTTCAGTACGGTAAATGGGTTGACTGTCATGATGTCCAGTCGGCCATCGAACAGGTGTGCGAGGAGTCACTCTATGAAATTGACATCACTGAATTTGTTCAAGTAGTCTGCGGTCATGTCTACGGCGTGCGAGCCAAAGTAAGCGATAGGATATTAATGATGTAGAGTTGTAGCACAAGAAAATCTTGATAGAGCTTGATGCCGTAATGTGTCGTCAGCCATTGGGGTTGTGTGAGGGGAGTGTATCTCATTTTATCAAGTTTGTTTCGGTGATTTTGTTATCATATAAATGGCTTGTGAGCAAACATGAAAAATAAGATAAGATTCTTGATAGAGCTTATCAGTTTATTCAAGAGCCTTTAGTATGCTCAGTGGATGTTTTGTTGTTGTTGTTATAATATACTTTATAAAGAATCTTTAAAAGATATTCAGAATTCATACGAAGATTGGGTATGCATTATGCATTCTAATTTAACCATTGATATGTACATAACATTTCAACAACAACTGTACAGCAACATAAAAATAAAAAAAACTCTTGTTTACCCAGTCTAAAGCCCCAGTCCCATATAAAGCCGGACCAGCACGGACGAGCACGGACCACTCCGGACCATCCCGGACCATGGTCTGGGGTGATCCGGGATGGTCCGGGATGTTTTGTTAAAAAAAGTGTGATGCTTTTAAGCTACAGTCCCATATACGTCCCGGACCGTCCCGGACCATCCCGGACTCCATCCGGGGTGATCCGGGATTCGGTCCGTGTTGACACCGTGTTGGCACCGGGGTGGTCCTGGATGGTCCTGGATGGTCCTGGGCGGTCAATAACTCACTCCCGGACTGCCACGGATCAACACGGACCGCCCCGGCGCCACTACGGATGACCCCGGACCCAGCACGGTGGCTACACGGATCACCCCGGATCAAACTATTGTCCCGGACCGTCCCGGACCACCCCGGCAGTTTTTGACCGTCAAAAACATCCGGGGTCGACTCCCGGACCGCCCAGGACCATCCAGGACCATCCAGGACCACCCCGGTGCCAACACGGTGTCAACACGGACCGAATCCCGGATCACCCCGGATGGGGTCCGGGATGGTCCGGGACGGTCCGGGACGTATATGGGACTGTAGCTTAACCTCATTAGTATTAATACTGTTTTCCCTGAGGGCCCTGCAATCATATTATTCTTATTTTATTCTTATTATGATCAACATTTTTACCTACTTGTTCTCTTCTTCCTTCCTTTCCTCCTCTTCCTTCCACCCCCTCCTCTTTCTTTCCCCCCCTCCTCCTCCCCCCTCCCCCCCCCCCCCTCCTCCCCCCCCCCCCCCCCTCCTCCTCCTCTTCCTTGTCCCTCCTCTTCCTTCCCTCTTCCTCTTCTTCCTTCCCTCCTCCTCTTCCTTCCCTTCTCCTCTTCCTTCCCTCCTCCTCTTCCTTCCCTCTTCCTCTTCTTCCTTCCCTCCTCCTCTTCCTTTCCTCTTCCTCTTCTTTCTTCCCTCCTCCTCTTCCTTCCCTCCTCCTCCTCCTTCCCTCCTCCTCTTCCTTCCCCCTCCTTCTCTTCCTGCTCCCTCCTCTTCCTTCCCTCTTCCTCTTCCTCCCCCCTCATCCTCTTCCTTCCCTCTTCCTCTTCCTCCCCTCTTCCTCTTCCTCCCCCCTCCTCCTCTTCCTTTCCTCCTCCTCTTCCTTCCCTCCTCCTCTTCCTTCCCTCTTCCTCTTCCTTCCCTCCTCCTCTTCCTTCCCGCCTCCTCTTCCTTCCCTCCTCCTCTTCCTTCCCTCCTTCTCTTCCTTCCCTCCTTCTCTTCCTTCCCTCCTCCTCTTCCTTCCCTCCTCCTCTTCCTTCCTTCCCTCCTCCTCTTTCTTCCTCCTCCTCCCCCTCTTCCTTCCCCTTCTCCTCTTCTATCTGTCTTTCTCTGATCTCTGTTCCTAGGTTGATGCAGAGCAACAGGTCGCTGATAAGCTCCAGAAGAGAATCAAGTTTGCCGACATGGATGAGGAGGACACGGCTGAGAAACCTGCTCCGGAGAAAACTCCAAAGTAAGATTTTGTCTGGTTTGAAAGTTCCTGTATCACATCCAAAAGGAAAAATAACCTGTAACAGTTTTGATTTCTAGAGTTCAGACATCTTCCGTAGACTGAAGTAAGCCGCCTATTTCCCTTTTGGATGTCATGCAAGAACTTTCACACGATTATGACGACCATCCTGATAAAACTCTTTCACAAGATTTTGTCTGTTTTAGAGTTACCAGGATGTTAATATTTTGGCTTTCGGCAGAGCTTGCATTTTATCCAAGTGACCAGTGTTCTTAGTAAAATGTTCCTCAATAGATCTGGTAGGTATTGATTGAATTAGCCTACCATTCTCCAAGGGGTGAGGATTTTGGGATTAACTAAAGCATTTTTTTTTGCAGTTGAAGAGCCTAGTGTTGAAAAATCTATTCCCCTGTTAAGGAGAATTTACCTTTGGTGCAGTGTGTTGCTTTCTTTGCTAGCCACAGGTGAGAACACTGCATGTGTGACATTTTTATAGTTTTTAGCATGATTTTTTAGAGCATTGTTTCTCCCCCGCTTATCAACACATCTCATGTCTGAAGACATTTTTCAAGGGATTGGATTTTAATTATCAATTTTATTCAAGGATATGTGTAGTTCCTCTTTTTATTAACCTTTTCAAATTTGGAAGAATTGATTTATAGTCTTATTTACTTGATTTCTGTCTCTTCTTTCATCAGCCAAGAGATCAAGTCCAGCATCGCCGGCCGCAAGAAACCTCCCGGCGTCATGGTCCCTCTTGAGCTCCTGACCTCCTCACCCAACCGGCAGTGTGAGGTCAGCAAGGGCCTCCATGCCATGGTTCGAGAGCGCTTCACCCAGGTCATGGGGAACCACTTCAAACCGGTTCCATCCAACCGTGACATCTGGTTCTACCGTCTAGGAGGAGAGGAGGAAGAGGAGGAGGAGAATGATGAGGAGAAGGAGGGAGAAGGGATAGGGGATGATGATGGTGGGAACGAGCATGGAGATGATGAAGATGATGATCAGGTAACTGAAAGGGAACTACATCGTGTTAAACCTGATGCCCACGGGAACAGAGTATAAAGCCAGTGGGAATAATAGCAAGGAATACAGACATACTGCTTGACTTTTTCCAAAAAACATCTGAAACATACCTCTACAATCCTTAATTTGTTCTAAGCCTTGTATCCTTTAGAAAAGGTGCTGTATGAATCCAGCTATTATTATCATTATTATTACTCCTCAAACTTTTCGTCTTTCTCTCATCTGAGTTAATCACAAAAATGAATAGAAAGCAATCAAACAATATAAACGGGAAAAAAGTAAGCAGCTGTGATTGGCTGCCAGAAAGTAGCTGTCATGTCAGGCATTTAATTGAAACTGGCTGTTGCCTGTTTGACTAAGAGAATTCATTAGTTAACGCGTTAATGAGGTTGAGACTCTTCAATCTTTGGTGACAATAATCCTAAAACTGATATAAAACCAGATTGCAACCCTAACCCTAACGTCTAATAGGCATTTAAGAACCAATCTTGAAATTGGCTACCAAATAGATAAGTGTGCTTGAACCTCAAAGCTAATAAAATAACCAAACCAAATCCATGTAATATTCGGCTTACCTTACGTAGGTGTTTGCGGAAGGAGTGTACCGTGGGAGTGATGATATTGAGTCGGAAGGTTTGAAGCCGAGTCCTCGATTCTCTGGATCTCAGACACCAGAAGTCTTTTCATCAGAGAACCCCAGTGGTAAGTCTTTAAAGGCTGTCTATACTAGTTTGGCTAGGAGGGATTATACCACCCAGAATGGTCACTGACAGGTGGCTATCTCATCAACTTAGCTCTCAATTAACATTATAAAAAGACGATCATGGGGGACCAATGGTCACTGATTAGGCATTGTTTGCTATATAGAGGGAGCAAGTAGTACAGTGGGGCTTTAACATGTGCTTTCAGGGACTGAGATAGACAAAGAGATAGATAGTTAGACTGATATAGATCAATAGATATGATAGAGACAGATAGGGTGTATATAAACAATTCATTGTAAAGGTTTGAAGCCAAGTCCTATGGATCTCGTACACCAGAAGTCTTTTCTTCAGCCAACCCTAGTGGCAAGTCATTGACTGCTGCTTTTGTTGACTGGTAAAGATCAGGGATAGGGATGTGGAAGATGCTCTTAGATACATGTAGATACATTCATAGGGAGAAAGAGATACGGATGTAGATAAATAGTCGAATGGAATAGATAGATGGAGAGTTAATTTCATGTACATGTAGATGGATGGATATATACATGTATATAGATGGGTTGGTGCCTAATAATGGCATGATAGTTATAAAAGCAGATCAATACAAGGTGATTATATTCAACAGGTGTGTCTGCATTTAGTGGAGGGTTTCAGGGGGTTCTGTCATTCAGTTGGTTTAATTCTTTGCTTGGGGAAAATGTCCATATTTGGTGATCAATTTTATCTTCCTTGGGCTGCATCCATTGTAATTTGGGTTGTGACTGGGAGCATGTTCTTCAAAAGAGAGAGGACAGAGACGGGCTTTTGCAAAGCTGCCAACTAGTACGGATTTCATGTAATTGGTACGAAAATCAATGATCATTACGGCAGTACGGAATGCTGTCTAAAGTTAGGGATTACAAATCCCCCCCCCCCCCCCCCATTTGATGACCTGAAATCAATATTTATCAACTTTGTGTGAGTACAATCGCCAAAAATTTCAGATAATCATCACGCACGCGTCTGCGCAGTGTAGGCGTGCAGTTTTTTTAAGATTCATAGCTCCACATAGAAAATTACTGATTTATACCCTAAGTTACTGATTTTAAGCCTTGTGATTACTGATTTTCTGTTCTGGAGGTTAGCAGCTCTGCTTTTGTGTTTCTGCTCTGAGAAATTGTTCAGATTGAGTTGAATGTGATTTTGATATGTATGGGCTTGTTCAGATACAGCGTGGCAAACCGCCGCAACATAGCTGCTGCGTTTTGTTTTAATACACATGTAGATGGAAGGTGATTATATTCAACAGATTATCTGCATTTCTGGATGGATGGTTTTATAGGGTCCTTCCGTTGGGTTGTTTGCTTGCTTTGGGAAAATGTCTATATTTGGTCATTTATGTAATAAATAAATTGTGAGATTGAATGCCAACTGCCCTCAACAAAGGACTTGGGCTTATTTACTGAGCGCTGTGTTTAAGATACACATGTACAGAAACGTGAAGCGTATTTTACTTACGATGCCACGGATTTGCTGTGTCATATCCGAACTTGCCTTCAGGTTTTAAGATTTTCATAGGAATATAGAAGTGCTCTCAGATACGAGTTGCTCTTTTGTTGTTTCAATTTTGTTTCATTTTTTGATTTAATATTTTAGGATGTTCCACTGTAATTTATGTGCCTTTCTTACCTGTGCAGGGCCAGCTAAAATTAAAATTAGAAATTACAATTAGAATTAAAATTGTATTCAACCTGTACAACGCCCGGAGTGTCTAGTATTGTGCATAGTAAATACAAGATCAGACTAGACTGGACAGCTAAGATGCGCACAAACATTATTGTGGAACGTCTTGAACATGGTGGTTCATACAAGGTGGATGTGTAAGATTGTAAGATTATTGTGCTCACTTTTCCTTTAGGTTTACTATGTCAAAAGAAAGTTGTTTCAGTATCAAAAGGTTTTTAATTTTTTTTTAAGGACAGTGTTCAGTATTCACCACATTAATCTAACCAAAGAAAATAAAAATTGTTTATAGTAATAACGGATAATATATAATAGAAAGGGCAAAGCTTTGAATTACTTTATGCAAGGTATGTTTTTTAATTGAATTTTTGTGCTTGAATATTTGGTATACATTAATTTTTTCAAGAATACAAAGTTGGTTTTGTGCTTCAAATAGACATTCAAACACTTTTAATTTTTACTCTGAAATGTATGAACCATTTCTTCTTTCTGATATGTTATCTGTTGTTTTCTTTATTCTTTCTTATAATCCTAATGTCTTGTAGCCCAGCAGGTGTCGAAACCAACTAAACCTAACAACGAAACTGTTTCTACTCCTCGAAAGAGTAAATTTGACTGTTTTAATCCCAAAATCACACGCCTGCAACCCTGTATTGATTGCCAGCCCTTATGCACTGTACATGTCATTTACATACAGATATCCAACATACATTTTTTTGTGGCTTGTTTCATTATATTTACTCAAACCTGTGAGTTGGTACCAAAGTACACATGTGAGCAAGTTAATGTAAGTTAAACTAGTGGCCAGCACTGTGCCTTTGCCTACTAAACCACTCTGATACACCCTTATTTGAAAAATACTGTTTTGTTAAAGGTTGGTCCCCAGATGTAATAGGATGATAATAAAATAGTCATATTTGTATAGCACTTAATACTACATTTCTAAGCATTTTACATTGAAATTATTATTACCCCAGTCATTGGATTCAATTGCTACAATGTATCTGCACCTTGATAGTGCACACGCTCTGCTTCCTGCGAAACAGATGAGATTTGATTGAAACATTTTCTTTATAACCAAATTACACATGCATTACAAAATGTACTGTCTGGTACATTGTACATGTATTAGATACAATGTGCAGTGATTGTGAATCTGATGTCATTAAAAAAAATGAGATTTAAAAATAAAATGAAAGCAATAATGTAAGCAATTTCAGATGTGGTATACTACCCTCAGGTTTGAAACTTGATTTTCTGCATTCCTCATGAATGTTCCTATTATACTACTACTCATCTACTCATCACAACACACACAGGCATGCATCATAGAATATTAAAGTGTGAATTCATTACATCATGAATATATTAAGAATGAATATATTAAAACTTACTCCTAACATCAACATGAGTTAAAATTAGCAACATTTCATCTTTCAAGAAAAAAAAGAAGATAACAAAAAGAGGAGAGAAGATGGTGAACATCAATTAGTTTATCCCTGAGTTGTACCTAAATATGTCAGTGAACATGTACACAGAACGGAATACTATTACCTGAATTATTGTATCTGTGAATTTTACCCATGGAGTATGTGAAAAAATATTGACCTCATATGGAATATAATTATAGTCAAAAGATTTTTATCCAAGTGTTTGTAACTAACACTCATATCCATGTAACATAGTATGTTTCTTTATGATTTCTAAGTTGTGCATGAAGCATGCAGTGTTGAGGAATGCCAAATTTGTATTTTCCCTTTTGTTTTCTTCAAATTCTATTTCCTCATTGAATATTTAATCTTATAGACATTGAAACGCTTGATCAATTGTGTCATGTTTTCTTACTGCTGATTCACTTTTACCTTGCTTTCAATGTTAATCAGTGAGACACATTAGTCTCAATCATATATATATATATCCTATCATTTGTGTGTAGGAACACTGTTACTCTCCTTTCATAGGCCTTCATAAGGATTTGCCCAAATGGAAAGAGCTTAAAAATGCAGAAAGCGTTTATTAGTATTATCATTTTATTTTATTTATTTATTTATCTATTTTTTTTTTCTTTTTTTCCTTTTTTTGTTACTTATTTTTTTTTTTTTTTTTTTTTTTTTTTTTTTTGGGGGGGGGGGGGGGGGGGGGGGGTTAATCTAAATCTAAATCTAACTGTTAATGATCATGTTGTTGTTTTGGCTATCCACCCCCATACATTCAGTGTATTATTTGCCACTGTTTATCCTTAAATATCTACAATTTGGCATGTGGATTGTCATCTGTTATGTGAACTTTTAGAAGAAAAAAAAATTTCACATCATATTCTTAGCTTTTCCAATGGATTTAGAGATAGAGATGATGAATGCTTTCTAGTACAGTTGTATATGCAATATAACATTGAACAGATGCTTCTTAAAACTATGGATCAGGAATTGCAGAAAAAGTAATAAGAGGACTATGTAATTCATTTATGAGCTCAATTCGTTCAAATTATTATGATGGAGACTCTTGCAGCTATTAAATGATAAGATGGAGGATGAAGCTATTAAATGATAAGATGGAGGATGTACATGTACATGTATGATTCATTTCTTACATTTTTAGAAGAGTAAAACCAGGAAGATACAAGTTAAATGTGTATTCACTTTAAATGAGGGGTCCGGTCACTCCGGTGAAGCCTTGCAAGATTAGACTGTTAACAGAATGTAAGTACAGTCAAACCTGTCTATAGCGACCGCCCAAGGGAAACACAAATAGTGGTCTTTGTAGATAGGTTACTTTAGTTCATGTTTCAATGAGAAATCATTTTCAAGGATAACAAAGTAATGTGGTCTTTGTAGACAGGTGGTCACTAAAGCAGGTTTGACTGTAATTTAAATGATTATTATGTATTCTACTGTTATTTCCTTTTCATCTCGCCTTTGGCATTGCAGAGGTCAACTCGTTGGCAGACGGGACCGAAGACGACGACAACTTGGACGACTACGGGGACGAGATGGACCATGACCGTGATCGCCTTGACAGCAACAGCCTCATCAACTCCATCAGCTATGTGTACCAGAAGGAGAGGAGCTACGATCCCGTGCCCGATGCCAACAGTCGGAGGGGCAGCTCGGAGGAATCGGTGATGGGCAGCGAGGAGGAGGAGCTGTCACCCCTCTTTGTCATATTGGTATGCTCCGTCAAGCTCAAGTCTAATGTGGGCCACCGCAACGTCAGGACCATACCAACTTGTTTAGGTGAGTCCATGTGGCCATTAATTTTTGTCACACCTCTTTGTCATATTGGTATGCTCCGTCAAGCTCAAGTCTAATGTGGGCCACCGCAACGTCAGGACCATACCAACTTGTTTAGGTGAGTCCATGTGGCCATTAATTTTTGTCACACCTCTTTGTCATATTGGTATGCTCCGTCAAGCTCAAGACTTATGTGAGCCACCGCAATGTCAGGACCATACCAACTTGTTTAGGTGAGTCCATTATTTTTTTGAGAGAGAAAATTACCCCTCTTCTTCATATTGGTATGCTTCATCAAGCTCACAACTAATGTGGACCATACCAACTTGTTTAGGTGAGTCCGTCGGTGTGGCCATTTTTTTTTTGAGATAGAAAATTGTTGGACACTGCACAGAAGCATAATTTCGGTGTCCATCTTTGGACTCCTTTTGCCCCAAAATGCTGTTGATTTACTGATGTTATGCATATACAGTCAAACGTGTCTACAGCGTCCGCCCAAGGGAAACACAAAAGGGGTCTCTGTAGACAGGTTCCTTTAGTACATGTTTCAAAGAGAAATTATTTCAAGAGAGACGAAAAATGTGCTTGTTGTATACAGGTGGTCACTAAAGCAGGCTTGACTGTATGTTGATTGTTGGATTTTCTGTAAGGAGTGCATACAAACTAGGAGTCCTACAGTTGCATGTGTATCTGTTAGCTTGGATCCAAAAGTGTTTTTGTAACCCTTTAATCAGAAATTACTTTTTAAAGGATTTACCATGCATTCACTCTACATGTACCTCTGAAACAGATTTATCCTAAGTTCACCTTATCATACATGTATATGTATATATATATATATATATACACGTTATTATGTAGAGATGACCCGAAGACTGCATACCGGTACCTTGCGTTCAAGACTCACTAAGTTGTCATATCAATACTGAACATTGTACATTGTTGATAGTACATGTATGTACATCAATTGTGCTCATGGACAGATTAATTTGGCAAAGTTTCATTGCGTCTCACGTATATTTCAATGAGGATTTACCTTGGCAAAAATGAAATATTCTTATGGTCAAAATTTTAAAAATTTCAGAACATTGATACGCTTAACCCATTGCTTACTGGAACCTGGTGGTCCATGTGTAAAGCCTATGGGAATAAGATAATTCAGTAGTCAACAGCTTAACATCAAGTACGTGTACCTGCTGATTTTTAAAGATACAAGGTTACGACAACTACTGCAATAAAACTGTTCTTGATCTATACATGTAGGTAACCTTATCAGCTGCCTTGAATCCCAGCCCGCCGAGGAGATCAACCTCAATGACCTCTCCGTGACCCTTGACCTCATGTGCCTGTCGCTGCCCTCCGACCTGGACGATCAACCGGCGATCGGGGACATGGACGACGAGGACACGTACCGAGGAGTCTCGTTCACGGAGCACTCCCCTCCGGCGTCGCCACACCCTGACCATCGGCTCCTCAGGGCCAATACGCTCTCCACTTCGGATGCAGGAGAGTGAGTGAAACCGTCCCCACAAACTACCTGTATAGATATACAGGGGGGTGTTTCACAAAGATCCTACGTTGAACTTATCTCTAAGTTGGACTCAACAATTATGGAAAGCCGTTAGCATCTGTGAAAATATTTTGTAAGAGTTATTTCAAAAGGCAAAAAATGTTGATTCAAATCATTCATACTTTCTATTATCATGCAATATTTTATGTTCTTGATGTGGAATTTATGAAAAGTCTAAAATACTTGAATTTTTGCATTTGAATATATATTATTTTAAGGCTACAAATGGCTCTCCATAATTTTTAAGTCCAACCTAAAGTTAAGTTTGACTTAGAATCTTTGTAAAACACCTCCCTGTTTATTCATTTTTTCTCAAAGCATAAAACGATATAAGCAAATGTACAATATGATGGATACATACATTTGAAAAACAAAGGTACACAATAAAAAGCAAGATAAAATAGTACTGGTTTTTTAATGAATTGAATGTGCGTCCATCTATCAAGAAATAAAATTAACCTGTCTTGTTCCGTATAGATTGTTTGTTCAACTTCATAATGATATTTTAATTTCATTTGTAAAGACTGAAATTATATAGATCCCTTTAAAGTAGATATTCATTGATTTTAAAAACTAACTTTATTTTCATTATTGCAAAGTTGAAACTTTGATTCGACAAGGTTATCAAAATTCAATGCTTGGAAACATTCGAAGTAATGATTATTACATTGTATAAACTACAAAACGCTTAAATACAGCCCCGGCATAGCACCTGAAGAGCTCTCCAAACGCTGCTGAAATGTGTGAGATCACAGTATGGACATGATTTGCACAAGCAGACAATGTCCCATGACATCTCACACATTTTCAGTGCCTGTGTTTCATCTTCTCTGGAGTTCTCTCTCTTACTTCAATACCGTCAGGCTAAATGTATAATCTATTGCTTCACTCTAAACCCCACGCATGGTTTTATTTTGATGACAAATGCAGCGATACATAAATAAAGGAATCTGTCGCTTGTAAACAAAATAAGACGCCATTGTATATTCAGCTGCACACACTGTGGTATGTTCGGCGTTTCAAGAGGGAACAAATGCCGTCCTTTATATCATTCCGGGGGGGGGGGGGGGGGTTTCAATTTGAAAGTCTGGTTTCTTTGATTGTTAATTAACCCCTATCCTGTGTATTTACAAGCAAAAGATTTTAGTTATCAGAAACAGGTCATATCCCCTTTTGAATGGTTTGATATGCCATTACATTTATATACACTAAACTCATTATAATTTGACAAATAATAGCTTTGCAATTATGTTCATTCTTTATGGGATGTCGTCTGCTTGGGCAGTATTGGTCCATATAGTGACGTCATTAAAACATCGTTATTTTTCTGGCGAATCTCTCGTATATCCCAGCTGCTATGGAGGTGGTTGTATTTGTATTTTTATAAATCACCCGATATGTAGTTGACCTGAAACTTGTACGATGGCCATCTGTTAGCTTATTAGTTTCTAGTGATACATTAATTGACATACTTGTGATTTTCTTTGAATTGCACCTTTAAACATTTAGTTTAAAATATACAATATTTTGCATGTCATATACCAAAATCAAAAGAGGAACACTTTTTTTGTTATTTCTCTCTGTTCTAATATTTGTACCATACCTTTCATTTTTGTTCAATTTCTTCATACCTTTATTACATTTCTATGTTTATTGGTTGTTTATTTATGTTCTTGTTGTCATTTTTGTCCAATTGTGGAAAGAATAAATTGATATTTTTTCTCTTGCAGGCTAAACAGTGACATGATGAACAATGACATGATACCTGTTGGCCAAAGGAAGGCCATTGATGAAACAGAAAAAGAGGTGAAGTACATGTATATTCAGTGGTTGATTGCTGAAAAGTTATGCACTTTGAGCCATTTCGCCAATGGATAACGTGAGGAAGAAGGAATGATCTCTTTTCTATTCAATTCTGGTTTATTGTAAATAAAGACATCCTGAATAAAAAGTCTGGAGACTCATACAATTCAGTTTTAAAATTACATGTACATACAAGAATATAAGAAATCAATACTGTAAGCAATCTTCATATTAATTACTGATTCTAATTAACTGAACAACCAGTATCAAATAATCGTAAAATATTATGTGTTGTAATTATTCAGCTATAAAATTTAACTAGTTAACGATGTTCTCACCATTTTTCGAATTGTTATATTCATACACTTGCATATTAATAAGTAATCACTTTTTGAACCTAGTTAACATTTCTTTTAGAAAATAATTATATATGGATGATTATCACAAGAAATATAATGAATCAAAATATTACAATTATGATTACTTACAAAGTAGTCCTGTCAGTATACTGTGAAATCTAATTTAATCTGGTTAATTGGCATGACAATAAACTGATCACATCTCGATCCAGACACCTCAACATAATATGGTCACAATATGGGGTAAACATATCCACTTGAACTCCATTTGAGGCTGCCTTCATTATGAGCCTTGCCTTATCTTTTGATAATATTTTTTCATTTCAATACTAAAATTGTCATCCACTCTCACTTCTACACAGCAGACTTACATGTACAGTTAGCAACTAAATTATTCATACCCCTTAACAAGTTTTGTTATTTTCTTAAGTGAGTGAAAATCAATTTTGTCCCGATTTATGTTTTTTGAGAATGTGACATGAAAAAGTCTACATCTAACAGTATTAAACAAATGCCCTGATTCACCCAGACCACCTTTCATTTTTGAGCAGCGAAAAACATTTAAAAAAGATCAAATTTACAAGGGGTATATATAATTTAGTTATTAACTTAACTGTATGCAATGCCATATAATTCAAAATGTAAACCAGTTCATGAAGAGGAAGGGTCATGGTCTAAGATGGGGAACTCTAAAGATGCATGTCAAGAACAGCCATACCCTATTGATGGTAGGATTAATTGCTACATGAGCAGCAACGAGAGATTGGTACATGCATGGAAAGGCTGAATTTGACTTCACCTAAAAAATAACTTTGTAGCATGATGGTCAATCTTTTCTCACAAGTCTCTCTTCTACTCACAGGTGAAGTGGCTGTTGAGGGACGAGATTGTGTCGGCCATGTTGCACATCAAGCGTGTGACCGTAGCAACCCTCGAGATGGTTGCCCAGCACGTCGAAGACTCTCGGGACAAGCCCAACTGCAAAGCGGAGGAGCTGGCCCTCCAATTTGTGTTTGGACCAGAGCACAGCCTGGCAAAATTCACCAGTGTAAGTTTTTTGGGAGGTGTATGTCATGACAGAGGATAATACATGTATATTGCCTTCTTTCTAGTCTTCTAGTCTTCTAGTCTCCTTCCTCTTTTTCGTTTTGAGCTTTGTATACTGATGTAAAAAATTATTTTGAAAAGATTACAGCAAAGATTCACCACTAGACTGTTACATTGCATCAAGCTATCTGTTTCTTGGAAACAGTAGGTTGGCTCCGCTCTTCAAGGAAATAAAAAGTATTAAGTAAGGATTTTATACTCAAGCAAGAATCTAGTGCATCAAAGATTCACCATGTACCCTATTTGAAGACCTGAAGATAGGATATGAAGGTGCAGTTCTTGCATAATTCTTGCATAATGACTCTCCACCCAGGTGAAGTAAATGGGTACCGGTAGGAAGAAATTCCTGGAATGCTTGAGTGCCTTATAATGCAGCTCAGCTACAGTCAGGTTAATAATATGATACTTTGTATTAAGCGTAGTAGAGAATAATCATATAGTAGCCGCACCATATAAATGTCCATATATAATTTTCATTATGTATGATACAGGAGTTTGAGAGGCTGAGCATCCCCAGGCATCAGTTCTGCAAGGTCCAGGACTACTGGTACCTGGCCCTGGACCAGCTTCATGCAGAGACCCTTAGGAAAGGCCAGGCTCTGAAGACAGCCCTGGAGTCCTATAACAACCAGCTTCAGCAGCTAGGCCAGGACCAGACGGGAAAGGGGGATGGGTCCAGCAAGGATGACCAAGGTAAGATCTTCTGAGTAGTTAATTGAAATGATTAGGGAAAGATAATGTAGATTCAAGGGTGTTGTAAGCTTGTGCTGTAGTTGAATTGATTCGCTTGTGAAAGTTGTACTTCATTCAATAAACACTGAACTTTGACTTGGGAATAGATAGCAGAGAGCTAAGAAATGCTGCGTCTTATATTTAGATGTATGTGTAATCAATTGTCACAAACAATTTAGTTATGATTTACTTTATCATAATCTTTTAGCGAACTTATTCCAAGACATTAACTTTTTTTAAAGAAATAATTTGATGATGTGTGGTTTTACGAGCTTCATGTCTTTTCTGGATGTTGGCCCATCGGCAATGATTGCATAGTTGCAACTATTCCTATTTTGGAGGAATGATTTCTACTTCGTGGTCCTCGTTATGAATCCTAGAATTATTTTTTTGTGTAAAAACTAAACAAAATGACTGTATTTCTAAATTTTGCCTCGATGAATTCCTAATTTTTGCTTTGAAAGGTTGGCAGGTACATATATGCCATTTTAGTCAACATTTCCCTCTCATCTCTTTGACATGCAGGTTTGATCATACCAACGACCACCATCATCTACACGCCTCCATCCCCTGAGAAGCATGCGGTCAAGAGGACCGGAAGTAAAGAGGGTCAAGGAGAGGTCAAAGGTGAAGTGATGCCCTCTGTAGAGGCTAACGATGACCCTCAGGTAAACAGACTGGAGGGTTCTTGTCTTTATTGACAGAATTTTGTATAGAAGCCATGGTAGTTGAGAGGCTAGTGATTGTATTAGTCATTTATATAGGCCTCGTGTTGTGCTATTGACTTTGTTGACACTGTTATGACCTATTGTTCATGCAGGGCTACATGGATAAAGTAATCACTTACCTATTGCCAATGTTTTCTTTTGCAAAGAAACATGAACTTTTAGTATTTTTCTTTCATTACCAGTAATGAATTGTAATATTTCTCCTTTTAATTTTAAGGTCAAAGCTCCCCAAAACGCGGATGAAGGCTCAAAATCGGGCACCCTAGCCGACATCGAAGTGGGTGTCGATGTCACACAGGAGATCGAAGACGTGGAGGACGAAGCGACGCTGGAAGGCACGACAATCATCGAGGACGACACCGAAATCCACACCAAGGTCGAGAAGGAAGAGGAGGCGAACGCAACCGGTGCAACGGTCGAGGATGTTGCTAAGCAACGAGATGGAGAGGCTGCTGAGGAAGAGAGAGGGGATGAGGGAGGGATGGAGAAAGAGTCCAAGGAAGAGGAAGAAGAAGAGGAGTCAGAGGTCAGAGCTAGACACGCTGAGGACAACATCTCAAGAAGCAGCGGCAGCTCTATACAGGTGATTATGTCAAAGACCCCCGATGGCTCCCCGCACATAAATCTCACCGCTTCGCTCAGAGACAGAGAGCATGTGTGTAGACGTTAGCGTATAAACACAGGCCTCATAGGTTTACTCACGTGTAGTGCAGGTTGCCGTTGTTGGAATTTACTTCCCATGGTGGTATCTACATTTTTTCCAACTCTCATTCATTTAATATTTCACTTTAGGAGGAAAAAACTTCACAGTGCTTAGTGTAATATTTCTAGTATCTTCCTACCTATCAACTAAAATCCAAGAAAAATGACAAAAACTTTTGCGGGCCTACCACTGTACATGACCTTTAATAATTCTGAAATGATAATCACAATTTCTGCTATTCCATTTTCAGGTCCTTTCAGAAGAGACTTTACAAGAAGATGCCACCAACCTGCTCATCAGTGAAGCCTCCATCCAGCTGGGCATGGATGAAACCGATAACGTGGGCTTCCAGCGTTACCATGGTAACGGCAGGGAAGGCATCAATGGCGAGGAAGAGGAGGCAGGGGTGTACAGTGGGGAGGGGTCTGAAGGAGAGAGCACCCTACGGAGGGCGAGTACCAGCTTCGAGGTGCTGACGAGGATAGGGGACGATGATTCCGTCATCGGAGAGACTGAGATTGAATTGGATACCCCTACCTGTACATTACCAGGTGAGACATTAATCTGCAAATGCCACTCTCCACCGAGTTGAAGTAAATGGGTACCTGGTAGGAAGAATTTCCTTGAATTACCAAAATGAGCACTTAAGGGAACCACAGAGCAATCATCGCACACAGGCTTTATGTGCAGTGAAAGTAATTTGGAAATTATCAAAATCCATTCGTAAGGAGTATGTTTTATTAGTGTACAATTAACAGTCATGCCCCCACTTTTTATTTGTACTGCAGTCTTTAGACAACAATTTTCTTTTTCTTTTAATATGAACAGCTACTCCTGAACACCAGCTAGACTCCGCTTCGACTGCTACAGCTTCAGGCCCGGAGGACCCCTCATCTCCGGTGACACACCTCCCGAACCCCTCCTCCCCTCCCCACACCTCCTCCGCCCCCAGCTCTCCTCCCAGGGCTAGGGTGGGGTCAGGGGCGGGGCACAGTAAGCGCCCTACCCATAGCAGACAGGGGAGCGGGGGCGTGTCCAGTGGACCCTCAAGTCTCTTCCAGAGCTATGTGAGTCATAGCGGCAGTGCTGGGGACAACGATGAAGAAGGTATTGAATTGAATTGAATTAGAATTTATTAACAAAATAACACAATGTTACAAATGTACTCAATTCTTCCTCTGATGTTCATTATCTTTCTTTTGAAAGAAAGTATCAGTGACTTTTTACTCATGAGACATTTTCAAGGTGGTTCAGTATGCTATATAAAATAGAAAGGTAATGTCTTTACTTGTAGAACAATCAGAGATCAGTGATTATTTTTATCCTAACATTAATTTTATCTCACTGCTATAAAGCAAGTCTATGATTTTGCCAGACATAAGCGCTATACAAGAACCCGCTATTATTATTATTGCTCTCATTCTCATCATTGTCATCATCATCATCATCATCATTGTCATCATCATCATCATCATCATTGTCATCATCATCATCATCATCACCACGATCATCATCATCACTATCATCATCACCACCATCATCGTCATCATCATCACCATCATCACCATCATCATCATCATCACCATCATCACCATCACCATCATCACCATCACCAACATCACCATCATCATCATCACCATCATCACCATCGTCATCATCGTCATCATTGTCATCATCTTCATCATCACCATCATTAACATCACCACCATCCCACCACCATCATCATCATCATAATCACCATCATCACCATCATCACCATCATCATCATCATCACCATCATCACCATCATCATCATCATCATCACCATCACCATCATCACCATCATCACCATCACCATCATCACCATCATCACCATCATCACCATCATCACCATCACCATCATCACCATCACCATCATCATCATCATCATCATCATTAAAACCTTATTCTGTCCTTTCCCATTCTCTTAGGTTATGATGCCAGTTCAAGTGACATAGACCATGAGGAATCTCACTTGTTTGTAGACGTCTTCAACCATTCCATGCCAGGATTCTGGCTCATTCTCAAGCTCTGTCGGGACAAAGTCAATCTCTTCTTCCACACAAGGTAATGTCTCAAATCTTTGTGAGTTGCATATTAGGCAACCTCGTGAAGATCCGTATTTACTATTTGTTTATTGATTGATTGATTGGTAATTTTATAAGTATGTGAAACCTGATTTGACCCAATTTATGGTTCTTGAGAATGCTGCGTATTAAAACTTACATCTAAAAGCATTCAACCAGTCTACCTTTCATTAAGTGCATTAAACACTAAAAACATCATATTTACAAGGATTGTGGGTTTGAATCCCTTGCACAGCACCAATATTATTAGCCCTTGGAGTAGCAACGGCTTGATTGGCTACTAATTGTAGTGACATCATACCCGTCGCCAGAGTGGCCATAGACAATTTGGTTTTTTCTATTTCATGAAATCTTACTTCTAAGACCTACATGTACATGTATTAGCTACTGTCCTTGCAAATCTGATTAAATGACAGCCAACAAAACCAAGTATTGGGTAAGAAAAGACACTTTAAGAGTGTTAGTCAGACAGGGGTATCATTATTTGGAGATTTTGTTATTTTTTTTTTTTAGAGAGAGGAATGAGAGCGGGAAGCTGATAGAACAGAAGGATATCTATCTGCAGGTTTCAGAGGCCATCAGGAACACCTGTCGTCTAGTCAACCAGGTATTACATTGTGCAACCTTTCTGCAGAATATTTGATACAATATCTGTCTTTTTTCCTTGGCATCCAATATGTTTCCTCACCATAGTTTCTGATTTACTTTTGAATTATGCATATCTAACCGCCCCCCCCCCCCCCCCCCCCCCCCACCCAAAAAAAGGAATAGTTAAAATTGATTACAACTTTTTGAAGATAAATATCCTATTACTATCAAGCAAATCCAAGCTATTCTATTGGATATGTTACTGACCACATCACAGATTTTAGGTTACCTCATCATTTTATTAAGGTAATAGCTCTACCAGAGCTTAAGTTACACCAATTATGAAATGAAGAAGACAAAAGTTATGTCAATTTATGGTATAAAATCTTCAACAATTTGTTTACATACACATGTACATGTACTGGACATCAGTACCTTAGATCTGCTCTCTTGTAAAAGTAGGTGTATACTTGTGAATAACTGTGAAAGTTAATCACAGATGTTTGTGTCAGTTTTGATGTTTACTGATTTATACTGTAATAATCTGAGGTATTTATTTGTCCATTGTATCTTTATCCTGGGTTTTTTCTGTACATGAATAAGTATATGTATATATAACTTTTTCGTCTTCTACTATCCTGTGTATTCAGGCAGTAGCCTAGGCTTGAATGTTCCTTTTTACATGCTTTCTCTTGTTACAGTCAAACCTGCTTTAGTGAATACCTGTCTACACCAAGCACATTTTGTATTTCCCTTGAAAATGTTTTTTCATTGAAACATGTACTAAAGGAACCTGTCTACAAAGGCCACTTTTGTGTTTCCCTTGGGTGGTCGTTATAGACAGGTTTGACTGTATGTGGTTTAAAAAATACAGAGTATAAATTTAAAAAATTATTAAAAATCCTTTATCACAGAGGTTACTCCTTCAAGAGCTAGATAACAACAAGATGTGTAGTAATCTGTTGGTTGACTATCCTGTGTATTCAGGCAGTAGCCTAGGCTTCAATATTCCTTTTTACATGCTTTCTCTTGTTATTTTCAATAAATAAAGTATGGGATTTTTTTAATTTTTTAAATTCCCTTATTACTACAGAGGTTACTCCTTCAAGAGCTCGATAACAATAAGACATGTAGTACTCTGTTGGTTGCCGAGAGTGATGAAGACATCTGGAAGCAGGAAGACAGCGAGCCTCCGTCAGCCAGAAGAAATTCTTCAGACGAAGGTAAAGAAAGGATGAAAATGTTGATTATGGAGATGGTTCTGAGATACTGATGATGGTAATATCGATGGAGGTGAAAATGATTTTGCTTTTACCAGACCTGATAATTACCTGATTTAAATTGGTTTAGGTTTCCAGATTTTCCTGATTTTACCCCTATTTTCCTGATTTTACCCCTATTTTCCCTAGTTTTTCCCAATTTTCTTACTCAAAAGGGGGGAATGTTAAATCCTGACTTTTGATGATGATGATGATGATGATAATGATAGATGATGATGATAATGATTGATGATGATTGATGATGACGATGAAGATGACGATGATGATAATGATTGATGATGATTGATGATGACGATGATGGTGGTGATGATGATGACGACAATGAAGATGATTATATTGATGATGTTGATGATGGGGATAATGATGTTTGATGCTGGTAATGATTATGTTTACCATGATGATGGTTAAGTTGATGAAGAGTGTGATGGTAGCGGTGGTGGTAATGATAAGATGTTGATGGTGATGGGTGATGATGGCCATGACAGTGATGATGGCGATAATTACAATGATGCTACTGATGATGGTCATGATGATTCTGAATATGGTGGTTGTGATAGTGCTAATGATGATGATATAGATGACAATGTTGATAGTGGTAATGAAAATGAAAATTATTTTATATTGGATGTGTTTATGGTGGTAATGCTAATGATGAAATGATGCCAAGAGATTTAAAACAAAGACAGTTAACAATCATGTATACGTCATTGAGTTCAATCAAAATGTGATTGTATTCATTTCAGATGAAGATGACAATCGTCAAGGAGGCAAGGGGGACTACCTGGCAGCGCAGCTATGGTTCAACCAAGGCCACTTTGCATGTGACCTCGTCTTGAGTCAGGATCTCCCTGTACATTCAAGACTCAAACCCTCCCATAGACCTAACGTACCATCTAGGGGTAAGATCACCCACATCTATAGGCCTGCCCTCATCAGCTCGAGTTTGCAAAATAACCTGCTATTTTAACTATTCCGATCACAAATTAGTTACAATTAGCTGGATATTTGGACGAGAAAATATCCCAAGAAATCTTGTTCTTGTTTCCAAAATATCCCGCTATTTAGAAAATAGCGGGCTAATGTGCGCTCGACCGAGCTAGTTTGTGATGAGCGAATCAGTCTGGTGAAGAAGGATAGTATCTTGAGTCTGAAAATAGCGGATTTATTTGGCAAACTTGAGCTGATGAAGACAGGTCTTATGTAACCTAATAAGAAAAGCAATTCCTACAGGAGTGATGGGTCCCATTTTACTTTTCAAATCAGAAAAACAGCTGTATTTCATTATAGGTATATATTTCTGATAAAACCTGGTGATGGGTTCGATCACTGGCATGGCATTTAGGTCCTAAAGCAAGGCATTTTGATTACATTACTTCTCTCCGCCCAGGTGTCATATGGGTACTTGTTAGGATATGAAAGTCATTGTAGTTTGCTCAGCATTGTCAGCGTCTGTAAAAATGACGCCTGGCTAGAATGCTCCCCAGGGAGTGTAGAATGAACATACAATGTATTCTGGCAAGCCAGGATCAGTGACTGGGGTAATGATATATTTGTTAAGCGTTTGGAGACATCATCCATGTATGGAGCTTAAAAAAAACAGACTATTGTTATTTGAAAACGAATAAATTCAAGAAAAAACGCCAGTTTTGCGAAAATTTGTTTTGCATTGTCAACATACTGCCAATATTAAGAATGATTGTAATGCTTCCACAGTGCAAATTATATTCAGATACCAATGTTTTTCTTTGGCCCAGGTGAGGTAAATGGGTACCTGGTAGAAATTAATCCCTTGCAAAGTTAGAGCGCTGTAATGGCAGCTAGGCTAAAGCCCAGGTAATAATAAATGCGCCTCAAAATAGAATTTCTAGATAGACAGCGCTATAGAAATGCCTATTATTATTATTATTATTTGTTTGTTTGTATGAGGGGGGAAATCTAAAATTCAGGCTAAATGTAGGATCATTGCATTGAATTTCCATTAATTTGAACACATTTTTTTTTTTTTTACATTCATGTACTGAGAGAAAGTTTCTTTTTTTATATGTTAGGTTTACAGGCACTCAAGACAGCCCTGGCTGCCTTTGCTGTCCATGACCGTAAGAACCTGTTTGTCTATCGAGAGAGTTCAGGGGAGGTCTTCTATCTCAGGTAACCAAACAGTACTGAAGCAGCTGTAATTTTGACATACCTGCGCTGTGAGGGTCATTAAAATGTACCCATCATTTACAAACAAATTTGTGTTCAGGCAGAATGTATTAAAATCATCCACAAAATTCTCCCATCTTTCTATGGGCTATAACAGATAAGGTGTATGAAGTAAAACAAGAAACCCGGATTATATTTTTAATGTGAAAGCATATGCTACTCTCATGTTGCTTGTATGTTTGATTGATAGTTTATTTAAACTTTCCAAATATCTTTGCAGAAGTAATATTTCCAGTTTATATTTTGAGTATAATATTACAATATAGATCAACTAATATACATAGCAGTTTTTTTATGCCTCCGTTACGAAGTAGCCGGAGGCATTATGTTTTTGGGTTGTCCGTCCGTCCTTACGTACGTCTGTACGTCTGTACGTACGTACGTCCCGTTCTTGTGATCGCGTTATCTGAAGAACCGATCGATGGATTCCTGCCAAAATTAGGTCATGTATGTTACTTGCAGAGCCAATGAACTGAGTAGATTCTTGGTTCATAAGGTCAAAGGTCAAAGATCATGGGCTCATTAGGTATGCAAAAACAGCTCGTGAACGCATTCTCATTAGAACTGACAGATGGATTACTATTTAACTCAGGACATCTTGCAGAGCCAATGAACTGAGTAGATTTTAGGGTCATGAGGTCAAAGATCAAAGGGTCATATATGTGTATGAGAAATTGCTTGTAATCACGATATTCTGAGAACCTGTCAATGGATTACAATTGAACTTGAATCCGAAAAATTTCTTCTGTTTTGGTTTGTAAAATTGCTCTATGACGGAGGCATCATTTTCGACTGCACGCAGTCGAATTCCATCTAGTTTTTTCATGGTACACTGCAACTGTTTAGTTCAAGGTACATGTACATGTGATGTGAAGAATTATCTCCTGATTTCATTTGCACAGTTCATGTACAGTGTAGATGTATACTTTAATAGGTTTTAAAGCTCTGTGTTCTAATTATAATTATAATCCTTTACCTAACACATGCGGACTGGATTTTCATTTGGTATTCTTTCAGGTTATACGAGTCTACGGTAGTGAGTGGTCACCAGCACACATCTCGACTGTGCTCCATCGCCGAGTCTAACCACACGTCTTCCCAACCCAACTCACTGCCTGCCTCTCAGTCAGGTTGGTAGAAATAATAATAATGAGGGTTTCTCGAAGTTATGATTCATCTATTAAAGCCCCACTGTACTACTTGACGCTACTCTATATAGAAAACTTCTCTAATCGGTGCCTGTTGGTTCCCCACGATCCTCTTTTTCTTATGTTAATTGAGAGCTGAGTTAATGAGATAGCCACCTGTCAGTGACCTCGCTGTGTGGTCTAATCCCTTCTGGACAAACTAGTACAGATGGCCTTTAAACAATGAATATTGACCACATATTGATCAAATATTAGGCACAAGACATTAGCCCTTTATTAACAAACAGCTAGTACATTTCTTACAACTCTTCTCCTTCTTATCTTTTGAGAAACATGTTAGTAACTGATCCACTTGTGAAGGACATCTAGAGAAATTGCAATGAAGTGAACATTATTTCTTATATTTGTCATTCTTATTAATCACTTCTGTTATTAATTCAGCATGAAATTTGAAACTCATGAGAACTGAAAAGCCTCATGAAGAGATAAAAGGGAATTTCACTTGAGTTGACATCTGATGTTTTGCCACAATTTTATCTTACGTTTCTCTAAAGATGGAGGAGAGTTCTAAGAAATATACAAGCTGTTTATTAATGACGAAGGGCTAACGTCCCCACCCCCCCCCCCAAGATTTGGTTAATATGTGGTGAATATTCATTGTTTCCTAGATGAATCAGAACTGCATACAAACCCTCCATGGTGTTTCTGTTGTTCTATTACCATGCACTAGGAACTGCTACTAATTATCTTATCTTTCATTATTTTGAGTTTGACATGATATCTATATTTGACCCATTTCTCTCCCCATCTTTAGTCTCGAGAGCAACCTCCAACCAGTCTCTGAATACCATCGGCGGTCCTATCAACCTAGAGGAGGATGCGGTTTCTATGGCAACAACATCAACAGGTGCTCCATCTATGGTAAGATATCAGTCATTGTTTTCTTGTGTTCATGAACAATTGAATGTGTGAATTATGGTTGTGTATATAAGTATATGTTGTATAGGGTTTGTAGGATAGAGTAAACATTAAAGTGATTCAGTAACATTGCCTCAGATTCTGAAGAAAAAAACTGTCACTCAAAGATTTTTACTTTTTTGAGGCACTTCATGATCATTTTGAAGCGCAATTTTTGTAGGGCTTAGATATTACACCATATCACAGACACTGATAACACATACATGAGGTCCATGCATCTCAGATTTAACATTTTTAAACGATGCCTTTAAGAGAGAATACACATATTTATTTTTTATTCATTTTAACATGTACGTGTATGTTTGAAGTAACTGTATTTGGCATTAAGAATGATATTACAGCCAAACCTGCTTTTGCGACAACCTGTATGGAAAGACCACCTGTCTGTAAGGAGACACTTTTCGTTTCCCTTGAATCTGGTTTCTCATTGATACTTGTACTAAAGAAACCTGTACATTAAGACCACCTGCCTATAAAGACCACATTTTTCATTGTTCTTGAATATGGTTTCTCTTTGCAACCTGTACTGAAGGAACCTGTAGATAGAGACCACCTGCCTATAAGGACCGCTTTTCTTGTTTCCCTTAAGCGGTCTTTGTATGCAGGTTTCACTGTACTATTATTATTGGATTCTTTTAACATGCACTTGAGGCTTCACTATTAACCTGGCCCTAGATACATGTACAAGTGGGCTATTGAATTTCTTTCATCCTTCTTCCTCTATTAGTCTTAATAAAGGGCTATGCAGCCTATCACCAAGATCGTTATTTAGATTACCAGTTATGTACACAGGCACACTAGATTTTAGTGCTCCCAGGATTTGAGGAACTTGATCCGAACATGTTCCCATTTAAAACCTGGGTGGAGAGTGGAAAATGTAGATTAGATGTCTCGGCATTGAATCAAATTGGGAAGGTTGTCTAATTCTGGTTCATTGCGCACATTATTACATGTTTTTTAATAGCATACACACACTAGTACATGTATCTAATGCATACATGTTGAAAATTGTTTATTGTTTTAGATTCAGTTACAGTCAAACCTGTTTATCAAGGCCAACCAAGGGAAACAGAAAAAGTGGCCAATTTTCACAGGTGGTCTTTCTAGACAGGTTCTGCAACACACATTTCTTTCTCGAGGGAGACAAAATACATAACCATTATAGAATGGTGGCCTTTATAGAGGGGTGGCCACTAAGGCAGATTTTACTGTACCGGGTAGTTGTTTTTATAGGCTTTGGAATAGATAATACTTTTACATAAAAAACTTGAAAAGGCCACAATACAAATGTTTAACATCATTATTATCATTATTACCAAGGAATCAGTGAAAAAATACATGGGGGCTCAGGGCGAAATAGTCCCCGAAATGCCCAAAAAGCTCCCCAAAATCAGAAAAGAGCCCCCTTAAATATGTATAGAGTTCAATGCTTCAATGCAAAACAAATTTTAGAATGTTATTTTCATGCAGGCAAGGTTGAAAAGTAGCCCCCGAAAAATAAATATTATTTTTTTCCCTGCAAGGAATCTCTCCGTGATTCTGGAGTTGATGTTCAGTCTATTACATCGGCAGCCTCTAAAGCATCCACCATACAGGGAGCACAGCACATCATCAGCATTCAAGTGCATGGCGTCACAAAAGCAGGTACAGTCCTCATCCTCATCTTACAGATGAAAGTCAGTTGAATCGTACAGCTACATGTACGTTCTCAAAACTCTGGCTTACTTGTTACTCCTAGGGTTAAAAGAAAGTGGGGGGAGCTGGGCCTTCATTATGGAATACTCTACCTCAATGGATTAAACATAGCAGTTCTGCTGAAGTGTTAAAAAACAATCTTACAAAATATCTGTATAATTTAGCTTATAATTGATTACCATAACCTTTCATGTCTGTACCTTTCATATTGCACTTTTGTATATATTTATCATGTATTTCATCTTTTGCACAAGCTGCGCCTTGAGCATTTGACTGTCAAGTGGATTTGGCGCCTTATAAATCTTATGTATTATTATTATTAATATTATAATCAAGTCCATTCGTTTACGTGCAGTTGTCCAAAAGAAGTCGTAGATGGCGTTAACCACCATTGCCATGCTGCACCCCCTTTAATTATCAATGATTATCTGCGTGTACCCTGTCACTTCAGGTCCCGAGATTCAGCATGATCTAGTGGATCTACTCAACAAGAAGTTAGAGTCGGCTACCCTAGATGTGATCGCCGATATGCTGGCTAGGAACCCACTCTGTAAACTCACTCCTAATGATGTACAGGTATGTTCGTAGTTCGGTCTTACAATGCAGTGTTGTTCACTTTCTTTCATATTCATTGATTGTATTCATCAATACCTATTCCAGATTGCTTACAATTAGTCACTGCTTTTTTGTCTTTCCCAGTTAGAATCATGAACAGACATTTTTGGTAGTTATTCAGTCTCATCAGCGTTTTTGATTAGGCAACTAGATATTGGTGCTTTATAAATTCCTTGGTTGGATTGGATTGGATTGGATTGAAGATTTTATTGTTTCCTCACAAGAATCTTTGGTGTGTACTAATTGTCTAAATTTGTATCAAAATCCAGCCCTGTATTCTATCATTTGAGTTCATCTTCCGTTCAGAAGCAGTCGGGAAGTGGAGGTGTACATGTAGGATCAAAGGAATTAAAGAAGAATTGAGAGAAAAGAAGAAAAAGAGAAGGGGGGGGGCAAGAGAGGATGACAGTTTTTGTTATAAGCTACTAAAATCCTTGTTTCTGATCGGTTATCATCAGATTTGTCACTGATTTTTGTCATTTGTCAATGAAAAAAGGCTTTGTGAACGGGCCCCTGATGGAGTATTGCTGGCTCTGATGTCTTTTCCAGACACATATTAGTTTGTTTCTTTCTGCCGCTGCTTTTGCTTTATCTACAGTACATCCAGCAGAAGTGCAAGGTACCAACTGAATCCATCCCGTTCACAGTCCCCATTTGGGCCCGTTCAGTACCTCTACTTGTTAATCTGTTGACTACTGAATTCATTCATTGTCATAGGCTTGATACACAGGGGCCACTCGGTTCCTGTAGGCAATGGATTAAATGAAATAATGTAAAACAATGCAAAAAAAAATCCTTTCAGTCCACTACCATGATAGTGCTTGTACATGTATGTGTGATGAGTTACGTTGTTAAGTAACGTTGTAATGGTTCCTTTTAATCTTCAGTTCATTTAACCGAAGAGCACAGTTCACAGTCCCCATGTGGGCCGTTAAGTACCTCTACTTCTTAAATGAAATGATGTTAACGATGCCAAATACTCCTTTTCAGTCCGCTACCATTAAAGTTGTTGTATGTGTGATAAGTAACGTTGTAATGGTTCCTTTTAATCTGCAGTTCATTCAACCAAAGAGCAAGCCTCCGACTGAATCCTTCCAGTTCACGGTGCCTATGTGGGCCGTTCAATACCTCTACCTCTTAAATGAAATTCAATGCCAAATACTCCTTTTTAGACCACTTCCATTGTAATGAGAAATGTTGTAATGGTTCCTATTAATCTGCAGTTCATTCAACCGAAGAGCAAGCCTCCGACCGAGTCCTTCCAGTTCACGGTGCCCATGTGGGCTGTTCAATACCTCTACTCCGTCCGCTACTACCTGCGCCAGAATCTTCTTCAGAACCCCTTCCTCCACCCTCCCAAGTACATCGACTCCAAGCCGGACCACCACTTCCAGGACTGTAACTCCTGGAAGGCCGGCAGGGCAGGATCAGGACCAGGACCAGGAGCTGTCCTGGAACCGTCAGAGATGGATGTCTTCCTCTACAACAGACCTCACAAGGCTGAAGGAGGCACAGGCAAGTTAGGCAGGGTTCCCTCTATTAGACGTTAAAAAAAAGCACTTTTAGTTCACAAACGTTGCTAACTGTTGTGCGTTTTACCTTCCAAGTGCGTCTGTTGGTGCCACTTCATTTAGCTAAGCTTTGTCAGTTTCCTACTTGTAGACTACCGGTAGTTGTTGTGGGTGTGCACTTAGGATCCTTATGAAGAAAACATTGGACATTTACAAATGCTTATACACATGTAATTGCTTAAAGTGTGCATGAACATATCTCTGAATTATTGAGAGAAAAAACGTTTGGAGCAAAATGACTTTGTTATAAGAGTGAATTCCTTAATCTTTATTTTCTTGTTGTTGTATGAAGCACACATTGAAATGAGGCCATAATGGTATTGAATACTTCTATTATGAGAAGTATTACACACAGTATTTGCTGTTCATGATTATTTTGGCATTTGTATTACCTTGGATTATTGTTATGTCACAGCCCAATTAAAATTAAAAAATTCAACCTTTAAGAAACATATGACCCCTCTCATGTTGCAGGTACTGCCTGTGTAGCTACCAGCTTGGTGGATGGGTGTGGCAACCCAGTGGTACTGGTAGACTGCCCCACCCCTTCCACATCCTCACAACTCTCCCACGATGACTTTGAGAACCTCATCAATACACAGATCTACCAACCAGTACAGACCAAGAAACCAGGTAATGATGATGATGATGATGATAATAATAATAATAATATTTTTTTCTTATATAGTGTTTTTACAGAATACTGATCAAAACGCTGATACAAGAAATATAAAAATATATATTTGGAACGATTCGGGTTTCATTCAGACTAGCAGGATGATGTGGATCAAAACTACGGTAAAATGGTGTATCATCTGCATGCAGATGATTTCGAAGACCATGGCGTTTGATGATATCTTCAACAGTTCTGATGTACATTGTGAAGAGTTGAGGCTAGATTACAGAGCCCTGAGGAACACCATATCTCAGAATATGAGAATCAGATGATGATGATGATGATGGGGATGATGATGATGAGGAGGAGGATGATGATGATGATGGGGATGATGATGAGGAGGAGGAGGATGATGATGATGATGATGGGGATGATGATGATGATGAGGAGGATGATGATGATGATGATGATGCTGATGGGGATGATGATGATGATGATGATGGGGATGATGATGATGAGGAGGAGGATGATGATGATGGGGATGATGATGATGATTATGATGATGATGATGGGGATGATGATGAGGAGGAGGATGATAATGATGAGGATGATGATGGTGGTGGTGGTGGTGGTGATGATGTTGATGTTGATGCCTGTGATAATGATTAGGAGGAGGAGAAAGACTGATAGGATGATAGGGTGTGGCAAACCATTCAAACTGGTAGACTGGCCTAAACCTTCTTCATCCTCTCAGCTTTCCTAGGCAAAGGTCAAGAATGTTATCAACCTCCGAATTAATCCGATTGTGATGGTGATTACTAATCTTGACGTTTAAAAGAAAACTCCTCATTTTACATCTACAACCATAACTTTCTTATCCCATGTGTTTATTGCATTTGACTCTTTCTTTTTTGCAGAAAAAGAGTTCTGGAATGGATAGATATTACAAATACAGTGTCCAACTTTTAAAGTACTCCATTGTTATCAACAAGTCCAAACATGACTTCCACAAATATTTATCATTATTATTATGAATATTCAGTATTTGTCATTACCTGTGCCTGGGAGGGGAAAAGGGAACTGAATCACTGTAACCCTTGGATCTCTCCTCCCGGTATGAGTGATTGGGGATTTGCAGGTGGGCTACTACACAGGGCTTCCCCTATACTTGTACCAATAATGTAGTGGGTTTATACTCTGAATTGGACTCTTTATATAGGACCAACAGCTCTGATCCAGTTCTTTATCTGGAGGCGTGGCAGTGTGGACCTCGCCCAGCAGCTCCAGCAGGCAGTGGAACACGCCCTCTGTGACACCCTGACAGAGTACTGTGTCCTGACTGCACCCATGGGACACATCCCCGGCGATCAGCTTAGGCCCAGAAGGGAACATCAGATGACATCTCCGCCTTTGTCCCCGACTCTGATTGGTGAGTACCGGTAATGATGATGATGGGGGTTTATGGTAAAGATGATATTGATGACAGTGATGTTTAATGATGATGAAGATGATGATAATGGTGATGCTGAGGATGATGATGAAGACAGTGATGATGGATGTCTTTGGAAACATGATGATGGTGGTGATGATGGAGTACTGCGTCCTGACCGCACCCATGGGTCACATCCCCGGTGATCAGCTTAGGCCGAGAAGGGAACATCAGATGACCTCTCCGCCTTTGTCCCCAACTCTGATTGGTGAGTAATGATGATGGGTGGTTAATATAATAAAGATGATAATGATGATAGTGAAATTTATGATGAGGATGAATATTAGGATCCTGATTACTACAATGATGAAGGATGTGGTAATGATCATGATGATGGTGTCTGGTAATGATAATGCTAAGGATGATTTTGTTGACAGTATTGATGATGTACATAATTTGAAACATGATGATGATAATGGTGGTGATACATCCCAGCCCAGAAAGGTTCAAGGGAAAGTCAGATGAATCACCACCTTTGTCACCTACCCTGATAGGTGATTGATCATGATCAGGATGATGGTGATCATAGAGGATGAGAGGATGATGGTTATACAGTCAAACCTGCTTTAGTGACCACCTGTCTACAAAGACCTCAATTTTTTCCCCCTTGAAAATGGTTTCTTATTGATACGTATTAAGGAACCTGTCTACAAAGACCACCTGTCTACAAAGACCACCTGTCTACAAAGACCACCCGTCTACAAAGACCACTTGTGTTTCCCTTAGGCGGCCGCTATAGACAGATTTGACTGTAATTTATAATGATGAGGATTGTTATGATGATGTTGATCTTTGTATTGCTTCTGCTGATGATAACAACCATGATGATGATGATGATGATTGATATTAATGGTGATACTGATATCGTTGATGTTGATGATGTTGATGTTGGTATTTTGATGTTGATAATGATCATGCATACATTTTGACTAACCTGTCATGATACATAGGTTTGCTGTTGATCACAATTTTTCACAACTCCGTTCATCAAAATAATGATTTGAATTCATCACCAATTCACTTTAGTCATACATGTATATGTGTATGTGTTTCCCAGCACCAATGTTAACAATTCAGTGCTAATTCATCTGGTATGGTGTTTTGTGTTATATAGTTCGCCCTGATCCAAACCGACACATGTCCAGTGAGTCAAGGAAGAAGCCTATGAGCTCACCAGTCAATATGAAGGTAAGAACACCAATCATTATTACACCAGGGGGATTCAGTGCTTGTCTCAAATGATTGTGTAGAGCGCTATGAGTTAATTGACGCCTGTAACACAAATTTTCATTGATTAATCATTATTACACCAGGATAATTCAGTGCTTGTGTCAAATGATGGTGTAGATTGCTATGAGTTAACTGACGCCTGTAACACAAACCTTCATTGATTTTAACACCAGTAAGAAAACCTTGACTTTGCACAAGCTTTACATTGAGCAACACTAATGTACAGGTAACTCTGCATAAGTCGTATACTGTATGTTGGGACTCCCCAAAAAATAGTTTGACTTAAGCACAAGTTTTGCATTGTTTTGTCAACAAAATTAATTTCACTTTTTGGAAGATTTGACTTGGGCGAGTTTGCAGAGTTAACAGTATTTGATGTTGTTGATGATGTTGAGTGTATTGGATGATCTTGGTTTCAAGTTATCACAAACACCAGATGCAAACACCCACCCACATACATTGCAGAAATTATTCATCACACTTTTCACATCAAATTTAGTTTAATAGTTAAAGGATAAATCCAACCTTATTAGACAGTTATTCTAAAAAGAAAGCAGAAAGTTCAGAGCAGCATAGATTTCGATCTCATTTTTAGACATTACTAAATCTCTTACTATTGGTCCGATTTGTCAAACTTTGCCATTCTGTTTCTCTTAATTTCTGGTTTTGTATAAATAAACTTATTAGTTAGGTTGGATTGCCCTTTGGGGGGTTACACCATATGGATGTCTATATTTCATAAGCACTTCAATGTTCATTTCAACACTTTGTGAGATTGGTAAGGAACTGAAATTAATATCCATTTTGACAAAATTTTGAATTATGAAGTGATAACCTTTATTTGGCCTCATATTGCCTTCTTTCCAAGCTTTTAGCATAGGTCAATTCAAAGCGCACAGAATTTCAATATTGAAAAAGAAAATATAACAGATATTTTAATGAGAATGTACAAATTAATAGAACAATATCTAAACTAATAAAACTTTCACACCAGTTAAGTTATCCATCAACCACTCATCAAATTTAGAATACATTTTAGTTTGAATAGCTTCGTTACAGCATGACCAATAGTTGATCTTATATGTCATTCCATAACTAAGTGCATAAAATCCAATATTTCATAAATTTGATAAATGAAACATGAATGGTGTGAAAGTACCTCATATTAATTAGTTGATATATCATTATTTGTAGATTTTTATTACGATTTCTATGATATTCTGTATTAAAAAATAGAAAATTGAAGAATGCGGCTTAGTTGCAACTTCTCTCTTCTTTCCTATGCATGGAATATATAGAGTAGTATCTGTATTCTGCAAACATGAATAATGCAGTACTTAGTGCATCATGAATGACTGCTGCTTTGAAAATCATTGGATTTACAATTACACAATTATTTTATTGCAAACATGTATATTCTTAATACATGTATGTTTATAATTTTGTATGTATTATGCATCGACCATAAGACCCAGCTAGTTACATTTTCTTATCCTTAATAGTTCACAGATTTGATATGGAATACTATACATGTAGTTCATTCTTGATTGGTGATGCATTTATTACTCTCTTCATCTCCAGATACAGTTGATATGATAATCTTTCCCTATGTGTACTGTATGAATATATGTTAGAATGATCTGATATGAGTTGATGGATTTGATTTTCAGCGATCTATGTCGGTTGGGGAGAGTCCCCAGTTCTTTGGAACCGATATAAAACTCCTTCTCAAGAGAATGCAAAAGGTACAAGGAATGTAATTCTTTTATCAGCATTTCAGCAAGTTTTCCTAAACATTATTCTTTTTCTTTTTTTTGACAGGTGGTATTATCGTGGTACAGGGTATATTGGACAAAAATGTGATGTGATAAGAAACAAAAGGAAAATGAATTTTATCGATGAGAACTAGTAGATCGCAGTATTCATAAGAAGTCCTTTGCTTATAATTTCTACTCATTAATCAATGATTGAGAATCATGTTTGAATTGATTGGCTTTACCTCATGCCTTGTGAATATGGAAATTAACATTTATTATATAATGAATGTGAATAATACCCCCCCCCCCTTGAAAATGATATTAGTTGCCACATTGACTAATATATTTCAATCGTAGATTCCTAATATCCCCAGCTCTGCTAAAAAATATTTGTTTAAACCTCAGCCAGTGCACATATTTTACTGGTAGAAAAAAAAGCAATACAAAACTAAAGTGCAACTTATGGATAACACATTTTTGCCTAGTACTAATGATAATACCACTTTGTTACAAATTTGAGAATTGCTGCTAGTCTCATTAACAGCTTGCATGTATCACTATTAACACATACTGCAGGAAATATTATACTAAACCAGTTTCAATATGGTTTCTGGTGACTGGCAAATGAGTCTATCACGTACAAGCACATTCAAGCTACAGCTAGCTGTGTATAATTCGCCTATCGCTTTGGAGCTGAGTATTGCATACACATATTGATAATATTGACAACACGCTGTTGATATATCATTTTTGAAAAATTCTGCTTCTACATTATGAATTTCAAATCATTTGCAATTTGCAGAGCAGCATTCATTGCAAAATATGTTGAGATTTTTCATCAATTTTTTTATCATTGTTTTATAGTTTACCACATATGTGAGAGAGTTACACGTACAATATGCTGATGAAAATGTCACTACTATTGTCTAGCAGACTTCAGAGAGGGTTTTCATCGTTTTTCAAAGGATTTTTTACTTTCTCTTTTTTTATAGATTTCAGAAGGATTACTGTTGAAAACTCTTCAATAATTCCATGATAAAGCAAATGAAAGTTGTAAAGACAAAAGAAAATTTAGACTTTTTAAAAAAGTTTTTGCCGTTTAACTTAGTTTAACCTTTATCGGTCCATTTAAAATTGCAGTTACACATGTACATGTACATGTATTGTATACACTTTTCAAATACAATCGTTTCAACAGCATTTGATATAAAGATGTGTGTAAAAAGGAAATCTAGTATTGTTATTTTTGTAAAGATTTTCATTCGTAGTTAATGATTTTTGTCCTACTTTGTTTCTGTAGGAGTATTTAATCTAATATTTATCATTTATTTTACATTATAATTTAATATTTATCATTTATTTTACGTTATAATTTATTATTTATAATTATTACCGTTGTAAATAAAAGTTGGGTTGTAAATTTTAGATTTTTTTTACACATTGATGATCATAGGTTAGATACATGTATCTTACGTTAATTGATAATATTGGTTGATACGAATATCAATGATTGATTAAATGAAATTATTGATTATTTTTAACAGGTTTTTCCTTTTAAACTTACTATACATGTAAATCAAATAATTGTATTTCAGGTGCTTCAGTATAATTCACTTCATGTTCTGTAAAATGTCTAATATTCATGCACTTTGCCAGCAGCTTTTTGATCACCAACATACATGTGTTTTCTTTTTCCTTCTTATTTAAGATGAGAGATTCAACAATTTTGGGCTCTATCTTATAAAAAGTCGCAATCAAGCTGTATTGATCATAATTCATCTAGTCAATGCGATGACCCAATCACCTAATTTTGTATATGACTTGTGACTTAAGTTAAAATTCAAGTTGAAATTAAGTCACCTTTTTATTCGAATTCATCTACATTTCGTCGTCAAATCACACTCTAAAGTTAACTTATGATTTTGTCAATGCTGTTTTGTATAGAATTTGTCACTTTTTTGCATGTGATAATTTTTTTGAGTAACACCTGCATGAAAAAGTTTTCACTGTTTTTATTTCAAGAAATTGTCATGAATTTTATTTCAAGTCCCATGCTCTTGCATATCATCATTTATCTCTTCTTGTTACATGTACAGTTACATGTAACAACTGAATAATTCATACCCCTTGTAAAAAAAATAATTTGAATCTCTTATTTTTTATTCCGGAACTCAAGGTAGACTGGTTGAGTTCGGGCCTTTTTTAAAAATACTTAAAATGTGAGCTTGGTCATGTTGCATTCATAAGAAACATAAACCAGGATGAATTAACTTTTCACATACTTAAAAAATTACAAAACTTGGTATTCAAAGGGTATGAATAATTTAGTTGTTAACTGTACTTATGTATTGTTTATTTGCCACCATGGCACTCATAATGGATGTGCATGCAGTGTCATCATAAAAAAGAAAAGAAAAAAATACATTGTATCGTACCATGCCTGAAAGTTCAACTTACTTCCCATGCGATTGTTTATCATGCTTATTATTTGAACTATTAAATACATGTAGGTAGCCAATTACGAAATAAATGTTGGCGGTTTAATCAATGATTTTGGCATCAAATCTTAAAATGCTACTTTTAATTTGATGATTAATTTTTTAAACATTAAAAAAGACGGCATAAAATAGCATTCATTAGCATCTTTATTTGTTGTATCTCGGATTACTTGATCCATGTCATGAAACTGAATTATTTTGCAAATTAAGAATGTATTGTAAATGTGTATCATGATATTTTAGTCATGCATGAAAGCGTTAACATGCTTCCCATCCAATTTGTTTTGATTTGAATGCTAGTTTTAAGTTGTAGTTGTTTGATCAAGTAAAACAAACGGTTCTTATTGTAGAGGAACGATACATCAGAAATATTTCTGGGCAACGTCACTTGTGCGATGAAAAGATTCCATGTACCCGTAGTTTGAAAAGAGAAACATAGCTATCCTTCATCCTTCATTTGCTGGAAAACAAAATTAAACAGAAAAACAGCATTACTTCGGAAAATGTTATTATTTGGTTCAAAAAGTGTGCTTATTTGCCAAACTATTTGTTATTACATCCTTGTGCATGGACATGTTTGCAATTTTTGAAATAGAGAATTATACCGTTTTCATTACCATGTAAAATTTGATTTAACAAGTTATTACTTCCCCACCCCACCCACCTGGAAAATAGAAAATAAATGATTTTATTATTATCCCTGGTAGCAGCCTGATCTGGGACCTGTTTCACAAAGCCTTTTTTCAAAGACAAATGACAAATATCAGTGACAAATCTGCTGGTACCCAATCAGAAGCAAGGATTTCAGTAGCTTATAACAGCAACTCATTTTTCACTGTTAACAAGTTTTGTGAAACACCCCCAAGTTTAATACTGCTTTTCTTGAGGACCCTGCAAATGCATACAGCTGATTTTCTTTTTGTTTGTTTTTGTGAACCATAACCCCCAGCAAAGAAAAAAAAGAAGAAAAGCAGGAAACACGTTATGGAATTGTAGTTATTGTTAGTAATGGATCTGCTATTTACAGCGGTCTCAGTCAGTGACTCCTGGTCTGATCGCCAGCGGAAACGCTCCATCTGCAGAGTGCTCCCCTTCCACTGGCCCCCTGGGGCGGGCACGGCGCCTGGCAGAGGGGACATCGCCCCAGCATTCTCCGGCCTCCTCTCGACCTCACACGCCCACCAAACACAAGTTTATCAGAGAGTTTAGTCCAAAGGTATATTGCAAATGAACCTCGTTACAAAAAAGGCCGTTTCAAATTTTTTTCATGTTCATGAATTTGTACTGAGATAGTGGTTTCATATCTGTAGTAGATGAAAATTATTATTTTTTGTTTTAATCAAAAGGCTTTTATTATTTTTATGTTTTACTGCTTTATATACGTAAATGTACATGTAGCCAGTGACTTCATACCTGTAGTTTGATTACCATAAATACATACATGTATTATGACTTTAACTTCAATCTAGGCCATCGATAAGCCCCCTCAGAGATAGTATCTGCGCATTGCCAGATATCGGTCATTTGTACGAAACTGTAAAACCCATTGAGACGACTGCTGGATACGTGCTCTTGAAAGTTATACAATCAATATTCATTAATGCACCGGCGGGACAATGTACATGAATGATACACAGGTGGACGTATTATTTTCAAGAGGGCAAACAAAACAAAAGCACCTCCATCACTTTGGCAGTGATGATTCCAAAGTGCACAAAGTGGGACGTCTCCATGTGTAAAAGATCCGTGGATATCTAGGGGTCATTTGCGCAAGTGCCATCTCTGAAGTGGGCTATTGTATATTTATCTGTTCCTCATGTACTCAGCAAGTGCCTTCATATATTGGTTAGATGTAATGTAAATTATGAGTCTAGTCCTCAAATGACCCTTATTCCTTTACATGTATGTGGCTTCATGTACATCATTTTGATTAGATGTAAATTGTGAGTTCAGTACCAAAGGCCTTTAATTATATTCGTGTGGAATTCCACAGTAACTTAGTATTTTAATATCTACAGTAGATATATATTGTTAGGTAACTAAGCTCCACAGTAGAACCTAACTAAATAGGGATAACTGTAAATAGTAGAGGTGTTATCGTCTAGTGGATACCTGTTTGAATAATGGATCACATGGATGCGGTTTTGAGTCCCGCTGCAGAACTAATGTCCTTTGGCAAGACATTGATCTACATTTGCCACTCTCCACCTAGATGTTAATTATGTACTGGTAGGAAGGAATGCCTAAAATGTTTTAGCACCGAAGTTGGTTGATATCAAGTCTGTATTGGTTAGATACTTGTTTTTAAAAATTCCTTTTTTTGTTAATATAGAATTATTATAGAATAGAATTATATCTTTTCTTTGACGATTTTTATTGTACATTGTATATATATATATAATATATATATGTGTGTGTAATTATGATGACACAGCAGGCACATTCATACATTTATGTACACGTACATCATACCCAATGTGTACATGTATAATTTACTACAGGGAATGTTTAGAATTCTTTGCATTTGTTTCCTTTTTTTGGTTTTTTCTAATTTCCCTTGTTTTCCCCATTTTTTCTTTATTTTTTCTTTGGTTATTTATTTGAAAGTTGCCATAATATTTTCTCCCCTTTTCTTGAGATATAGTGCACTTAGTTGGTGATGGTCTTGACTTAGTCTAGTTCAAGTTCTCCCGGCTTTTTTGCTTGATGCATACTTGTACTTAAAAATATAGTAGCATTTATGTATAGGCAATACCTATAGGGGATACTTTCACTAATATGCTTTGGTAGTTGTTATCGCCTGGTTGTTTATGCTTTTTTGCCCAAGCCGAGTTGTGGGACTAATTGCGTATCCCAGAATGTGTTCTCCCTGCATTTATATTTTCATTTATATTTTTATATACGTACATGTTTTTTAACATGTACATGTATTGGCTTTATCTTGTACACTGTTATTGCTAATGTTATTTCCTGTTCATACCAGTTTCATTTTAAAACTCCCTTGCGATTTTGTGGTAAAGTTTTACTTTTTAAGGATTTTTTTTTTAATTCAAGGAATTAAAATTGATTTGATTTTAATTTAACTTAAATAAGAATTTGTTGAAGGGTTACTCGCGATTTGCTTTTTATTGCATCATATTTACATGTCCCAACAACGTTAAATGTTCTTTTGGTCAATTCTGTGTATTTCATTGTAATGTGCACACATTCTTAGTATTGGAATCAAAATTACATACAGAAATTACTGATTTGCTGATACAATCCTGAATTTTGTTAGCAGCAGTAATAGATAGGGCTCAAAACTAACAGATGCCCAAGATACATGGGTGCCCAAAATATAACTCAGGAACCCCCTAAATGTCAAGAATTTATATAGGGCCCATGAGTATAGAATTTGAAAGTGTTGAATCCAGACCCCCTTTCAAAAAAACTAGTCTGGAGCCCTGACTATTATTATTATTTCTTTATTGCAACCAAAAATTGAGGTTGGATTTCAGATAAAAAATATAGAAATAATGTCCGATATATATTGAAAAGGTGGACTACCGGTAGTTGAATTAGACTACCAGGTAGATCAATGTGTTGCTTATACATGTACATGAATACACATGAGAAAGACCTGTTTAAATCCATAAAAAGATGACTAAATTACAAATCCCTGAAATTAATCTAGGAGACCACCGTGGAAGGCAAGGCAAGCTGGCAGATCATCGAGATGGAGCGGAGACAGGAGGAGGAGGCGAGGGAGCGTAGCCGGGAGGCCGAGGAGGGGAAGAGAGGCATCCTGCATCCCATGTACTCTGGTCTCGCTCTCCGGTGGTTCCCGTTCATGGAGGAATTGGGTAAGATCTCCTTTTTCTTTACTTTTCATTTCTTAAATTTTGTTGCGCATTTGTCACGTTGGTACCCGACACAGAATGGCAACCAAGGATGGGAAGGAGAAGAAGAGGAAGGCAGAAGAGAGATGACCTAACATCATACATGGGAACGGCCGCTTGGACTAGGAAAGCTAGAGACCGAAGAGAATGAAAATGTTATGAGGAGGGCTTTTTCCAACGTCTGGATGAAATTTAGCCTGATAGATAGATAGATACCCGCTCTGAGTAAACTACTTGGTTTTGCAAACGGTATTTCATTGTTTTTTTATTGTTTTCGTGATTTGTTTCTATTTCTATATTTTGTTTTATTATTCTGTGTGTATATCATAATGTGTATAATATAATTTCTGCTTTTTAAAATGAATTGGAAATTGAATTGAATTGCATATAGAGGGCAATGATAGCATTAGAAATAAGTATAAATCAATTTTATTCAGCCAATCGTGAAAAACAATTTACAATCACATTGGTACTGGTACAATTATAACATGATGACAGGCTATGGACCCCTGAGAAGCAAAGCTTGTAAATGGGTACCGGTATGTGGAGGTGTTAGCACAAAAAACAATTTCAAGTTTATGACAAAGTGAAATCGAAAATTTGCAGAACTACATGTAGATCGTTGATATACCGCATTTTACCTCAAAATTAAAAAGATAATGTCATTCTTGTGAAATAAGAAGGGATTTACACTGGTGAGATCCCCTGCCCTCTGAAATTCATTTGGGCACGCTACCCCCCCCCCCCCCCCCCTTTGAAGTAAAAAAATCCCAGATTTTGTTATTCTGGATATCCCTCCATCCTTTTTGTAGATGCGCCCTCTGTCAAGGTTCTGAGCGCCAGACTATCCTGTCGCTTCAGTCTGGGGACATTCCTGCAGGAGTTCCTTGACAAACTTGGTAAGGTGTGTACAGACTGCACCCACAAGCTCTACCAAGCCAGCGGCCAGGAGTTCAAGTCTTATGACCCTCCACCCAGTAAGGTGAGAAATAAAACCCTGTTTACTTATGATAAAATTTGATATTTTGAGGTTTTACATATTTATATTTAATTTACGGTCATAAAACAATAATCAAGGGTTTCTAGCAGAAAAAACAAATATTTCAGTTATATTGCACCAATATTTATTGAATAGCAAAATATTGTTTGATGTCATGAAATTAAAAAATAATAGAAGCAGTAACATCATCAAAATGGCAATACTTACAAATTCTGTACACAGTTTTTATTTGAAACTAGCAATATAATATTATTTCTACCTGTGTATTTTCATTTGTGAAGGAATTCTTTTTTCTTTCTTTTTCAATAACGATACTGAAATAAAATTAAACTGTAAATATCAGGGAGAAGAATAAAAGTGAGGAAATGATGTTATACTCTTTTACAACTGTTCCTAGAGTGTTCCCTCTTTATTATTTCCTGACATGTTTCTTCAACACACAGATCCAGGAGTCTGATGTGCTCAACTACGGCCAGTCTTTACCAGGAGGTGAAGAGACGTTCATTCTGATTGGACGTAATGTCCACCAATGGCGTTACAGCTTAGACTCCAGTTCGCTTGACGAACCTCTTCAACCCCCGAACCTCACCAACCCTAAGAGTGAGACTTTTATTTCTTTGATTTGTAAACTTCCTTCTTAGTTATGCTTTATTAATCCAAGTATTTTACGTGTGGAAAAATAGAGGCAATATCAGAGTAAAATGTTTACTTCTAAAATGACAGCAATGCTCCCTTTTCCATGCTTAGGAAGAAAAAATCCAGTGAAAATGATTGAGAAATGTTGAGAATGGGTGATGGAGAGATATATGTCTTAATAAACACTCCATTAAGAAATCTAGGGTTATATCATTTTATAATTAAAGATAAAATTTATTCTGTAAATGAGTGATGATATTAGATTTAAATACAGCATATACTTTCAAGTATTAAACATTCACATGATCTATATTGCAAGTTTGTTTTAATTACACATAGATAAACTACAACAAGTGCAAAATATTGATTTTCGAATACTTATGACAACCATCTGACTAAACTTGGTGGTCAGTATAATCATTTTCGATTATCTTTGCTTACAGGTCAAAAGAGTTTCCAGCAGTTTGACCCCCTGGATATATTGTCCTTGGGCAGCAGTGAGCGCAGTGGACTACCTGGTCTGAAGCATCCTCCTCAGTCCATGAGACTAGTCGTACCCAGACAGAGGCTTCTTCTCTTGCATGCCACTAACAAACAGGTCAGTAAGTCTTCAGGTCTTCATCAAATGTAATAGGGTTTATTCACGCCACAATGTGCATCATCTCCACTCCCTGGAAGTTTCCCTACCATATGGTCAACATGAGGGCACATAGGCTTTCATCATCCTATTGTGTATGAAGTGTAACATCTAGATTAATGCCTTGCCAAAGGACATTAATGCTTTGCCAGGTATATAACCCATGACCTTTGAATTTCAAGTCAAATGCCTAAACCACTCGAAAACAACACCTCCAACAAAATACATACAACGTTCTCATCTTTTTAATCATCACAGTTGAAGGTGTTCATCTACAACTGGTCCAACGACAAGCTGAGCTCCGTGGACAAGCTCTTCCAACGCCTGGTCATGTGGCACAACACGAGGGCGCACTTCCTCGACTGCTTGGTCAGTCAGAAGATGGGACTCTACCATCACTGTCACTTTGGCTCCAATCAGGTGAGATTCAGCATCCTACACCAAAATAAATTGTCTTTAATAATAATAATAATAATAATAATAATAATAGCCTAATAGTCCACTCCAAATTTTATTAAACCGAAACGGAAATTCTTTTTGCCCAATTGATCGTGACCCCGGCAGCCACTGAGCAGCGCCAGATCGACGTTGCTCTATTCCCTTATTGTTGAACGCCAAACAAGGTAGCAACAACTCCCATCTTTTAACGTCTTTTGGTATGACGCGGCCGGGGTTCGAACCCGCTCTACTGACTGAGCCAACACTCATTGATAATGGATAAAATCATAGCAGTTTGAGATAGAGATTGGCTGTTGATTTTGGGGAAAACTTTATCAAATTTTAGATTTGTGTTGTTTTTTGGGGGGAGAGAAGGAACGGGGGTGTCATGTCATTGTTAAGGAAAGTACTTGTAAATCTCATCTGTGACTATACATCTGATGTAGCGAAGAAGAAGAAGAGTCCAATTCTCAAGCATAGAAGGAGAACAATAATCATTTGTAATGGAGATCAATAAACATTGATAAGCATCATAATAACGTCAGTGAATCAATTGAACAAACATGTATGTCCTTGTACTCTTTACAGGGTGATAACCCTTTCTCCCGTTCTTTGGAGCCCATCGAGTCGCTCGTGAAGCAGCCCACCCTGCCCTCCAGGGACTTCTCCACCCGCTCCCTCCCTGCCACATCGCGCCCCTCCCACCTGCGCAGGCTGCACCCTGCTCTGCCCCCGTTTGACCAGACGCTCCAGAACACCAGGATCAAGCGCCCTCTCCAGGGCTCGCCGCACAAACTGCTCCACGATCCGGTGTCGAGGAACGCGGCTCAGTTTGGAGAGATGTGCAGGAACACACGCAAGGGTAAGCATACCTGCCAACCCTTACGATAATCTGGAATATTCTGATTTTCTGGATTTTAGGACCTGAAAATTGGGAATATTCTTATTTTACAAAATTTGGGTGTGTGCTAAAGCCAAATTATGCTTGTTTTATCATGTGCCGCTATATGAGATTTCACGTATTTGGTTGCATTGAATGGCTGCATGATCGAGTAGCGAATTTGTCAGTTACGGCAGGTACAAACGTATGAGTAAGCCATTCAAGCGCCTTTCCTTTCTTTGCGTCATAGAGAATTTGTCAGTGCTAAGTCATAGGTTCTATAAATCTATGCTAAAGAAACACAGTTATGTATCGTACACAATTATGAACGATAGGCTACAAGGACAACATGGCCCTGGTACATAAAACCTGTAATTAATCACAAATGCTAAATTTCTATGACAAATTTGCCCTCAGTCAAACAAATAACAGTTATTGTGACTCCTTATTGATGACAAGTTTAATTGAACAGGGCCCAGTTCAGTGCCCTGTCCAGGTTGACCAGGAGGGTTTTGTGTATCCTTTTGGTCCAAATTCAGTGAAATCTGGTCTTTCACTACCCTGGGTGTTTTTTGTTTTATTTTTATTTTTTTTTTATTTTTTTTTTTGGGGGGGGGGGCAAGTGTGCCCATACTTCAAATGCTTCTCATTTGTTCAAGTTGAAAAGAAAATACACAATACTGGAATACATATATAATATTAAAAGCTTGATGAGACCGTACATTTTTGCATCTAACTGTTGTGAATTGTATGACACACATGTACAGCACCTTGTTTATTGATTGTAATAATATGATATTTTTTCTTTTTTTACAGAACTGGAGGTGCAGAAGGACTTAGAGACCCTGTACAAGACATGGGAGATCCTTAAGAGAGGCCCTCGGTCGAGACAGCCGGTCTGTAAGATCAGTGTAAGTTTGTTGAAGATGAGCATACATGTATCTTTAATATCACACCTTCAAATTGGCATTGATTACGCAGTAGTGTGGAAAGCTTTAATCTGTGAGGTGTAGTGCGCTCATTCACAACAACGTCATTAGTTATTGAACAAGACAACGTTACAACATTTGTTTTAAGCAATGTTGCAGCATGGCTGATAGATATTAATTTTGTATAGCGTAAAAACTCTTATATAATTCAGAATGTAAATGAAAATAATGAAGAGTTTCTAATGCTAAAATGCTTTTTTATAAAAAAAATTGCGGCAAATAGCACAGGAGGAATTGAAATTCTAAAAGAAGCAGGGGAATTTGCATTATTTTCCTTATTGGACTGATATATTTGTGAATACGTAACTGACTAAAGCCCTACAGTACATTTGGTCATGAGACTCATTTATGATACTGCACTTTAGGGTGCACACTCTCCACTCCTCTGGGAACAATCCAGGCAGTCACATTCATGTTCACATCCTGCCAACCATGCCTATTTTGGAGAAATGCTTCCTGCTTTTGGGTTATCAAGCTACCGTTATGATCCCCAGATTCCTCTCTTTTTTCTGAAATATTCTGTGTGAAAAGTATACAAAATAGACTGTATTCCTAATTTTGCCTTCAGAGAGTCCTAATTTTTGCTGTGAAAGGTTAGCAGGTATGCAGTAATCATTTAACACCTGGGTGGAGAGAAGCAAAGTAGGTGAAATGCCTTGCCCAAGGACATAAGTGCTGTGCAGGGGTTTGAACCCACAATCTATGCACTCCCAGCGTCTTTTGGGACGTTGCAAGAAAGTTGCAATCAATTGCAAATCTCAAAAATCAAGCGTAAGTCTTACGATTAATTGCAAATTTGGAATTTATCGCAACTCAACTTTCTTGCAACGCCCCATTAGTAAGAGAGAGCGAGAGAGGGGGGGAGGGGAGAGTTAACTTAATTTAATTGTTAAGAACTTTAATCCTAACAAAATCCTATGAAATTTAGGAGACTAGTGGGGCATTGCTAGAAAGTTGCAATCGATTGCAAATATCAGTTGCAAATTTTGCAAATTGCAATCAATCGCAACTTTCTTGCAACGCCCCATATGAAAACTTATATGTAAATAACAAAAACTCCAAATGTAACATTCATCCAAATCTGTACAGGACTTGATGCTGGACCTGCTCAAACAGCGGTCAAGGCTCGTCCACTACTGTGCCACGCCCCTCCTGCTTGACCCCCACTGGAGGGACCACATGAAGTGCAACATGAGGGGCGGGGCCCAGGAAGACCACCCGGACAAACCTACCAATGAAGCTCCCTGGCACAATGACCTCAAGAACAACATGGTGTCCCAGTATAAGGACTTCCTCAAGTGGCAAGGCTTCATCAGTGTGCATACTTCACCAACGCATAGTCGACAAGTGTGAGTTGGGATGTTTAGAAGGATGGTTTTGTTGAATCACATGAATGTCTCTGGTTGGTTGCTGAAATGTAGACAAAAACTTGAACAAGAACACAATGCTAACCCAATATAAGAAATGTTTGAAGTGGGTAGGGTTCATGGGTGTGCATACGTCATCCAGGCATGCTAGCCATGGGTGACTTGGGCTTGTGATTGAAAAGATAGTTTGGTATAACAATACTAGGGCCTACTGGTTGTGCGTATTATAGCCAACACAAAAATACAAAAGCCAATATTGGCATTGGCTGGAATAAAACGTTTAAGACACTATCTCGTTTTTCAACGGCTGATTCAAAATAACCAAATATTTGTGGGGCACCACAAATATTAGAAATGGTTATATTTATGGATGATTTTATCATTTAAATTGTCTATTCTTTCAAAATTGACACTCAGTTTTGCATTATCTCACAAAAAAATTATTTTGAGCAGCGTCCTCTGCAACAAAACTCAACTACCCCTTTAAATATGTTAGGGGGCTGATTATGTGATGAATTCAGATTACATCATTTTTGCGTTGTACTCTTTCCATTTGTTCTCAATAGACCCATTATTAGAAATGGTTATATTTATGGATGATTTTATCATTTAAATTGTCTATTCTTTCAAAATTGACACTCAGTTTTTCATTATCTCACAAAAAAATTATTTTGAGCAGCGTCCTCTGCAACAAAACTCAACTACCCCTTTAAATATGTTAGGGGGCTGATTATGTGATGAATTCAGATTACATCATTTTTGCGTTGTACTCTTTCCATTTTGTTCTCAATAGACCCAAGCTTCTGCATAGTCGAGGTAGCTCTGAACAGCAGCACGCCAGACGTCTCAGCGGCCTGAAACGCCCCAGTGAGACCGGAGTAGAAGGTCACCTTCAGATCACCTCGCCAGGGGGTGTCATTCTTATTGAGCTCTCCTTCAAGGTGTGTTAACCTTGACCTTGACTCAAGGTCATGTCAGGATAGTGTAAACACATCTACGGTGAAGAAGAAAAAAAAAATTACTTTGAAAAAAACAAAAACCATGTTGAAAAGTAAGACATTTGATTGAATTGTTGGTTTTACCTGACTGCTAAGAAAGCATGTGTATGCGTGTAAGCAAGCAATCAGGGGACTGATGGCTTTAAGTATATACATGTATGTATTTGTCACAATAATCATGTGTACAATTTATTTGTGATTATGTACCGTATTTGCTGGCGTAAAGGTAAAATCAATGAAAATCTGCTAAATTACACTCATTTTTGAGGTAAATACAACTTTAAACATACAATGTAGTTTTTCCTTAAAATTTTATCTGAATATTCATGAATTTAGAATCAGTTCATAGAAAAAATAGTTTTCTATCAGAAAATCACACTGATTTTATTTCCCTGTTTCCCCGTTCTTTTTCCTTCTGTTTCTTTTTTTTTTTCGCCTACCAAATGTCAAATCATGGGTGCGGCCTTAATGCCAGCAAATATGATACTTGTATATTTACTGTAGTCAGCTATCCAGAGTTTTGGGGAAAATATTTTAATATTTATACTCATATGACTGATGCTTTGCTCCTTTTTTGTTGTCTCTTAGCACATCTATTTCTGTGTGAAGCTGTATGCCTTTGAGAGCTCCAGACTACCAGCAGGAAAGACCATCAACAAAGAGGTAGGTCAAAGGTGAAGTAGATAGATCCCAAGGGGAGTGTTTCACAAAGACCAAGATCGACTTTAAATTTAAGTTGGCCTTGACTATGGCAGGCCATTCGAGCCTCTGGTTGCTCTCACCATTATGATCTTTAGATAATATTTTTTCCTTCAATAATGTAAATTCTGTAGATTTGTGACCATGACTTGTACGTCCATTGAGAGACCGATGCCAGTAAATGGTGAAAGCAAACAGTGGCATGAACGGCCTGCCATAGTTAAGTCCAACTTAAAGTCGATCTTAGGCTTTGTGGAAACACCCCTTAGGTGGTGTAAGACTTGTTCAAAATCAATTTTCCGACAGGCAGTGGAATGCAGTGATGTTGGAAGCTTCAATATGTCAATTATTGTTACTAGTTTGTGTTTTTGGATACTGCCTAATATTTTTTCTCGATAATTACTACCCTCACACTTTTTAGTTATTGGATATTAGAAGGACACTTTGGCAGCTACACTGTACACATGGCACAAAAGCACCACACAAAGTTGAAAATTCACTTTTTAAGAGGCTGCTACTGAACTGGAAGAAGAAGAAGAACATGTATATCCCATCTAACAGATACTTTTATGTCTATGCTACATGTACATGTATTATCATCATGCCTCCCCTACCAAAAATGCTATTCCCTAGGAATTTTCTTATTAAATTGTCTATGGGTCTGTTGTTCTCTCTGTCTCACCTTTATTACAACAATAACTGTTGAACGGATATCGATTGAATTTGTTTAATCGTGAAAATACACGTTTTAAGAGGCCGGTACTGAACTGGAAGAAGAAGAAGAACATGTGTATCCCATCTAACAAGACTTTTATTTCTATGCTATTATCGTTATGCCTCCCCCACCAAAAATACTACCGGTATCCCCTAGGAATTTATCCTATTTAATTATCTGTGGGTCTGTTGTTCTCTCTGTCTCACTTGTATTACCACAATAACTGTTGAACAGATATCGATTGAATATGTTAAATCGTGTCCTTTCAGTTGGCGACCCTCTTCACCGACGACTGCGACAAGTACAAGGATCTGATCCACCTTCACTCGTCCGCCTACGACTTCCACCTGCGCACCATCCAGTCCTACCTGTTCAATCCCGACATGGGATTCCAGTCCCATTATCACGTCTCCAGCTTCCTGGGGAGTTTCATGAAGTACTACTCGATGCCCCCACACTTCAGACAGAACTACATCAAGAAAGGTAGGACGATTACAGTGGTGGCAAGATATCACTTTCTTTTAAAGCCTGTCTATACTAGTTTGGCCAGGGGGATTAGACCTCCCTGCAAGGTCACTGACAGGTGGTTATCTTATCAAATCAGCTCTCAATAAACATAAGAAAAAGGGGATCATGGGGGACCAACAGGCACCGATCAGGCATTGTTTGCTATATAGAGGGCGTAAGTAGCTATAAGTAGTTGTTGCAGGTGTACATTTCAATCAAGGCATGGAATTCCAGTTCCAACATTACATGCATGTTTGTAGCTTCCTGGGGAGTGTTACAAAGTACTACTCCATGCCCCCACACTTCAGACAGAACTACATCAAGAAAGGTGAGACGATAAACAGTGGTGGCAAGATCATATTTGCCTGAAGAGGATGTGCCCCTTCTTTGGCCTTGAAGCAATACATGTGAGATAGAAAATAAGAGTAATGCAGTTCGCAACCGACTTAGAGTGTTTTTAATAATGACAGTTAAATTTGAGTTTTAGTAATAGAATTTGATTTTCTAGAGTTATTCTGATGTGTTTAACAGGCCATGTAGTTCAAGTACCAGTCATGGCACTAATGTTGTTTAGTATGCATGACATTTATCTTCATTTGTCACTCTCTACTCGGGTGTTGTTAACTCCTTTCATGCTTAAGGCACCACACAGTAACTTAAAGTGAACCAAAAGTAGGACTTTGTAGGCACCTTCAGCATGTCCCAGGATGGGGATGTACGATGTACATTATATATTTACATGTAGCTATTATCATTTTTGTAATCATGTAGTATTCAATTCTTCTTTTTTTCTTCAAAGACACCATCCAGTTCCTGAGCCTGAACACACCCGCCCCTCAGCTGTACGAGTACCTCGTCAACCACCCACCCCCCAGCTGGCGAAAGCTAGTCATGGTCCACCCCTCCTCCACTGCCACGCCCGAATGTGCGGGAGGACCACCCAGCGACAGACAGGAGCTGCACCACGCCCTGTGCCGCATCCACGGCACCGTCCATCCCCTCTTTCAGGATCGCCAGAGCAACCGCTTCCCAGATGACATCAGCGTGGTGGTGGCGTGGGACGAGGCCGAGTACCGCTGCCAGACGAGGCCCAACTCACCGGCCGTGGGAGGAGCCACAGGGTCGCTGTCGTCGGGCGAGGGTATGGCTGTTTACCACAAGAACATGCTGCAGCTAGAGTTCTACGTCATCGTGACCAATCGCAAGGATATCTATCCACAGAAGACCGTGAAGCCTGTAGTAAGGACCAATGTTCAACTTTTTGTGCTTTTACAGTATTTATAAAGGTGCATAGGGAGAAAGGGAATGTAAGACAACATTTCTGGAAAGAAAAAAAAAGATGTTCTATAAGCTTGAATGCTGTAGGACAGTGTAATACATAAATATACCTCTTGTGAGAAATCCTTTGTTACTGTAACTTTCACTTTATTTAAGCTTTATACTTGGGAAAAGAAATCTCTTTTTTTTCCTTCATTTTTGTCATGTTGTCATGATGCTGATGGTTGATAAAAAATAATTTCAATAATTGTTGTTATTGTCATTTAATTGAAATATTGTCTGTTCCAGTGCTATCATAAATTCCCCTAAATTACCCCCTCTCATTGATATCATCCCGGCCTCCTATCCGACAGAGAACAGACGACCCCTTCCTGCCCAAATCGGCGTTCCTCCAGCGCTGCAGGCTGGGGGAGACGGAGGCCTTTGCGGAGCGGGAGCGCATCTTGGCCATGCTGACCAGTGCTGATATCAACTGCAGGAGGGACTCTCTCTGGGACCAGCTCATGATGTGGGACATGGAAGACATGGACGCCGTGGCAACCACCTCCACCAAGAAGGGCAAGAAGAGGGACAGTGCAGAGGAGGACGATTCACAGGTGAGGAGGATCGACGGACTATACAAAGTGTTGTGTTTCTTCTTGTGGAAATTACTGCAAAGCATTTTAGCGATGAAATGTAGCAAGAGATGTTTTACGAAAAACATTGAAATAGGCCCCATTAAAAATTGTAGATTTTTACATGTAGAACTATCAAACCCTTTGTTGTTTCTGTCATGAAATTTTTTTTCTTCACAATTTTATGAAATTTGCCTGTTACCCTTTTTCGACAAGCTGGGGTAAAGTTTATTCTAATATGATGAAAAATACCTGAAAATAGGCCCAATTTAAATTGTTTTGGATTCTTACTCAAAAGAGGAACCCCTTGCAGTTTTCTTTAAAGAAGTTTTTTTTCTCTTCTCCAAATGAACTACATGTATCCCTCACAGTTTGTGTAAAATTGTGTTTTTCAAATTTTCTTGAAATTTGCCAAGGTTCCCTTTTTCTACAAGCTGGGGTCACATTTACACTAAATGCTGGTTTGATGAAGAAGAAAAAAAACATAAAACTTGCCCCATTAGAAATTTGCTCTGATAAAAGAAAACTTGGACAAGCTTCAGTCCCTTTTTTCCTAGTTTGATTGAGAAAAAAATATTAAATTGATCCGATTGAATTTTGTTGTTCTTTGGCTTAAAAATAATGAACTAACTTCTTCCAGTCTTTTCTAAGACATATTGTATGGGCAAGACTCTTGAAAACACCATTGATGTGTAAAATAAAGTAAAAATCTGTTCTTCATAACCCTTTGTGACCAGACCGCCATGTCCTATCCAGAGTTCAAGGTCCTCCTAGGGTGCGTCCACCACACCCCTCTCACCAACCTGGACCCCTCCCTCAAGCCCCTCCTCACCAACAGCCCGAGCTGGTACACGGAGCTGTTCCGCGCCCTGAGGGCCAGTCGTTACCCCATCATCACCCGGTACGTCACCAGTGAGGATGGCAGGGTCAAGCATCTGGTGCTCCTCCTGGCAGACTCTTGTAACCAGGTGGTTCTTTTCACCATCGACGAGAACACAGCGGTGAGAATCTTCTCTTGTCGTAACAATGAATCAAAAATGAAGATGAGTTCTGGTTGTTGGATTGCATTGTGAAAGAAACTGTGGAATCGATTGGAAAGGGTTGATCATGTAGCATATGATTATAAGTATTGTTGTATACTGTGAGGTTTTTGAATCATCAAAATGATCAGAAGTTGGCCCAGTCTTCCCCCAAAAAACAACCATGCCCTGTACATATCCATAGTATAGTCTTATAAACACAGAAATGTGTATATAGGACTACACAAACATGTGGCATGAAAGTGTGCTCCATACTCTTCTTTGATACTCTTCCACACTATAAACAAAAAGGAATGAAATAGCTCACAAATAAATCCTTGTCTTTTCCCGAACTTAACAGTTTCTTTAATTATTTTTATTTGCATCATTGCATGCAAATTTATTTCTCTCAGTAATTGCAAGATGCTGTCAAATTAATCTGAAGCTTGTTTGTATTTGTGAATTAGGATGATTTGGATGAAACTTGTAAAACCTGTATTCAGTTGGCATTTCCTTGACAAGGCAACGAGTCATTCTTCCATACCAGTACTCATTTGATGTTCTCTTGCTCGTTATTTGGCTTTCTTTTCTCTGTCTCTTTTCATTCTACTACTATTATCTTTTTCTCTCAACATATTTTCTGCCATCTGTTTCTGCCTCCCTGTCTCTCTTTCACTCTCTGTTCCCTCTCTTACTTTCTCCTCGTTTTACTTCCTTCTTTGTACCTTTTCACTTTTGTTTTCTCTGTATATATTTCATTAGGAGTTGGAGATGATCAGCAAGGAACGTCCCGCCATGGTACCCGACAGTGACGGCAACATGACGATCATCTTGGACATTGAGATTCAGAAGTGCATTGAGAACATCATCAACGCCATTGGCTTTCATCTGTGGACAACAGTCTTCTGAGTGAGTTGATGATGGTGATGGCAACATGACGATCATCTTGGACATTGAGAACATTATCAACGCCATTGGCTTTCATCTTTGGATAATGGTCTTCTGAGGAGCAAGTTGTACCAGATGATGATGGCCACTTGACGATCATCTTGGACATTGAGACTCAGAAGTACATTGAGAACATCATCAATGCCATTGGCATCAGTTTCATCTTTGGACAACAGTCTTCTGAGTGAGTCTGTTCTTGGGCATTGAGTGTCAGAAGCATATAGAGGACATTATCAATGGCAACAGGACGATAATCTTGGACATTGAGAACATCATCAATGCCATTGGCTTTAGTTTCATCTTTGGACAACAGTCTTCTGAGTGAGTCGGTTCTTGGGCATTGAGCGTCAGAAGCATAATAGAGGCTATTATCAGCAACATCCGTCGCTGGAAGAGACCTTGTCCATCATCCGTGGACAACTTCCTTCTGAGCTGGATGGATGCTGAACACCAAGGCTTTGAAGCATACAGAGAATGTCATCGGTGGGTTCAACCTCTGGACAAAAGAGTTAGGTGGCAATAGGACAATCATCCTCTCTGCCGAGACTCGGAAACTACCAAAGAACATCTTCACTGTCTTGTGAGGTATTGTCAGATTGCTACACGACAATCACCTTTGGACAAAGAGTCTCAGGAGCTCAGAGAGCATCGTCAGTGCAATATTTTGTTTTCTTCTCTGGATAAAATTCTTCTGAGTAAGTCAAGAGGCCTGATACTGGGTCCAGAGGCATAAAGAGGGTGTAACCAAGACCCTGTTCTGTTTCATGTGGTAATGCATTTCTAATGCTCCTATCAAGGACTTTCAGTATATCCTTGCACATTAACAAATAGTCGTAGCCAGGGCGCATTGGTGTATTAAAGGGCAGTTATTTTCTTGCCAAAGGGAAGCAAGGGCCTAGCCCGACAAATTATTGAATTTGATCAAGCCTATGAGAACATTTGCCTCTAAGGTTCCTTTTCTTCCCTCTTTATTGTGGCATAGATTTTTATGCCTCCGCCACCGAAGGTGGTGCCGGAGGCATCATGTTTTCGGGTTGTCCGTCCGTACGTCCGTACGTCCGTACGTCCGTACGTCCGTCCGTACGTCCGTACGTCCGTCCCGTTTGACCGTTATCACAATATCTCAAGAACCATTTAAGATTTAAACTTAAGACTCGGGAATAGTATTTATCACCATAGGAAGACGATCTGATTAGATTTTGGAGTACGTAGGTCAAAGGTCGCAGGTCACAGAGGTCAACTTATGAAATTCCTTGTATTGAGTTTGTTAGCGCGATATCTCAAGAACCATTCGAGATTTAAACTTCAAACTTAAGGATAGTATGTATCACCATAGGAAGACGATCTGATTAGATTTTGGAGCACGTATGTCAAAGGTCAAGGGTCACAGAGGTCAACTTATGAAATTCCATACATTGAGATTGTTATCATGATATCTCAAGAACCACTGGAGATTTAAACTTCAAACTTAGTGATAGTGTGTATCACTATAGGAAAACAATCTGATTACATTTTGGAGCACGTAGGTCAAAGGTCATGGGTCATAGAGGTCAACTTATGAAATTCCATACATTGAGATTGTTATCATGATATCTCAAGAACCACTGGAGATGTAAAAACTTCAAACTTAAGGATAGTATGTATCACCATAGGAAGACGATCTGATTAGATTTTGGAGCACGTAGGTCAAAGGTCAAGGGTCACAGAGGTCAACTTATGAAATTCCATACATTGAGATTGTTATCATAATATCTCAAGAACCACTGGAGATTTAAACTTCAAACTTAATGATAGTGTGTATCACCATAGGAAGACAATCTGATTAGATTTTGGAGCACGTAGGTCAAAGGTCAAGGGTCACAGAGGTCAACTTATGAAATTCCATACATTGAGATCGTTATCGCGATATCTCAAGAACCACTGGAGAATTTTCACTTCAAACTTAATGATAGTATGTATCACCATATCATAATATCTCAAGAACCACTGGAGATTTAAACTTCAAACTTAATGATAGTGTGTATCACCATAGGAAGACAATCTGATTAGATTTTGGAGCACGTAGGTCAAAGGTCAAGGGTCACAGAGGTCAACTTATGAAATTCCATACATTGAGATTGTTATCATGATATCTCAAGAACCACTGGAGATTTAAACTCCAAACTTGTTTAAATTGCTCTATGGCGGAGGCATCATTTTTGACTGCGCGCAGTCAAAATTCCATCTAGTTCTTTCTTGTTGAAGGAATTTAATTTGCAGTTACTGATAAGAAAAGGCATTGAAATTATACAGCATTAAAATGTTGATGATAATATAAGCTAGATATATTGTTCCCATATCTATCCCTGAGGATGCTCAAGGCGAAGTGGTCGGTGATGCTTTGACTGATAAATATATTTTATTTCTTGCCTATTTGCTTGAACATCTCTAGTAGCCATTTTTTAAACTTCTGAATTGGCAAATAGGTAGATCATTCTATTGATTAAATCTAGAATTACCAAAATATTAAGATCTGCAGGTCTTTCAGATCTTCGCGATGAAATTTTTATTTTTTGTAATTGAAAAAAATTCTGTTTTGTATCAATGATACATGTATGTTGTTTTATATTGTAAGTACTGTATATTTGTTGCAATAAGTCTAAGCGATGAAATGATTGAAATCGGTTATTAAGTTTGTGTGTGAAAACTGCCAGATGAGACGTTAAAATTTGAGTACTGTGTGTATATTGATGATACCATTTTGCCATATTTCATGTCTTCCTGTACTTCTTCAAAGAAGGTTTTCGGATTTTTTTGTTGTAATGCCTCCGCCAACAAAGTTGGGACTGAGGAATTATGTTTTCAGCTTGTCCGCCTTGGCTTTTTGTTACCCCGATAACAAAACAGATTTTAATCAAACTTAGATCAAGTACATGTATGTACAGTGTATGAGCATGCAAGGATGAACTCAAAGGTTTTGATTTTAAGAGGTCAAAAGTCAGGACCATTAAAATGTTGATGTATACCAGATATAGTGTCACAATAAATTGTATAAACAAAGTAATTGAAATCAAACTTGGCTGAAGTGTGTATAAACATTAAAAGGCGAATTCATTGATCGACTCTTGGGGCGAGATGTACCGGTATTGTTACTGTGATAACGTAAAATTAAAACCATTGAAGTAATTTTAACAAAACAGGTCATGAAATCATTAAGAATTCCAGAAAATATCATATCACTATGATGACTGTGCAAGAGTAAAAAGATTAAATGAAAAGAGGTCAGATGTTAAAGGTCACAACAATTGTTGTACGTGGCGGCGTAAAGGAATGTTTAAGAGCTGTCTTGGCTGTCCATACTTTTGTTACCATGACAACTAAAGAACCATCGAACAGATTCTAACCGAACCTGCATGAAAGTAGGTCCACGAGGGCTTAGACGTGTAACAGCGACAGGTGTGAATTATTGTTGTACAGGCTTGATAATCATAAAGTTCATTATGCATTCTCAACCTAAATTATTAATAAATTAAGTCATAAAATGTGTTTAAAAGTGCTTCAAAATGCGGCTCAGATTGCACCAGAGTGGATCTTAGAGCCGTTCGCATACATCAGTTCATACTTCTTCCATGCTCCAATTTTACATGTTTGAATTTTAGTTTGAGGACCGACCAGGGGGGTGTTTCACAAAGATATCTCTTGAAGTTATCTCTAAGTTGTACTGAACAATTATGGAAAGCTGTTAGCATCTTTGAAAATATTTTGTAAACGTTATTTTAAGAGGCATAAAATGTTGATTCAAATCATTCATATTTTGTATTATCAAGGAGATTTCATGTTCTTGATGTGGAATATATGAAAAGTCTAAAATGATTGAATTTTTGCTTTTGAATATATTTTATCATAAGGCTACAAATGGCTCTCCATAATGTGCAAGTCTAACTTAGAGATAAGTTTGACTGAGGATCTTTGTGAAACACCCCCCTTATATACGACCATACATGAGGTTAAGGTCAAATATCTCATGACTGCAATAAACTGGAAGATCATTGAAGCAACTTGGGTAGTTTAGCACATTGCAGTGACACAAAAAGACGCGTCCAGAACGCAAAATGCATAATTGTTGGAAATCATCAATTTTATCACATAGAGGTAAAAGCACATCGTTAGGATATGGAGCTAGTAAATACATGGATGATTAGGCTTACTGTTAACCTAAATTTCATTCAGATATGTCACAAACAGGAATTTTTTTAATTCACAAATATCACCAACTATTTTGCCTTTTGCATTGTAGACAGGTTCTTTTCATGTCACTACATTTCACTATTAAGGCTACCTTAGATTTAATTTGCCTGGTATATTTTAGGGGTGAGATATGAAAGGATTTATATCATGAGAGAGATGTAGTTGTGTATTAAATATCCCATACTGCATTATTTAAGTTGGTTTAAGTATAAGAAAACTTCCTTTTTTTAATTAGATTTTGCTCAAATTTTCACAGTTCTGCTATTTTCTGCTTCTTTTAAAGTTAATATCAGGCTGGATTTGCATTTTATGTTCCCTCAATGCACTCTGTTACTTGTATTTAACTTTAGAAATGAACCTATTCATATATTTGATATGAATAGATTGTGGTTTATACATTATGAACAAGCTTCTGATTATATAGGACAATTGGGGAAACCATTTCCGAAGCATATTTTTTTAACTGAAAGTGTTTTTTGCTATATTGAAAATTATTGGAAATGATGAAATAAAATGAAATATATTCTGAACTGATTTTTGTTACGATGTTAACTGTTACAGTAAAATTGTATGTTTACGCATATCATTTGCATAATGTTCAAAGAAAATCACAAGTATGGCCAAAAATGCATCACTACCAGGGGGGTATTTCACAAATATTCTTAAGTCGAACTTATCTCTAAGTTGGACTTGAATATTATGGAGAGCCATTTGTAGCCTTATGATGAAATTCATTCAAAACAAAATTCAAAATTCAAATATTTTAGACTTTTCATAAATTCCACATCAAGAACATGAAATCTCCCAAGTCCAACTTAGAGATAAGTTCAACTTAGGATCTTTGTGAAACACCCCCCAGGAAGCTTACAGATGACAATCATACAAATTTTAGGTCAAATGAACACAAATAATAGCACCTCTTGGGATCTGGGTATATGTACATGTATAAAGCTTGTCGCCAGAAAAATTTAGCGATGTTTTGATGACGTCACAAGGACCAATCCTGCATGACCAGACTACATCCTGTCATCCTACAAACGAATAAACATATTTTCAGTGCAATTATTTTCAATATAATAAAGAGTCTATTGATTTTAAACGAACTTATTTCACACCATTTTAAAAGGGAAGTGATGCTGAATGACAAGCCATGGTATAGTGAAAACATAAAACCATGTCCAAAATTTAGAACGAGGCAGCAGATCAAACAGTGAGAATGATGCTGGTGAAGTTAGAGAAATAAGATGATGAAACAGGCACTGAAAATGTGTGCATTGTTATGGGACATTGTCTGCTTAAGCTTACTTGGTCCCTTACATGACATCACAAACCTCGGCAGTGTTTCTGAGAGCTCTTCAAGTGCAAAAGTGGGGCTGTACGTTATAGAACCAACAGCGCAGCTAGGGAAGCAGCGAGTTACGGGACCAGATGGGATTTTGTGGAAGTGATTCTAGAACAGTGTGGCTTTAAATCTTTTCTAAATAAAAACACCGGTACAACAAGTATATCTTATTTCTCTGTGACAATATATATTTTGTGAGAACTCACATTTGATACAGTAACCAAGCAGGATATAAATTTAATGCAAACAACAAAAAAACAAACATTGTACAGGAAAGAATTTTCATCACATCACATCAAAACACAAATTTTCACGACTACAATGGAATACAAACAGATAATGGTTTTTCTATACAATCCCTTCTTCTAATTACAGGTGATTTGTTTCAAATTGCAATCACTGGGATTACAAGATAAATTTTGTTTACGATAATATAATTTGATATAAAACATTCTTTTGAGTAATTTAATTCAATTGGCAATCATTGTGATAGGTCATTTATTAATGTTATGTATGTTCTTGGCTTTTTTTCAAAGAAACACATCATTACAATAAAGTTTTAAGATTCAAAGACAATTTTTTAATAGAAATTCATTGCATGTAAGAGAGTTACTGGCAAGCGTCCTTGGGTATTTTTGTGTTTGTGACTTTCATAATAAATTCATATCATTAAAAAAGAAAATATTGGATTTCACAGCTCTCATAACCCTTCATCATCAAAGAAAGGGTTTAGTGAGAGAGGAAAAACACCTTGATACCATGCATATACATGTACATGTCAAAGCATGGAACTTTAGTCATTAAATTGACATAATTATGATTTCCAACGAAAAAAGAAAAAAGAATGGCATTTAGTCTCAACGGCACTCTATACATGTATATGAATGAAATGAGAAATTACAATTGGCAATCTCAAGCTATATAAGTCTTCAATGCATGTAACATCATTCATTTGAAAAAGAAGAGGGGATTCTTCAATTTCATTTACATTTGCAGTGATTTTTCTACAGTGGAATTACACGTTTGTACATATTTGTGCAGCCATGCAAATACTGTTTTTCTACAAGTAGCACAGTGTACAAAAATATACAAGTATTTCTTGAGATTTTGAACGCATCATTAAGAATTCAATGATGGCTGAAACTGACATGTACTTCACACTTATCGTATAACAACTGTACGAATGCACACATTTGAAATTAAACACATCAGATACATGTACATCTGTCAAACATCTCTATTTCTATTAACTTCAGAAAGAAAATTATCAAAACCAGATCGCTTTTTATACATCAAACACAAATACAATGTTCACTTTTTAACATATTACAGAAGCAACATGCACATGATATATCCATAATCTTTTCAGCAACCAAAAGGTTGAAATAATAATTTTAAAATTAAATATTTAGAAAATATTGTTTCAATATTCCATACAATCTAACATGATTCAAAATCAATCTTGCAAATCTGTCTCCTTATATTATCATATATCTCATTCATGATAATATATACCTTTTGATACAAGTACATACAGTATAGACTAAATTACAAACATTGGCATATCTACAAAAGTATTATACAGATATTTCTTTGGAAAATATACAATTGTAGCATTACAAGATATTTATTTACAAATATGAATCAAATGTTAGATTTGAAACCCCCAAAATACATTTCCTACTGGACCTTATTTAGAAACCATCCCATCTTGCATTCAATAGGATAATAAAACATTTCAACTATGCAGATTAAATATTTTGTTCAAGGAAATCCCACAAATGTCCCATTTTTGTCCACTATCCATGGACTTCAGTCTCATTTGTGTACATAAATTCGGTATCACAGGAGTTTAGGCTCGGGGCCCATGTAAATTTGATTAATGCTAGTCTTTCTTCATAGCACTTCTACATGTAGAATAGAATGCCAGTGTGTTGACATCATTCATATATAACGTAGTTTATAACGTTGTTTTGTCCGTTGAGAGCCAGAAGACCACATTTCTATGCAAACAAAAAAAATAAAGCATACCTTAAAAATAACTTAAAGGTAAAGACCAGTATTGGAAACGCTCCAATTTCAAAAAATGAAATGGAAGCTCTCATTACCAATCATGTGGAAGAATATGTTTTGACTAATACATGATGATAAAAAATTTGCCGGGAAACCGCCTACTAATTTATATATTTGGTAAATTTGTTTCTCTCATGGTCTGTGAGAGATATAGGGTAGTCCCATATACATCTTTCTGTGTATAGTGCTTGTAACTTTACGAAAAATGGGCCAAATTTCTTATCATTTTTAAGATTCCAGAACCTTGCAGATGCTAGATGCTAGATGATCAACCTTTTCTGATCGATTCCACAACGTTTCTTTCACAATGCAATCGCATGACCATAACTGGTCTTTACCTTTAAAAATATGCCATACATGTAACGCCTTCTGGCTCTCAACAAACTACTCTCTTTTTTTTTCTAGCTTTGGAAAATATACACATCAAAAGTCTTAGAGCCAGAAAGACAATGAAGTCATTTCAAACTTACACCTTTCTGTCTGTGGATGAGTTACGCAATCGATTAGCCACAGAGATGCATTTCAGCTTGAAAAAAAAAGGTTTCACATCTAAAGAGTTTACATCATGGCATGATTTTTAATAATAAAACTTACAACGTGAAGATACATGCATATATCACAGTATATGTACAGTATCTGTTGCCTTTTGTTTTAAAGCTCTTTGAGATTTTTTTGATTTTTTTATTTGAAATACTGCTCAATAAAACTTGTTGGCATTTAACTCAAAGAAATATATACCCAGAAACAAGCAAGATAAACAACAACATTCTTTGATCAAACTGTACAGCTGCAGGTGCTGAGTGATCTTTCTGTCCTTTCTGTACAAACGGACGCACACCAATACTGATGATGATACAATACAACAGTTACAGAGGATGACATGAGCACACTGCATGCTCCGGTAGAGAAATAATTTGGTCCTGAGTTTCGATGAATCGGGATTGAGATGTCGGAAAATGAAATATACTGCAGCAGTTCTAGCTCTATGATGGGTGCACTGAGGAAGCACATGCTAAACAGGTTTGACGGTTTGGACTTATGGAAGAGAAATGTCGGCGGAAATTAAGTCACAGAGCAGCTGCTGCAACATCGCTCAATGCGCTATGATATCATGCAATCAATGTGAAGCAGGCGATAATGTTCTCTTTTAGCAGCACATTAAGGAGACGTCAGACGCTATCTCCTGCAGGCCTCTGTCGATACATAACTCAATATTCATCTCCTGCGGGGAGTGCCTCTATCAGTCCCACGCATTCATTTCTCTGTCAGCTCTGCTCCATGTGCATGGTGAGACTCTTAATGCGCGATTAGCGTATACTGTACATGGGGGGAAGGGCGCACGCCTACCCCACATCGCCACCACCAACTCCTTTATCTTGTCATTGCATCTATCCTCAGTCCCACCTGTATTATAATAATGTCTTCTTCTTTTTTTTTTAAAGGACAGCTAATGCCTCTCACAAGCGGGTGGAGCACACATTTGAAGTGATATAGCACGAATAGCCCCCTCGTGTAGCGTTACTGTTACAGTGACATAACGATGCGCAGAATAATTCACTTCCACTTGTGTTCCCAATGCCCAGCGAGGGCCAGCTTCTTCTTGTTCGTATGGGGAGCGTAATTCAGATCCTGCGTAGATACAACACGGAAGAAAAGAAAGAAGTACAAAATTAAGAACTATTCATATCTTCATGGATGAAAAGATAACAAATAATGATATACTTTAAATGAATGATATCAGTGTATATTAATCTGAGCTTGCACTGAGCTTTGATTCTTTGAACAATGGAATTGACATTGAACAAAAATTAAAAAAATAAATGGATAAATAAATCTGTCAGTAATTCTGCTAAACCTATAAAAAAAAGGATGTATTTACAAATTTTGGTTGCATTAGAAGTATTTTTTGCAGCAACAATAAATTTCTTTTTTTAAATCTCCTCTCACAAGGTGGCACTTACTATAACGAGTCATAGCATATTAAGAGGAATAGTTGTGACACACGCACTCATGTCAAATCATGGAGTTCCGAATAGTTCACTCGCATATAGATATTGTATGTCTTTTACGCATGTGACAACTATCTCCCTCAATACACTATTCATAAAAAGTATCATTAAATTGATGAAGATAAACTGCCAGTTGAGGTTTGCAATGGTAATACTGATTGCAGTACAACATAAAATGTATCTGGATCACAATGTATTAATACACAATAATAGCAAATTGAATGTTATGTAATGATTGACAACACTATACATTTATGAATAAATAAATAAATAAATTGAAAAAAATAAACAGTATTATGGCATGCATCACAAACAGACAACTTTATCATATGACACATTTTATTGTATACAATTGGATTTATATCCTTAATTTGACTATTTTTTTCATGCATCTAGTAAACAGTGGGACAATTTTCATAGGCTTGCGGGTGCACCATGTGAGAGAGAGGGAGGATTGAGGAGTCCTGAAAAGGACTCTCTGTAATCTTTCTTGAGGGTGTGTAGTCCTGGAAAGGACTGTTGGTGTAGTCTTGAAAAAGACTGTTGGTTATCATTCTTAGATTATAGTTCTAAGGAGAACTATAGCGCTTGGAGAGGATGGGTGGTGGGAGTGGCTCGACGTTTCATATTGTAATGATTGTTTAAAAGCATGACCGCAGCTTCATGTAGTTTATCAAATTGATGAGTTTACTATCTTCAGGCAGTTGGTTCACAATTCCTGTTGAACAGTCTAAACAGTATAAAATCTAAAGATAAAAATCTGTTCCATTGCGTAATGCATATATTCATTCATTATTTAAGGTTACCATATATTTATTCATTATTTAAGGTTACTGAACAACCCCCACTTTACAGTTATAAGGAAAAATAAAACATGAATATACACAGAATGGCATGCATGTATAGGCGGCAACATCGAAACACAGTATCGCACAAGTTGAAACAAAAAGGCAAATAAAAGAGATTCTTGGGAGGGATACAAAGACTTATCAATGGCGACAAATAATGAATTATTTCTGCATGCAGACCACAACAAAAAGGAAAGGTAGAAATAATAAACACATATACCGTTACACCGATGTTCATCAAATGTCTGGTGAGTGTACCGTGTAGATGTATATGGATGTATTGATATGTTAAATACATGAAATATAATGTAATTTCTTCACTTTGGAAAGAACAAGATCAATATTCATTTCAAACATTTTTATTTCTATTCGATCCTGATGGTTCGAACCAATACTGGTAATCATTTGGAAACTGAGAGAAAATCTATCCCATTAATACTTAGAATTCTGAAGTTAAAATCTATCCACAACTCAATTCTTACCACTTCGCCTTTGCATTTGAAAACGGACCTCTATTCAATAGATATTTATAAATCTGGAGATAAATGCACAGCTTGCGCAATGTAAAATGGATAGAATGTCCTCAATGACATCACAAATAAATATTCTAGTGAAAATGTATGCTTTATATGCATACAGATACATGTAGGTTCCCCCTTTTATAATAATTTATGTCCAGTTAAAAATGTTCAAATTTTCAGGAATTGTTATGACAAATCATGTTAAGATGTTGGATGAGGTGAATGTTAATATTGTCACATATAAAGCTACGTGTACATGAATGGCACAATGATCGTCCCCCACGGACCTACAACACAGTCACTAGAATTCTCACTATACTGTATCTTCCTCCTTTGAAGCCAAGATGGCAGCCATTTTGAATAACTGATATATCATCAACAAAAATTGTCACGTGTATGACATGAGTGTGTTATAAACAGAAATAGGATGTGCGCAAAGTGAAATTCAGATATGGTTTGCAAATTTGATCTTTTTTAGGATGATATTGACTTGCGTAAATATTTGCAATTAACATGTATTATTCCAAATGGCTGCCTCAAAGGCAGTTCTCATCACTACTTTAAAAAATACAAATGAGCCTTCTAGTCATGCTATATATCTGTGGGTTACGTGAGCACGATTGATGTACGTGCCTTGGTCCTTGCTTGGAACTAATGCTGTTCATTGTAAAATCCTTCATCTGTTTGCTTTACTGCAGGGATAAAAGAATGTGCATAATACTTTCAAAGGTCATGTCCAAGTTATCGTGGAACGTAATTCTTCATGCAGCTAGAAAAAACAAACTTGAAATATATGGTGTCCCTCAGGGATGTTTCTAATCACTTTAGGTACCATCATATTCTTTATTTTCAAAGGTGTGTGTATATCCTGGACGTTCTTGTACAAAAAGTTGCATTTACACACAATTAAAATAAATACAAATGCTAGTCCAAAACATGCGATCTTGATTGATTGAAGATCTAATTGCATGGAATGTATTTAAAAGTTGCATTTAATCGCAAGTGTTTATGCAAGAAGCCCCAGATACGTGTATGTCACTTGAAACTGTACCTGTCCTAGAATGGATCTTAGGGTATAAAACGTAGAGTTGTGCAATCCAGTCCAAGACCACAAATCTAATTCTTGACAAAATGTATCACTATTGAGCCAATGTTTAATGCAATGACTTTGATGATTTTACTTCTACTAAATGTATTTTAGGATTTTGCTGCTAAATGGTTTTTCCCAGAGTGCAAATGCAATTCTTATGTAATGCATGAATTTATTTAAAAAAATATAATGAACAAAAAAGAAATACACCAGTCAGCTATCTGAATTCATCACAAAAAGTAAATTTTAAGTCCTTCTACAAAATGTAGTTCATGCCATAGCTGACGTAGCCTCGACTTCTACATTAGCAAGATCAGCTGATAACTCAACTATTCATACCGGCCATTACCAAGTTTTGTGATTTTTCAAGAATGTAAAGAATGGATTTGTCCCAAATTTATGTTTCTTATGAATGTTACATATTAAAGCTTGCATCTAAAAGTATTCAACCAGTCCACCTTTCATTCTTGGGTTACGAAGGGAGGGGGGGCATCAAATTTACATGGGGGGGGGGGAATAATTAAGTTGTTAACTGTACATGTCAATCAAGAGACCCATTATGGGATGTCGGTGTCCATTCTGATAGAGAAAAGCCTATTCCCTTTTGGGTCTTCAAGCAAAATACTTGTCAATGATAGGCCGACAGATTTTCTTTGCAAGCCTCCAGCCAAATGACTCAGACCAAAGCATCTGTTTTTAAACTCTCTAATTTATTCCAGATCAAAACCCCAGACTGCCACTTTATTTGAGTATATGTATGCAATATGTGTGTTGTAACAATAGTTGACTGTGACAATCCGCTGTTTGTTCCACTCGTCAACTAAGGATAGCAGAGAGTTAAAGATGCACCCACCTTATAAACCTGCTTGGCTGAGGAACCTGATACTGATGTTGAAGTTTTCCTGGGCGACGAATTGGGCGAAGAGGTGGTCGATGACGCGGGGGAGGAGTCGGGCTGGGCCTCGTCGCCGACGGACTTGGAAGTGCTCATCTTCCGGGTTTTTTGCTCTTTGCGGAACGCCTCCTCCTTCTCACGCTGAGCTGCAATCTCCAGCTCCATCAACGAGCGTCTTGGTTTCTTCTCTAGTTTTACTGCAAGGGGAGGGGGAGGGGGGATCAATTTGACAAAAAAAGCATTTTAACCCAATGACTACTTGAACAACATGGCTCTTGCATAAAAGCCTAAGGGTATGAGAGAATAACAGTTGATGGATTAACAATGTACAGACGTAAAGCTGGAAAAGATTCAATTTGAAAGTCATCTAGGACTTGAGACTATAATTGTGTTCATCGTACATCTACAAGACAAGAAGGTCAATCAAGTCATTCTTTTTAAACAGACGTGGTTGTAAAAAGAATAACATCAATAATATTACTGGATACTTGTATAGCACTCATGTCCAACAAGAAAGATACTCAGGGAGCTCTAATATTTACCTTGACTGGTTTTGGTGCTCAAAGAAATGTAATATATTTTGTTTAAAGTAAGATCATCGTAACTTTAAACTTTATTTACATGAACATGTGCTTGAAGGAGTAAAAGGCCTTTTTTGTTCTGACTCAATATGCAGAGTAATGACTTGAACTGACATGTAAGCATGTAGTATTCCTAAAAGTTGAAAATTTGTGGAATAAACTTTGGAAAGATAAACAAAATACTGACAAATATATTTTAAAAATGGGACTCCCCAATTTTCAGATATGAACAGATTATGATATGGATCAACCTGAGGATTCTAGAAAATTCAAGAGCCTGAAAATATCAAACTGTTGAAAAGCCGACTTATCCACATTTATGAGATCAGAATTGACCAAAAGATGATCATATAAGGAATAAATGATCATATAAGGAATAAATGATCATATAAGGAATAAATGATCATATAAGGAATAAATGATCATATAAGGAATAAATGATCATATAAGGAATAAATGATCATATAAGGAATAAATGATCATATAAGGAATAAATGATCATATAAGGAAGAAATGATCATATAAGGAAGAAATGATCATATAAGGAAGAAATGATCATATAAGGAAAAAATGATCATGTAAGAAATAAATGATCATGTGAGGAATAAATGATCATGTAAGGAATAAATGATCATATAAGGAAAAATTATCATATAAGGATAAAAATGATCATATAAGAAATAAATGATCATATAAGGAAAAAATGATCATGTAAGGAATAAATGATTATATAAGGAATAGATGATCATATAAGGAAGAAATGATCAGAATTGACAAAAAATGATCATATAAGGAAAAGATGATCATGTAAGGAATAAATGATCATATAAGGAATAAAGGTTCATATAAGGAATAAATAAGCAGAAAATAAAAACTAACCAATCTTCTTCTTCTCCAGATTCTGTGAGAGTTTGATTCCCTGCTGGACGATGCTGGCCTTCCTGGGTTTGTCTCCCGTCGGTGAGGTCGTCTTGTTACCGTCCACCATGATCACATCAGGGACGTCTCCTACGCTGTTTGTCGGCGAGACACCTGAAGACTCGGCCTGTTGAATGATGTTAAAGGCATCGTTAATATCTTGATAATTAGACAGGCGATCAGCTTGTAAAAGTCATGGGGTTCCTGACTGATTTAAAATTAGCTTTGCAGCATGAGCTAAATCCAGGGTTTGTTATAGAATCTGAGACAAAGTTACCGGATCCCTTTAAGTACATTGCACTTGAGAAAAGACAACTTCACTTCACAATGCCAAAGTTTTATACTATAAAGCTATGACACTAAATGGTCACAAACTGTTCATGTTGTCTTTGTTCATTGCAAGAGATTTTCCCGAATGGCAAAAATCATCATGAAGCTGTGATTAATTCACCTTGCAAATCTGGACCACTTTACAATATTTTGTGTATTCATGAACCTCGTCCCGTCATCTACATCTATCTGTAAATTAAACAACAAGCTCTGATAAATGTAAAAACATTGCTCCCTGGTAATTTATCAAGTAACTTGTGTTTTTACGATTCTTTTTTTGCACCCAAAAAGCTCCCTTGACAGCCGACCAGGGTAGCCTTTTCAAGTCATGTTCATTCACAAACATTTATGTTCCCTGCTTTTTAAGTCATGTTCATTCACAAACATTTATGTTCCCTGCTTTTTAAGTCATGTTCATTCACAAACATTTATGTTCCCTGCTTTTTAAGGAATGTAAATATATTGTACAAAAAGTGAAATATATTCAAAGAAAGCCCCATTTTCAAAGAAAATAAAAATTGATTTCACTATAGCTCAAAATAGCAGCAAGGCATGCAAGTGGAAAGGAGATGGGGGAAGTGTGGTTGGATATGGGAGTAGGATGAAATGCATAGGGATAGTGTTGCCTAGTTTTGCGGCAGGGTAGGAGAGAAATTGAGGATTCAGTTTTCATTTCCCGTTCCCACTTGTGATACGATCCCAAGCTTGAGAGGCCCTTCATCTGGCCACCTGTCGGTAAGCAGCTTTATTAATAGCAAGATAAAATAGATTCATGACACAACATGCTCTTGCTACAATTGCTTTGTGGTCTGTTTAATAATTCTTTAAGCTACCTAAATTCCTTACTTTTAACCCTGAACTCAACTCTGTAAAGGCTGCTAACAGTAACCCATTGATGATTAAGTATACATTATGATAGCAAAACCATTACCCTTGCATTGTTAAAGGAAGTATGGAAACTTTAAAATAAACTAACAATATATTTTGTTTGCCCACATATTTGTGGAAAAATCGATCGGCACCACCAGTTTTGATCATGCAGAATTTCTGAAAACTTTTGAAAAAAGAAAGAAGAAAAATTACAAAGGGAACCTCAAAGAGAAAGGTGACTAAGATAGATAAGATAAGGGAAAGACTTTTGGATTGAGAAATAAAAACAAAGAATAATCAACCAGAAAGAAAATGTAATTATGTTCTCACCTCACTTTTCGTTGGAAATATACTTTTTAATTTGACATTCTTCCATTCTGGTATGTTTGTGAGTGGCTAATCGGGTCAATGGATGTAATACATACAATACAAGCATGAAAAATTAACAACAGAGTGCAGAGTACAAGTGTATGTTTGTTAGTGATTAATGACAATGTGATTGTTTTGAAAATCCCATTTATATCATTACATTTATGCTGAAAAGTATCAAGGGATAAACAATGCTAACAAATTGAACACTCAAATGAAAACATGCAGCATATATGAACATCAATATTTTTCACAGGCATGGATAAAGGACATTATGTACCAGTATATAGAGAAATACAGGCAAGAAACACAAATTACAAAGACAGGAGATTGTACTGTACCTGTTTGTCATAGTTTTCCATTCTTCTTGGGAAGGTAGCGCTTTTGGAGAACTTCCCATCAGCCTTGGATCCCTTGAGTGCCTTCTGGTACTCCTTGTAGTTGATCGAGCTGGCCTCTGGGTCAGTGGGTGACAGCGACATCTTCAGCTCGGGTGTCTTTCCCAAGGACTTTCCAGTCTTGACCTTCAGGATGTCATCCCCAGCGGGGGTCGACGGTGTGGAACGACCCGACGTATACCCACTGCTCTGACTTGGTGACGATCTCCCATCGTCCGAGTCTCTTCTCAGCTCGGTATCGCGGACAATGTCCACAAGCTGGTCATCCTGACTCTCTGACGTCTCCGACTGCTGACTCTCATCTCTTGAGGAGGTGGATTCCGATCGCAGACGATCCCTTTCTTTTGAAATCTCCAGGGTACGTTCTTTCTGTAGGCGAATGTCCCTCTCGATCAAACTTTCCCTCTTGGTAGAACCATCATCGGATGTTCCATCGTAGGAGTAAGTTGTGCTGCCTTCAATGCTGTCATCTAGGTTGTCTAGGCCATCAACAGACTTGTTGATACCCTTTGAGTGGGATGGTCTAGCCCTCTCTCCTTGGGACACTGGCCGACTCTTGGTCTGTAGGGAACGTCTGCGTTGCTCTACTTCAGCAGCCTTCTGCTCCCAGAGAGAGCGAACAGATTTCATGTTCAGCTTGGGCGCTACTATTTCTGAATCTGGATGGGCATGACTAGAGATCTTTCCTCCCGACTGGACAACATCTGGCATTTTGGGTCCACTCTGCGATGACTGGCTTCCTTCAGATTCAGCCTCTGACGTAGAGTCCTCACGAGCTCTGTACTTTCCTGAAAAAGTATCAAATCTATTCTTCTTTCGTTCCTCATATCTCTTTAAGCTGGCAGCCTGCGACTGATCAAGGACAACGGAAGACTTGTCCACTGACTTCTGGAACTCAACTTGGCCCTTCCATGTTTGTCTGGAGACCTTCCTTACTCGTGTTGATGCCAGGACATCGTCCTTCCCCATGCTCTTCTTTTTGGGCTCCTCCTCCTCTGGGTCTTTGGCAAACATGGATTCGATTTCTTCAGGAGTTGTGCCATCCAAGACGATAGGATCTTTTCCGACACCTTTGTGAGCATAGACAGGTGCCATGGGACCAGACTCTACCTTGGTCTCCTCCGATGGGACAACATAGTCATGATCTACCATGTCTATTGACGCAGTTGCTGCTTTCGGCGATGATGGTTTGGACAGTGTTTCAATAAGAGGAAGCTCAATGGTACCCAGTTCATTGATGACTGGACTGTCGTCCTTACTCAAATCTGGTCCAGCCACTGTAGGAAGCTCTTCTGCACCCTTGTTAAAGCTGGAGTAATCTCCAGATAGAGACATGGGTGATGTGGGTGACTTGCGTTGGTATGATGTGCTGATCTTTGGAAGGACACTCACCCTAGGTAGGGTATTGGACATGAAGGGCTTTGGACCTGAAGTGTTGGAGCCAAAGAAGCTTGGACGGGCTTGTGAGAGGTCTTTCCTGACATCCCTTGGTCTGGGAACAGACATCTTGCGTTGTCGACCCTCGCTCGACTCCATGCTCTTGGTGACATCGACCTCTGGTTTGCTCTCTACAGAAATATTGTAGTCGGGTGTTTTCCTGGGCTCTTCAGTCTTATCAAATGTTGCTGATGCCTCTACAGCAGGACTGTACTTAAAATCTGCACCTTGAGTGTCCTTAAAACTTGCAGCTGGACTGTCCGTATTATCTGTTGCTTGACTGTCTTTAACGACATCCTCCACTTCCGCTGCTACCTCCACTACACCCACAGGAACAGCAGTGTGGATTCCTACTTCTCTATCGTCACCATTATGATCTTTTGCAAGTCCATTGATGTCAGCATGTTCACTGGCCGGAGCTTTGATGCTGACTGAGTAGTCCTCTTTTTCAGCTGGCTCATCGACAACAACATCAACCTTCTCCGGCCCCATCTCCAGGGACAGAACATTGTCTGACTCAACTGTTGTCTCAGGGGCTTCGAATGCGGGCTCACTCACTTGAACCTCCACAACATTTTCAATTTGACTTTCACTTTCCTGCTCCTCCGCTTGGCTAGACACTTCATTCATTGAACTGATCAAGATCTTCTCGACGAATTTGGCCACTTCACCCTCGTCTATTTCTTCTTCCTGCCCTGCAGCAAGGGAAGAAGGGGCATCAATGTCTGTGGGTGGTGGGGTGGGAGCCGAGTCCTGCTTCTTCTTCTGCTCCTCCTCCACTACTTCCTCCCAGTTGAGGGAAATATCACTTTTCCTGGGCATATCAGGAAAGGGTAAATCCAGCTCAGACGTATCCGCCTCATTGTCCAAAGTCCCCTCAGGTTCCAAGGTGACCTCAGGATTTGACCTCTCTGCATCTACATCTGTGATTTTTATGACAGGTTCTTCTTCTCTTGCGTCTGCCGTAAATATAGGTTCATAATCGTGCTCCTCCTCCTCCTCCTCCTCCTCCTCCTCTTCAACGTGGAGGTCATCTCCAAAAATATCTTCCACTTCTTCTTTCGCTTTGCTCACCTTTTCATTTTCAATAACATTGGTGTCAATCACATGATTGTCGTTCTGAAAAATATCTTCCACCTCGGCAAATTCTTTCTTTGTAATTGCATCCTCTTCTTCCATCATCCGCTCGTTGTTCTCAAACTCATCGTCCGTCTGCGTGATCTCCGCGCTCCCGTTTACGTCGAAGATGTCGTCGTGCTCCGCGACGTCCAGGGTGTCGGTCCCGTTGGTGTATACTTCCGGCTCGGCAGCGGCTCCCTCCATGATTGCAGATGTGCTGGCGCCCTCTTGGTTGCTACCTGGCGATGCTGCTTTGTCCTCCTCAAATTTGGGGATGATTGGTAACTGGATACAAGGATTTAAAAAAGAAAGAAAATACTTGATTACATGATTCAATTTACTTTGTCATTATCGTGTTTAATGAGCAAAATAATCCATTAAAATCCTTGCATTTACAATTAGAAAATGTGCTGTCTATATATCAAGAATTAAAATACAATCATGGGACCATTCCTTTTTTTAGTGTCTTTCAATAAAAGAAACAAATCATAATGCATTCCGTTTTATCTCTGATAACATTTATGATCATTACTGACACTTATCTCACATGAAGACCGTTCCTGACCTTCTCCGACCTTCTATGACCTCAAAACTAGAGTATGCCACCAAGGAAGAAAGACCAGGCACAGGTTACCAAGACGATGCTAACAAACACAGGGCACATTTCATAGGAAACGGCATCCCCACGAGGAATGATTCATGATGAAACAAGATGCTAGGTATGTGACGAACTGCAACATACAAGGAACCATTACCAGGCCTGCCTCTATTTGCTCCCGTTTTCATAAGCCTAAGCTTTCAAAACAACCCACTGATTCCGATGCAGGTATATTGGCCAAAACACAAGTAGCTTCAGATACTTTTGAATTGTGAGAAGACACAAGTATTTCATGGTTGTACTTCGGATTTTAGCTCGAGCTATCATCCCAAGCAAACTAGGCCTTGTTCATGAAATAGGAAATTTGCTGGTGAAGACACAATTAAACTGTGACATGCTCTGCAGCTCAAGCTAATTCCTTGAGTGATTGCAAATCACTTGACTTGATTTAATGGAGACAGGGAACTTAAAACTCAGGCTATTATTTCAAGAAGCGCTGATGAGCTGTCTAATATCTAAAGCTCAAGCTTACTGGGCTAACGAGGAGGTACCAGCCATTGTGAAGTTCCTGTTAACTCATTCTTTTTAGAGTAAAATGTTAGCACTTCAAAAGCCCCTCCTTATTAAAGTAGAAGAAACTAGAAAACAGAGACTGGAGTCATCTAGGCCAGGGTGAAGAGGATGTATGAAATCCTAGGAGGACCTGGGACAGGAACTCCGAGATGAAAACCTGAAAACCACAAATATCAAGGGAGGCTCGCTCCATTCTGCCTAGCAAACAGACATTTTTTATGAATTTAAAATCTGGAAGCATCTCTACTCGATAAAGTCATCCTCCCTCGGGCTACCTGCCCCTGGGGTTTCCTGTTCAAGAACTTATTTCCTTCCAGAAAAACCTAGAGGGTGACAACTTTCGAAAAACCAGGCCTCAGGACATTACAACATGAAAGACGTCAAGAGAGTCCAGGGAATCGGTACAATTTCCTGGACTTGGGGGGCAAACTGGCACCATGCAGGAGACTGGACCTACAGGGAAACATCATTAGCAATTAAGGGGGAAGTTCACCCTGGTATTAGTAGTAGAAGCTGAATAACGAGAGGAACAGGTCAGTGAAAGTTTGAGCCAATTCCAATTAAAAATAAGAAAGTTATGAATTTCCAAGTTGAGTTCAATGAAACACAAATTGGCAACTCCATGACGTATCTTGCAAGCTCCCCTCCCATTTGCTCTGTATTAAAACAAAAAAAATGTTTATTTTCCGTCAAGAAAAGGTCAATCATACATGCACCCTAGATATAATTATTGGGAATATGTTTCTATTCAAACCCTTTATGGAAAAGAAATCTATTCCATCATTAATAATGAAGAAAACAAAAGTTTATGAAGTTGTATGTACAAAGCAAATTGGAGAGGCTCGAGCCTGTAATTACATCACAGCATTGCCAGTTTGTGTTTGATTGATTGAAACTTCAAAAATGGGTAACTTTCTTAACTTCAATCGAACTTTGCTCAAACTTTCACTCACATGCTCCTATGTTTCTAAGAAAAGCTTGTAAGCTTAATACAATCACTTTCTATATCTGTGACCACTTTTTTTTTTTAAAGACACCTACAGATGTGTCAATATTTAGGTATTTATAACTTTAAATGAACAAGAACTCCTTATTTTCAACCAGACCAAAGTCATTACTAAATCTATTCTTAGTCAGTCATGATCTTATTTATTCACAAACCCACATACTATGTCAATATTCTCACAAACTTCACCCGTTTGACAAAAAATGTGAATTGTCAGTGATTCACAGGCTATTCCATTTATACTGACGGAAATTGACCGGACATTCGGAAATAGATCCAAGCAGCTTGCTTTTTTCCCTTCTCATTGTATTAATGTAATCAAGTACTATTGCAGAAAAAAGGCCAGCTACTCTAGTTCACATAACCCTGTGCCAAGAAAATAGTAATGACATTGTCAAAAATAGCCATAATTTTGCAAGTGATTGGGAAGTGAACTTGTGAATGCAAGTGACGATATGTAGGGTGAGGTTAACTGATTATTGTCTCGAAGTACTATGAGCATTTAGACTAAGAGGCTTAATATTCTCCATCATTTGTGCAATTTATGTTTACAATGTTTAAAAACCTTGTTTTATATTTTTACTAATTCTGGTTATATCTAATCTAGAATGCAATTAAGTATGTTAGAAAGTTTAATGGCAACTGATTATCATAGTATTGTCAAGATTCATCGAAGTTGGATTCATCTAAGTTGGGCTTGTCAGTTAAACCTTGATTCAATGTTTAATTTTGGAAATGGTTGTTAAAAAGTCATCACAGCTTGTATCTTAATAGTGCAATTATCTACAAAGTAAAGCATCTAATTCCTTTTTCCCCACATAATTCCACCACAAACTCTGCTGACTGAAATCACATCATGTCATTTTGAATCTTAAAATGGTGCTTTTCTACAAGAATGTTTGAAGTTTCTAAACCACAAGATGGCACAAGATGGCACAAGGAAATGAAGCAGAAACCTAGCTAACATTCATCACCTTATTAGAGAAACCCACAAGTAATGTTTTCAAAGACACTTTGCTACAGCCTGACCTGGATGGAACCATGATTCAAACATCTAAAACTGGATGTTGTAACCATGGCAACAGAGTCAAGTGCAAAAATGATGTTTATATATAGAGGTTACTAGACATCTCCTTGCTTTATATATCCAGGGGTGATAGTGAGCACTAAAAAAAAAATAGGTTTTTTGTTTTCCCCTCAACCACGCCCCCCTTGAGTAAAAAAAAAAAAAAAGGCGATTCGCGGGGAAAAAACGGCATCTAACAACATTCCCCCCTTTCGAGTAAGAAAATTGGGAGAAAAAAATAGGGCAAAATAAGGAAGAATAGAGAAAATAAGGGGGGAATCAGGAAAATCAGGATAAAAAAGGGAAGAAAAAAAAAAATCTGGTAAAAATCGGGAAAAATCAAAAAAATCGGGAAACCGATTTAAATCGGGTTTTTATCAGGCCTGTATATCAAACTATATTGTAGAAATGAATCTTATTCTACTGCTGGCTATTAGAGATGATCAACCCTTACAGCTATCTAATAATAACTGACCTGCAAATTTTGTCCGATAGTGCTATGGCGAATACGACAAGAGTCAACAAAAATGACTGTATTCTCCTCAGTAGGAGTCACTTAGTTCACATCAGATTAAGATGATAATACACTTTAACAAACTGGTAAAGACATAGAAACCAACTTAAAAAGTTTAATGATCAATTATGAGAGGAATATTGTTTTCTTCAAGAAAAATATTAGATATTGAAGGTATTTTAATAACAGGTATGACCATTGCACTCCTTTGCAAATGGAATTAAAGATAAAAGGATCTTTCTATTTAATCAAAATTAAATTCAATCATTATTTTTTGATTAATTCCCAGTATTGTGAGGTAGAATGAGAATGATTTTGTCAAACTGCCTGAGTGCATTGCATGTCCCGAGTAGAGATTACATTCCCATTTCTATCACAATGTGAGGATGATTAAGATGGGAGAGAGAGATTGATCTCATTACATGCATCAGGCTTAATCTTTGTGTGTCATTTATCCATATGATCTAGGGGATTATGCAAGGTAACTTTGGCTGTGTTCACACGGGGCCATTGTGATTTAAACTTTGAGTTGGACAAACCTCAAAGTCAGAAACAACGAACCACTAACCACGCCAAGGGTTCACATGGGACCGAAACAACAGTATTCACACCCCCTGTCCACACACAACATTTTCCGTGATTAGCTATACCGTTTCGCGATAGTGATACCATTTCGCGATAGTTTTACGATGAAATTGTGCGTGTGGACGCTCACTAACGATACGTCGTTTAACGAAACTAGTCTAACGAAACGCAGGTTTGGGCATCGTTTCGAACTGAAACTCAATAAAGAATCACGCCTAATCACGAATGTGTTGTGTGTGGACAGGGGGAGTGTAACTAGTGTAACTAACTGGGCGGGGCTTAACGTGACCTCGAGCGAAAGGAGACCAGACTGTAGAGTTTCAGGATTACTTTCTTCCGTTTATGGACATCCTTGAATTTATACGATGATTATTTATATGATGTTTCTTGTGTGTGGACACTTTGAAATGTATACTATGATTCTTTATACGACGTTTCGTTATAGAGTTTCGGGATAAATTGTTTTGTGTGTGGACACGCTGACAGTTAAATGCAATCCAGGGAAAGCATGCACCCTTAACTTGAGTGAGGACCCCCTGCTGCCCTCAGCTACCGTGCTAACCTTAAAGCCACACCGCACTAGTTTGGCCAGGAGGGATTAGACCTCCCTGCAAGGTCACTGACAGGTGGTTATCTCATCAAATCAGCTCTCAATTAACATAAGAAAAAGAGGATCATAAGGGATCAACAGGCACTGATTAGGCATTGGTTGCTATATAGAGGGCGCTAGTAGCTATACGTAGTGCAGTTGGGCTTTAAGACCTGTTGTGATTTGTAACTTCGAGTTAACCTGAAGTTTAGTAACCATGACTGCGTCCATCCCCACGGTCCCCAACTACAAGATAACCACGACCTTAATTGACTGCTGTGTGAACCTTGCCTTTCTTGCACTCATACCGTACATGATTAATCATGGAGTCAGGTGTGAATTGCAATCAAGTTG